GTGGTAAACGGAGGGATGCTGAGTCGTATAAACACGTTTTGTATGTTAATGTAGAATTTCCTTTCTTGTTGTGTAGGAATAAATAACAGAATTTTATAATTTTGGTACCTGAAAATAAAACTGAATTGAACAAACGATAAAAAAAAAAGAAAACTATATACTGTAAACGACTTATTTTTCATGGGCTCAATATTTCGCGATTTAGGTCAAAGCTGAAGTTTTGGAATAATTCGCGGGTTGTAATTTTCTCGACGCGGTGGAATCTCAATATAAATTTCAATCTGTTTACATTTTACCGAAATTGTTCGCGGGACCCATTTTTCGCGAATTGTAGGCGATTCGCGAAATTCTCAAAAAAAGGTCCTCGCAAAAATCAGATCGTTTACAGCAGTTAGTTTCACGGCCTAAATAGCGCCTATTGACAGAACAACGCGGAAAATATATTCTCAATTTAGCGGTTCAAACCGGTTCGAACCGGTTCGAACCGGTTTGAACCGTTATTTTTTGCGCCCCGGAACTGAACCGGAACTGAACCGAAAGCCGTGAACCCGAACCCGAACCGAACCAATAAAAATATCGGTTCGACACTCTGGTGTCGCAGCTGACTGGCATGCGTCAACAGGGCGACAACTTACCACCTGGACCATTTGAAAAGCCGGACTGAAAGAACAATTCGGCGAGCAACTTTCGCTCATTCAGTGGCAACAGAAGGTAACAGCCCTCACCCAGAAACCTGGCGATAGCCTACAGCAGTATGCCTTCGCCAAGCTCAAGATCATGTCGCGATGTCCAGTCCCCATCACTGACAAGGAACGTATTGAATACCTTGTTCAAGGCATTCGTGATGATCAGATCGCCACATCCATTGCTGTCCACCGACCCCGAACAGTGGACGACTTCCTCAACATCGTGTCCGAAGTGGACCAAACGATAGACCATTCCCGTCTGGCCCGCACGCCCACATTCCCAAAGCCAGCCCGGGATGGACGTTTCACAGCGAGCGGCTCAACCACACACTTCAATTGTACGCCTAGTACATCACAAACTGGCCGTACGCGCATCGCGGATATGCCTTCAGACCAACAGGAAGCCAGGTACAACACAATTTCCACAAAATATGGTTCCCCAGCATACCGACCGGGACAAGACATCAAAGAAGCCATCTGCTACAATTGCAAACAGCCTGGCCATCTCGCAAGCAAGTGTAACAAGCCAAAACAGCCTCCAAATCAGTCCAAGCCGAAGCCATCACATGAACCTACAGCTCTAGTGAGCCAGCTAGACGTCTTGCATGGTTCTAAGCTGAAGTGCCCAGTCGTTCCAGCTCACATAACTGGAGTTGGCACAGTAAGCGCCTTTCCTGACAGTGGTTCCAGCATAACAGTCATCACTGCAAGCCTTGTCAACGAACTCGCCCTACTGCCATGGACGAAACCACCATTGCTCGTCGTTGGCGGCGCTTCCGTCACTCCAAAAGGTGTGGTCCCACTCCTGATTGCAATTGGACCAATGTCAGCCACAGTCGAAGCAGCAGTCCTTGAAAGAAACGCCTTACCTCTCATATTGGGAGAAGACTGGTTCCGCATCGCACAACCCGAGCTTCACATTAGGCCTCCAGAGTTGCCTATCATTTGCCAACCCAACAGAAACACGGTTGTACAATGTAGAGAAGAACTTTTACCAAGGATGTCCAACGCCGTGATCCTCACACGGTCAGCTCTCTCGCAGTTTGATCCTCCGCATGCTACGGCCGAGCATCTGCAGACCAAACATGAGCCCGACGAGGATGCACCACTATGGAGTGAGCTGAACAACGCAGCCTGTTGTCATGAGCCCTCAACCTCTGCTCCACCACAACTAGCGGCAACCGCATCACCAAATCAAAGTCTCATATATGGCTCACATTCATGTGCATCCGTATCAAGTGAAACTACTCTTGATGGCGTTTGCATCGGCTCCCAGCTCACGATTAAACAACAACACGATGTGAAACAAATCTTGCTCCTTCACACTGACCTCTTCCCGCGTGACCCTTTCGACCTTGGCCTCTATGAAGGCATTGAACATCAAATTGACCTTGTACCTGAGGCAAAACCATATGGACGACAGCCATATCGCTACACGGCGACGGATAGACAATTCCTCGAGACCCAGGTCGTCACGCTTCTCGACAAGGGTATCGTCAAGCCATCCTCGGGACCATGGGGATTTCCAGCCATTGTGGTCACACAGAAAAATAAGAAGAGACTGTGTGTCAACTACATCCCATTAAACAATATGACGATCAACGTCCTGCAACCGCTTCCCCGGGCCGACGACATCCTAGACGATCTTGCGGGATGCTCTTTGTTCGCAGTCCTGGACTTGTGCTCTGCCTACTGGCAAATTCGTGTCAGGGAGTCCGACCAAGACAAGACTACGTTCATTACACATCATGGTACCTTCAAATGGACCCGAATGCCCTTTGGATTGAAAAACGCACCAGCAACATTCCAACAGGCAATGAACAAAGTTTTTACAAGTTTGAAACCTAGACAGACCAAGTCAGGAGTCAGGACATACTTGGATGACATCATTGTGTTTGCTGTTGAATTCTTGGAATTCTTGGACCTTTTGGATGAGACTATGAGTCTTCTCCAACAAGCCGGCTTCAAGATTTCGTTACCGAAATGCAAGTTTGCCATGCCCTCTGTAAAGTTTCTTGGCTTCTTGATTTCTGAAAAAGGAAAAGAGCCGGACCCCTCCAGAGTTGAAGCCGTGCTAGGCATCCCTGCACCATTGACCTCAAAGCAACTGCTCTCCTGCGTTCTGACAGCCAACTTTTACAGGAGATTCGTTAGAAAATTTTCGAAGATTGCTGCCCCCCTGCAGGCTGTTATTCGAAGACCTAAGTTCAAATGGACACTGGAGTGTCAACAAGCATTTGAGACCCTTCGTGCAGCCCTCACCTCGGCGCTAATCCTTGGACACTTCGATGCAGTTGCGCCAACACCTGTTGCTACAGATGGTGCAGCCACAGCCCTTGGTGCTGTCCTTTCTCAGAGGCAGAATGGCAAAGAGATTTTCACTGAGTATGCAAGCCGTGCCCTCATTGAACCGGAACGCAAGCTCCACAGCCCACCCAACAGACCAGAGACCACAACGCCACCGGACACAACCGAAACGACCACAGGATTAAGATTTGTCCCTGTAACAATTTCAATGCAAAACAGAGCCCGAGACGGACTCATAAGGGACCCGGCCGGACCCCGGCCATTCTCTCGGACTCAGTCCCCTCGAATTTCGTCCTCTCGGACCCCGCTCCATGTGCCAAACTCCGTCTTCCCATGCCAAGCCTAGTCCCAGCGTTAAAAATATTGACAAAAAAGACTATGCAAAAGCTCAAAAAAAAAAAAGGAGGTCGGATGTGAGCAGCGTGCCTGCCCACAGCGCCGGACTTGCCTCATATGGCCTCAGAGACAGGTAAAGACGAAGAAGTAGAAGAACGCCAGCCAGCCATGACCAGCCATCAGCCTTCACTCAGCCATCCCTCCATTATTTACTTTATTTTCATTCATTAAACATTTTTCTTATTCCCAAAGTCTCACAATATATTGTACATATTCATAGCGTATAACCTCATTCATTATACACAAGGCGCCGCGCGAGCTTCCATTTCACAGTATGTTGCCTTTCTATGCTGCAGCGGCTCTCCTGGGCCATTCACTATAGTCTATATCACATCGGAAAGTCGGTTATATATATATATATATATATATATATATATATATATATATATATATAACTTAAAATGCTGAGCATTCTCTTATTTTTCTTTTTGCGTACGTACCACGTAATCATACGTATATGCTGCCCAAACTTTTTTTTTTAACATGCATTTACGATTATTTACAGTGACTGTGTGAACAGCGTTCTGCAGATGTACGCATGAAAACTGTTTGTAAAGCTCCAGGTTAATTTATTGATGCAACAGTTATTTGGCGTGCATATCCCAAACACCGTGCTCGGAGATTTGTGTTTGTCCTTTGTCCCTCTAGTTCCCCTTCTCCAGGGATTATTTTCGTCATTCTTGTCCAGCTCGCTTGCCCCTTTGCATTTAATTGCATTATAATCATTGCCTTAAAATTGTAAGCTTCACCCTTGTTGGTGTTAGACTGGCGGCAGCTGATAAAACCATACTGACGTCTAACCCCTGGTTAGCTCAGTTGGTAGAGCGCTCCACTTATAATGGAGAGGTCCCGGGTTCAATACCCGGACCAGGCGGATTTTTTCGGTCGCTCACCAGTCACCTAGCTGTGTTCGGAGATTTGTGTTTGTCCTTTGTCCCTCTTGTTCCCCTTCTCCAGGGATTATTTTCGTCAAGTTTATTGGCGTCATTTTTGCACAAGAGAGAAGCCACGCTTTGAACTTTCACCAGGAGTGCTCAACCTAAATGCACCTTCGGAGAAGGTTTGAAACTCTTATGTGGAGGCGTAGGTTTTTCTGGCTCGTTTTATAGCACTAAGATTCATTGTATAGACACCCTATAGATAGCGCACTCTCAGAAAAAAGGGTGTATCCTTACACCCCTTTGGTCCCATACGATACACCCCAAAACTTCGGTTCGATGTGCAACGCACCGAACGTTGAAATAATGTATTTAAACTTTTAACGAGGGGCTTGATACCGGTGCTATATACCTTAATAAACAGCTAAAATACGTGACAAAGACTACAGAAAAGAAAAACTTTTTTTTTTCAGTGGTCTTTGTCTAGATTTTGCACAAAAAAAAAACAGTTTTTTTTTTTTTTTTTGCAGTTAGTAAAAAGGTACATTAGCTGTTTTAATAAGTGGTATACCACTCGGCTATCAAGTCGCTCGTGAAAGTTGATATACCGTCGGTTCGACGTCGGTGCGCTGTATGTTGAACTGAAGTTTTGCGGTGTATTTATGAGACAAAGAGTGTCAGACTATATACCCTTTTGTTTTTTTGTTCTGAAAGTGTTGCACGGGGAACCTACCCTGTTTCGTTGATCTTGTTGTCGAAGGATCCCCATGCCACGGCAGTGTCGCCCGGTTTCCCCCTTTTGATCTCGAAGCTAGCGGGGACCACTTTCAACTCGACCCAAGCGTCAAGAGCTAAGGTTGACACCAAAAGGGCAGCGAGCACCAGGACCTTGAGCATCTTTCGTCTTGATCCTGCGGCAACAAAGACGCTTCGTACAACATCATTCACAAATGGCCGGAGGGTAAACAAAACTACACTTTAAAGAAATGTGGAGCGTATATACAGACCAACATTCTGGTTACAAACAAGTCAGCGTTTGACTGCGCGTGCGCACAAGCCAGATTCCCGAGAAGGGAAGTTTTTGCGCATGCGCAGTGCCGACAGCAGCGCCACCGCAGTGCCGTGACGTCAGAGTTGAGTTGATGCGTATGCGGAAGCAAGTCGTCTGCTTTTTGCGCAGGAATTGCGCTAACGTCAGAACGATGCTATACTCTTATTGCCTCATTGAAAAAAAAATATAATAATAAGTGGGTAGACCTGAGAGGAACTAGCATTGAGATCTACCCACTGTTTTTTGTTGTTTTTTTTTTCGATCAGCCAATAAGAGCTTGGCGTTGTTCTGAAGTCACTGCAACTTCTGCGCTTGAAGCAGACGACTTGCTTGCTCTCCGCATACTCCAGCGCAAAGCACTTAGACTTCGAGTCAGCTTCTGTCAAGACACGGCCAACGGTACGAGCTAATAGGACCAATCTAAAAAGCATAAAAACGGAAGTCATTAGGTCTTTTTCTCTTTTTGATTGATTCAGTGGTAAAAGAAAAGACGTACAGAAACTTGAGGAACACCATGATGGTGCGCTTGTGACGCTGTCTGATTCGTCCGTTGAGCTCGTAGCGTCGGCTACAGTGATCTCTGTGACAACTGCTGGACCGCGCTTCCCCGCTCCGCGAGCGCGGCCACTGGACGGCCATCTTGCATGCAGCAAAATCGCGTTTTTGCGAGCGGAGGGTGGCTGGCAGCGTGCTGAAGACAAGTTTTCTACTCGTTCGTCGTCATTCGCCGAAGAAGTTTCTTAAAGCCCTGTGAAAACGGTGCGACTTGTCTTTGAGAGGACGTGGAAGCGAAGCGTCGCAGGTAAAATTCTCACCCCGTCGAAAGCAAGTTTCGTCGGTCGCGCGCTGCGTGATCAAAGCTCCTTGGCGCTCCGAAGTGGTGTATCTCTGTGCCTTCGCACGCTTGGATACCGATCAAGAATTGACGCGGCGGCAAAGTTTTGAAGGTTTGTCGCGCGTAGATGCATCTTTGCATCATATATAGGCCGCGTAGTTCGAGATCGTCCAGCTGTTCCGGCGAGTTGCTGTCAATAAAGGGGAAAAGATATCTACGCGGTTGCTATTATGCATTATTAACCATGGGTATGTTGTAAATTTACTCTAATGGATCATGTGGCAGCACAGACAGAGCAACGCTGTGGGGCAAGGTAAGTTCTTGAAGGGTATAGTAAACAAAACAAAGAAACGCGCCACCGCCACGAAACACCCCCCCCCCCCCCCCCCCCCCTTTTCCTTCCGTCGCCAATCGACACTGGGTCAAGCTCGTTTCTGGACCGCGAGTGCCACAAGTTACAAATACAGTCTACAGAGTAAAGTAAAACGCTGCTCCAGAGGCACATACGGCTTCACGCATATAGGGAGTATTCACTGGCGGCCATATCCGTGTGCGCTGCTGCTGGGCGCGTGCTGACGGCGAGCTTCCGCAGTCCTTTTGGAGCGTGCATTTAGCACCATCAAGGTTGCCGGTCTTAGCAAGCTATAGACGCTTTACACACGCGCCAAATTACAGCCGCCATTGCTGACCTTCTCTTGTCTTACAGAGATGCCGAGCAACTGAAACGGTAGTTGACAATCCTCTACAAAGGCCGATTCTTTAGAAAAGGACACAGTAACACTTAAAATGGCAATAACCTGGCCTGCTATGGTAATCATGAAGTGAAATAAACGGAATAAGAGGAAACAAAAACTGAAGGTCAGTTATGGCGGCGTCCATGCACAGCTGCTGCGAAGCGTCTATAAATGTGAGCTCGTTCTGAGCATGCGCTCTAAACATCGCCCTCAAATATGGCGTCCAGTGAATACCTCCTATTGCACTGGCAAAACACATCCGCACGGCGTTGGTTCTTAATCGGTATCCAAGCGTGCGAAGGCACAGAGACACAGCACTTCTGCGTGCCGAGGAAGCTTCGATCACGTCGCGAGACCGGCGAAACTTGCTTTCGATGAGTTGTGCCTTTTTCCTGTAGCAACGCGCGCTTTTTTCAAAATTTCCACGTGTTATCAAAGGCAAGTCTCACCGTTTTCACAGGGCTTCAAGAAACTTCTTCGGCGAATATCCCCACCCCTGCCCGTTTCGATCTGGATGAGCATCGTACCGGCGTGCGGTCGTGTATCACTACTGCGTGGTGCACGTTAAAAACCCCAGGCTAGCGGTTGTACTGCACTGGCTAAATTGCTCATCTACAGCTGGGAGACTCGTCGCCCCTGCGTGAGGCAGACCAAGTTCTGGGCTGTGTAAACATACCACACAACCCAATTTTTTTTTAGAGCGCAGCTCTTAGGGGCCCGTTTCCGGCTTGAGCGGCGTCGGCGTCGCCGTCGGCGTAACCGTGCGGTGCATCATGGGAAAGGTCCCATAATGCATCGCGCGAGCCCCCCATCGGGGTCACGTGACCTCGTGGGGAGCACGTGACCCCCCGAGGTCACGTGACCCCCGAAGTCACGTGACTCCCCTGAGGTCACGTGACCCCCTCCTCGAGGTCACGTGACCCCCCGAGGTCACGTGACCCCCGCCGATGTCGCGTGACCCCCCGATGACCTCATCGTCACTGATGACGTCACCGGCATCCACATCGTCATCGCCATCATCACTGATGACGTCACCGGCATCCACATCGTCATCGTCATCATCACTGATGACGTCACCGGCATCCGCATTGTCATCGTCATCATCACTGATGACGTTACCGACATCCGCATCGTCATCATCACTGATGACGTCATCAGTGACGTCACTGATGTAGTCACCGGCATTCGCATCGTCATCGTCATCATCACTGGTGAAGTCATCAGTGACGTCACTAATGACGTCATCGGTACCCGCATCGTCATCGTCACTGATGACGTCATCAGTGACGTCAGTGATGACATCATCGGCATTGGGGGTCACGTGACCCCCCCCCTGGTTAGTTTAACCCCCCCCCCCCAGTGCCCTTCCCTCCTCCTCCTCAAGAGCTGCGCTCTAATTCGGCGTTACAGGGAGTTGTAAGCGGCTTTCACTTTTTTTCTTCGGCGAATGACGATGAACGGATAGAAACCGTGTCTTCAGCTCGCTCCCGCCAGCCTCTGCAACGCTCCAAAAAAGGCAATTTTTCGATATGCAAGATGGCCGCCCGGTGGCCGCACTTGTGGCCGCAGCACGGTGCCCGACAGTACATTCCCTTGCTTTTGAGCGCGCCGCGCGCCTCGAACGCGCGGCGCCGCTATTCGCCGAATTCAGTCATGTGAGGAGCAGGATCAATATGCCGTGCAGGAACGACGGCGCTACGGGGATAAACGCGCAACTCTGGCTTCCACCCTTTTCAAAAGTACGCACCATCCTGTGGACGCGGCGTGAATCATCCAAGTTCGCCTTTGTTTGGGCACGTACCAAGAGCGCGGATTGGTCACGAGTGTGACGTCAGCATTCGGCGAGGACTCGGGTTCAATCATGCGCATCGTGCCCATGAAATGGCGACCGCCAATGTTACCTGATAGGGTTTTGAAAAGCGGGTCTATTGTTTTGTCGTAACGCTTTGTGGGAAAGTCGATGGAATTTTTTTAAGGGTTCAGTGAGTAAGACTTTTTTTTTTTTACTTGCATGCGTACCAAAGCGCTCTCATTTTCGATGCCATTAGCATTTCCGATATAGGCTAGATAATAGCTTATCTTGAGCTCCGCGCTGTAAAGTGTTCTTGATAGTCGGTGTAGGCTCGCGCTGTCGCTGATACGTGTGTGTGAAGGACATGGATATAGAATCGTTCGGCCGTTTTAGGTTTCACTTTGGGCTCGTGTTTGCAAATTCACATTAGGGAGTTTCTGTAGATCGCGATTCCACCTCCGCTAAGCCCTCCGCAACGAAAAAGGCGCCACGGCGTCTGCGCGCCGATGGTGTTGACTGTAGAGTTCCGGGTATCGTTGCGGAGAGCGTTGCGGGACAGCGGAAACGATCTACGAAAACTCCCTATTGAAAGGAAAGGCAGCAAGGCGAGTAAATCCTCGCTACTTATTAGGGAGTTTTAGAATAGCGTACGCTAAACTTTTGCGTACGCAAACAATAGCGCCGTCGCCACTACGCATGCGCCGAACGCTGATCCCGTTTTGTGCGCGCTATTTTTTTTTTTTAAGTCTTTGCGCTCCTCTAAGGAGGATTCGTAATGAGAAGTTGGCTAAATCCAAGAAAAGCACAGTTAAAAAATGGCGGCCCCCAGGACCACCGCTGCGGCCGCTTTGTCGGCGTCGTGAAGGCGACGTCGGCGGCATCCTCGCGACTGCGATTTTCCATACGGGACGGCACTGCGCTCAGTTTGGAAAGCCCAGTAAGGTGGGCAACGATCACCGGCAACTGATGCTTCCGACGCGCGAACATTTCTCGGCGAAAGTACAGTGTGCAAAGATCAGTACACGTGACACGTCTTGCCGAGGCGACGCAAGCGGACACGACCAAACGATCGCTCGCGTCGCATTCTCATGTTTAAACAAATCTAAAATGTTACTCTGGGCCGAAAAAAAAAACTTGTTTTTTCTCAAGTCACAGCGTTTCGTGTGTGAAATAAAAATTGTGACTATCTTGGTGGCTTTGCAAGCGCGAGATGCTTGGGCTTTTGCGTCGCGACGAAGAAACGCTCTTCTAAAACTCTCTTGCGTAAACGTGCGCTAACGCAAGCGCTAAATTTAGCGCTAGCGTGCGCTGAAATTGCGTACGTTATTCTAAAACTCCCTATTGTCGGAAGGCGCAACGTTACAAAAAGTCTCGTCGGGCAACCTTCCACCCACATACGCCGTTGTGTAAAGAGAAGAAAAAAAATATTTGTTGCGATCAACTTACATCCTACGAAAAGTAACTTTTCTTTCTGAGATACACGAACGAGCATCTGAGCTGGTCGCCATATCGAAGCGAACATGAAGTAACATTATTTTGTTAATGTTCTCAAGTAATGCGAAGAGCAAGTCGTCTGCTTCGTGCGCAGGAGTTCCGGTGACGTCAAAAAGACGGCGAGCTATGATTGGCTCTCATCGAAGGATACTGGCTAGACCAGGCACGTAGCCAGGGAAGGGGGGGGGGGGGGGGGGGCATGAGGCCTGCCCCCCCCTCCCCCCCGAAATCCTCCATTTTGCTGGGACCTCCTCTCCCCCCTCCCCCTCATACAGCATTTTTACATGGCCGCCCCCCCCCCCCCCCCCCCCGAAACAAAATCCTGGCTACGTACCTAGGCTTGTTTTTAGGTCATCCACTATCCTTCAGTTGGAGCCAATCAAAGTTCTGCTTTCTGATGTCACCAAACTCCCGCAAAAGAAGCAGACGAACTCGCGCTTCGCCTACGCACGTTCGCTTTCACTTTCGTTTCGAAGAAAGAAGAAAAAAAAAGGGCGGGATTGTGGCGAATTTTACTGTGCGCGATTGGTTGATCGGCTGATAGAAAACGCACAAAGACGACGGGTGCCGTGACGATGCACTTTTGGCACTGCTTGATTGGGTCCATCCGATCGTATGGGGAGAGCAAGTCGTCTGCTTCTTGCGCAGGAGTCGCGGTGACGTCAGAACGACGCCGAGATCTGATTGGCTATGATTGAAGGGATAGTGGGTAGACCCCAATGCTAGCTGCCTCGATGTCTACCCACTATTTTTTTTATTTCAATCAGCCAATAAGAGCTCGGCGTTCTGACATCATCGCAACCCCTTTGCAAGAAGCAGACGAACTTTGGCTCCGCATACCGTTGGGTGCGGTCGACTTAATGCAGGGTGTAGGATAAACAGGTGGGGAAACGAGAGCCAAATGAGCGACCGGATTGTGTCCCCCTCGGGTTTCTCTTTTTGTGTGGCGCCATCTATGTGGAGCACCGCGAACTCTCACTCCAGGTGGGCGACCAGTTGCGACCGGCTAAGCTGACGGAGATGGTTTCTCGTGGATTTTCAATAGAGAACTGTCGTGCTCTCGGTTTATTTTGCGCACTCTCCCACGAAGTTCCGTGCAAATCCGATTCCGATTTTTTTCCTCTCGCCGCAGCGCCATCTGTCGCAAGTCGGGGTACCCGCAAGCAGACGAGTACACAATCCGGTCACGGCGCTGCGGTAGGCTTCTATGGGCCGTTTCCCCACCTGCCTATCTTACACCCTGACTTAATGTGAAACGGAGCATAAATAGAGCTTATTAGACATTCTCACATCACGACTCTTTCGCTTTTTAACTTGATTTTGTGTTTAATTAACAGCCTTTACTGATTTGTTACCTGTTCATGTTTTATAAACGAGCGTTTTATTTTTGTTTGTTTGTTATTAATACTAGACCGCACTTGCTATACACATTCTCCACAAGGGCGCAGCCATCTTGGATATTGTGACTTCTGGTATGCGGTAAAACATCGTTTTCATTTCTCCACCCCGCTGGAAGGTGTTTACAAAAAAAATGCCTGATTGTCACATACTCTTGTTTCGCCTCACCTGTATTTTCTCCCATATTCGAGGTTAAAATGTTTTATTATTTTTTCTTCCCGCATACCAGATACGGAACCCACGTGACTGAGAACGACAGAGAAACAAAAAAAAAACAAAAAGTCTATAAACGTGGTATTCACGATACGCCATATTTGAGCGCTTCATTTCCAGCGCATTCTTAGAAGTTAGAACGATACCTCAATTATCTTCAAAGAATTGCAGTCCTCGTGGTGTGGAATGCACGTGGCACAAGCGTCGTGGAAGGCCATCGCAAGCTTGCACCCAGCAGTATAACGGACTCTATGCATGGCCGCCAGTGAATACTGTATACACCTATACACGCGCTCAGTACACAAAGCAGGAGTTCGTGATTTCTTACCAGGCCCGATGAGTAAAACTCCAGAATGTGGACAGCAGCTTCTCTGGGGTCAGTCTATCCTGCCAGAGATGTGCAACGCACTTGTGTCCCTTTAGAGGTTTCACAGGACGCTCTGGTGAAGGGGAAGGTTTCGGGTTTTCAGCGCCTGTGGCTCTCCCATATCTCCAGCCAGAGGGCATTATCTCTTCTCTGACGCTGATCTGGCCGTCGAGTGCAAGCACGTGCTTTGTAGATTATAAGGCGTCCATTCGGTCAAGAGATGTCTGTTGCTCTCAATCTCTGCCAGATAGGTATACAAAGAATAGAGTTATACCGCGTTCCCCTTTTCCCCCTTGTTTTTACCCGCCGATAACGAATCTTTTTATACTGTACATTGGATATTGGTTATGGGGGACAACTGCATGTGGAAGGCCTGCTCGATTTTTGTGAGCGTATTGCGATATTAGTGGCACTTACCATTTCGCGTGTACGGGGTTTTTGCGCTCTCCCATTCACCTTGATTGCTGCAGGGGCAATGTGAGCACGATCTCGTTGCTTTAGAACGAGCCTTGACTGCACGAATGCTCGTGCAGTGGAAGTCCCAAATTCGTTCCCCTAAAGTCTCACAAATCTCTGCAGTGTGGACAAAGGCAAGGGCGTGTGAGCCTAACTTGGCCTCACTCAGCAGGATGCTATTCAAAACCACGTGCTCGTACCCGCGTTTTTGTCAGCACCATAGAGTTATTGACAATAAACGCTAGAGGTTCAGGTGGTGCTAGTGTGTTGTTGCATTTTCAAGCAGACAACAACCAGTCTAAATTTGACTTCCGGTAATGCATTCCTACGGGAAAACGCAAACGCCTTTTCTCTTTGCGTTCAATTAGAAGAGCAAATTTTGCTTAGTGTTGTGACAGAATAAAAAGTTTGGAACGTTTTACAATCGAATGTGCAAAACTATGTGTCAGAGCGTTTTTCTTTAGAATTCGTGGCGTCGGACACTGCGCTAAAATAGCCCAATATATATAATAGATGTTGACGTTGCAGACTGCTATTATACGAGGGGGGACCCAAAAGAAACCGAACTAAATTTTTTTGCACTCATTTATTCCCATTTCAAGTACAAACGTTCAATCTCCTTCAAAGTACTGTCCACTTGCACTAATACACTTGTCCAATCTTTTAATCCATGTGTCGAAACATCGTTTAAATTCATCTTTTGTGATGCTTGACAGCGCCTCCGTCGTTTTTTTCTTCACCTCAACAACGTCAGCAAAACGCTTTCCTTTCATTTCTCTTTTCATTCTAGGAAACAAAAAAAAAGTCGCACGGGGCAAGGTCGGGTGAGTATGAGGGGAGAGGAACAGGGGTCATACCATTTTTGGTCAAGAATTGTCGTACAGACAAGGCAATGTGAGCCGGGGCATTGTCATGATGGAAAAACCTGTCACCCGACTTACAAATCGGGCCGCTTCCGCCGCACACTGTTGCGCAATCTTTTCAAAACCTCCAAGTAGAAAGCCTGGTTAACTGTCTGACCCTGCGGAACAAACTCTGAATGGACGACTCCTTTCACATCGAAAAACCTAATCAGCATTGTTTTGATGTTTGATTTCACCTGACGAGCTTTCTTGGGGCGAGGCGAACCTGAAGTCTTCCACTGGCTTGATTGTTGCTTTGATTCAGGATCGTAACCATAGCACCAAGTTTCGTCACCTGTAATAACCTTTGAAAAAAAGTTTGGGCCACTTCGGGACTCTTCTTTCAAAGCACAGCATACTTCCACGCGACCTTGCTTTTGTTCAGCAGTCAGCAGTCGTGGCACGAATTTGGCAGCCACCCTTTTCATTCCCAAATCTTCTGTCAGAATTCGCTGCAATGAACTCCAACTCCCTCCCGACAGCTCCACAATTTCGTCAATGGTCCGTCGTCGATCTTCGTTGATGATTGCACGAATTTTTTCAACGTTTCAATGTGTTCGTGCCATGGAAGGACGACCGGAACGAGGTTTGTCATCAATTGACATGTCGCCATTCTTGAAACGGGAAAACCACTCAAACACTTGAGTCTTCCCCATGGAATCGTCCTTGTACGCCGTTTTTAACAGTTCAATAGTTTCTGTTCCAATTTTTCCGAGCAAAAAACAGAATTTAACCGCCGCACGCTGTTCACAAAAATCAGACATTGCAAAAACGACGCCCACACGAAACACTTTTCACTATAATCCCAGCCGCAACTAGTCCTAACCTTCTTCGAGGACGTAATTAGGCCTTATGACTCAGCAATGTTCGCTCTATCAACTCCTGGCGGCAAAACGCGGTACTGCAAAAGCTCTGCTTAAAGAAGAATTAGTTCGGTTTCTTTTTGGTCCCCCCTCGTATGGCACGTATGAAGCACACAAAATGAATCAGCTTTAAAAAACACTAAAAAAGCAACAAAAAAAAATGAAAGCCGTTTACAAATCCCTGTAACGCCAAATTGGAGCGCAGCTCTTGAGGAGGAGTAGGGAAGGGTACTGAGGGGGGTCACGTCACCTGCGGGTAGTCACGTGACCCCGGGGGGGTCACGTGATCTCGGGGGAGGGGGTCACGTGACCTCGGAAGTCACGTGACCTCTGGGAAGTCGTGTGACCTCGGGGGGGGGGGGGGGGGTCACGTGACCCCCGAGGCCACGTGACCCCCCCCCCCCCCCCCCCCCGGTTGCGCCGACGCCGCTCAGGCTGGAAACGGGCCCCTAAGAGCTGCGCTCTAAAAATTAGTCGTTTGTTCTTTAAACAGCAGGAATTTAGTCTGCTAGAACATGGTGGCATTGTTACCCACTGTAGATAAGCAATTTAGCCTGTGCAGTACGACCGCTAGCCCGGGGTCTTTAAGGTGCACCACGCAGCAGCGTGATACATGACCGCACGCCGGTACGATGCACATCCAGATCAAAACGGGTCCGCTCAATCCAAGCGTGAGTAAAGAAACTACGCTGGTTTCTGTTTTCCCCTGGGGAAGAGAAAAATATAATGTACGTTTTCCCGTAGGAATACGCAGGAAGACTGAAAAAATAGACTGGTTGCTGTCTGCTTCAATGTGCAACCTGAAGTCCCGTTGACACTAGCGCCAGCTGAGCCTCTAGGGTTTATTGTAATAACTCTATGGTCAGCACAAAAGTAACTGGATAGTGGGAAAGTAACGCCAGGCTTCTCCTATGGTCACCATTTTGACCCTTGGAATAATAACAATTTCTCCTTGACTTCTCCATTGTTGGTGAGCCGATCTAAATTCGCTAGTGACAGGTAGCTTCATAGAGATGTTTCGTGTATACCTAGATTTCGCTATCCACACACCGGCGAAACAAGCGTACATCTTCGTAACACCACCACATGTGGTGTCGGTGCTTGGAGGCATTGAAAAATAATGTTTCTGTTTTTGAATACTCAAGAAGAACGATTAAACTGTAAGAGATCCGTGGAGATGTTCATGATTGATAAGTTGATAGCATATATACAGAGCCAAAGACGCTTATATAAGCGAAGAACGCCTTCAGTACGATGATGCTTCATGGTGATCTCGGGTGCGACTGGATTAGAACGACCCTCTCGAAGCTTCGAAGATTTGAAGGGGCCGAAATGGCGATCGTCATAGCAACGGAGACCGATTAGCCCATCACCTTGCGAGGTTTTGGTCTCCGTATGTTAGTATTTGTTTGTGTTGGACTAGCAGGCAGGGAAGGGAATCGCGTTACTTTCCCAGGATCTAGTGACTTTTTAGTCAGCACTGCAGATGCTTGCGAGATGTAGTATATACATGTACTTCCACTATACTTCGTCATGCTAAAAGCGCGAACTATATAGTTGCTTTAGATGAAGTCCCCGCGGCTGCATGAGCGCTTGTGCAGCGAGTGCTCCAGTCAAGGCTATAGCCGCTCACGCGGTGACACAGCCTTCGCAGTTAGTCCATGCTAAGATAAAACACGATGGCGGCATTTTTGTTTTATTTTTTTTTTTGCTTTTTTTTTAGAACGAAGTGCTTGTGATTGCTCATGTCACGTTTATGCATTTTGATTGATTGGATTTCTTATTAGGTAATTTGTTGTATCGGAGTTTGAACAGCAGGAAGTTAATCTGGTCCAGGGAAGCAATCGAGATAGCAAATCCCTTCAAAATATTAGTGTACACTTTTCAGATAATTTATCATAGAATGAGCACATACAATACAAAAAATCCAGAAAAAGCTCTTGGTACTCTATCCCGATACCGTATACAGTTTTCACCACATTTGTTAAGTTAATTTTTCACGGCCTCGTGCAGTCATGTTTCCAATATTGTCACCTCGTATGGGGTACCACTACCATTCGAAATACCCCTATAAACGAACTTCTAACTCAGCAAAAACAAAGCTCTAACCGCTCATTCACACTGGAAGCGGATCCGCGTTTGCAAAGCGGCTGCGAACGCGGTTGTATAAAGATCGAGTGCGCGTGCAATTGCACTGGATCTTTATACAACCGCGTTCGCAACCGCCTTGCGAACGCGGTTGTATAAAGATCCAGTGCAATTGCACGCGCACTTGATGTCATCGAGTGCGCGTGCAATTGTACTGGATCTTTATAGACAATTGCAAGCATGGCGCCACAAGTGGTGCCCCATGCGTGCAAGCGCGTGCAACGCGCGGATGAGCGTAGCTTTGGCAAGCTCGTAATCGCACGGGCGTGCCTGCTCGAGCAGAGACATGGCGCCGGCCAGTCGCCCAGCTTGCAATCGTCTATACAACCGCGTTCGCAGCCGCTTTGCAAACGCGGATCCGCTTCCAGTGTGAATGAGCGGTGAGGGTGGTTGCAAATGTGTCCTATTTTTACCAGATGCTCTTTTTGCCCGATTTAATGTTGTCAGATTAACACGCCTACATTACTACCGCCTTCTAGTATCTTATAAGACAGCACTAAAATAAGTATAGATGCTTTCTACAAAAAGCAATTTTAAATTAAAAAATATATATATTTATACTAGTGTTTATAAACCATTCCACTGGGAAGAGCGGAGAGAGAAAAAAATGCCCTCCCACTCTCACCCCCGTGCGCCGTCTGCTCCGCCGAGTGGGCTGTACCTAACATCCGGCTGGCGTTCAAACTCAGTTCAAAATCACGTCATTTTGGAAATTTCAAGCGCAGCTAGATGCGCGGATTTTGATATGCAAGTTATCGTGTAATGCTATGCTCGATAAAAAGACTAACCGAGTTTAATTGCGATGTTACCTGCGTGGAAATAAATAAAAAAAAAATGGAAAAACTGTCTCAGAGTGGCCGGTCGCTCCGGCGAAAAGTAAATCCCATTGCTGCAGCCGTTTTACTCTGAGAAGTTCGTACTGGTGTAGGCCTTTCGCGACAATGAGTGGAAGTCTGGAATAACAAATAATAACGTGCTCTCCTGGCGCAGTAGACGCAGTGGTTGAGGTGCCGGCTGACTTCACTGCTATTGAAGTAACGGAACAAAAATACGCTAGTTCATCATTTACTGAAATAAAACAACATAGCGCTAAAGGCTGATTTAGGAGTAGCCGTAAATATTCTAAGAACGGAAACCACTTCCTAACGACCGCCACGAGCGAGAGTTGGATGTCCGGTACAGCCCAAAGATGGAGAACGACAACCTCCCGGTTTGTCGTCTGCTAGCTGAGTCGGGCGCGTACCCTTTGTCTCGTTTTACCCCGCCGAACCTGCTGAGCTTCCCGGATGTGTTGAGAGGGCGCTGCGGTCTAAGAAAATGGCGCCGCGTCAAGGGAGCATGGCTTGTGGAGGCTACGCGGCTGACATCATGCCCTCTCCTACCCTTCTATTCTCCTTGGATTACATACATACTGCCATCTTTTTTGAACAAGCTGAATGTCATAAGCTTTTAGTCATGCTACAGGCTTCGTGTCTTGTGTATACTGTGTCAACTAATGTTCCATGTTGCACTGGAGTCTTGTGACCCTCTTTTCGCCCATCTGAACTTGAAGAATGTTTTTATTTTAGATGTGATTTTGTGGAGGATGCCCTGTACGCACGCTGCGGTCTTGGAGCAAGGAACCTTGTCAAGCTGCCCCTGTTACAGTTTTTTGCCCCAGCCACCTTCTTTCTTGGTGAAAGAAAAATAAAATGATTGATTGATTGATTGATGTCTCCGTTGTACGTGAGAAATTTAAGCCAGTGCATACCATCTTGGGGTCCTTGAATCCCTGAGCTCTATCAGCCCGAGGTCCTAGCAGGAATTTGAAGAATAGCGGACATTCCATGCATTTCACTTCTAAACTTAAACAGGCTCGTTCATTTGAAGAAATCGTAGTCTGTCACAGGTTAAAGGAGAGGTGCAACGATATTCAGTCGGAATGTTTTTCACTTTACACGAGCTTACTGGCACTAGTGGGACTCAAAGATACTCGCACGCAATGCCACCGGCCAAGAAAATCCTTTGCTGCGGTGTAATTTCAAGGACAAAAGTGATCATATTCATTCAATCTGTCCTTTGCAAAATTTGACGTAACGTGGGGATCGCAGTACACCCCAATTACGATATTTGAATGCGGTTCATAGATTGGACCCGAGCATTGCGTGGACACTCAATTTGGGCCCGTGATAATTACTAGCTCGAGAAGCATTCGGGTGGTGGCCCGTGTCCAATCGCTGCAACGACGACAATAGCCGAGCTATAACAATGTCTGGAACTCAACGCGTGTCCTGTGCTTTGCCAACCCCAGCGCGTGGCTATGATCAACATTGGTGGCATATAATCGGCTCCAGATCGCGTGGCCGCTTGTTTTGGCTGGGAGTGGAGGATGTGAACGCAGCTCGTTTTTCTATAATTTTTTTTCTTCTGGCACTTCTATTGCGTGGGGTGAAAAACGAACGCGTGTTTCATAGGTCATTAACGTCGGAGATCCCTTCTAAGCGGTATTTGCGCAAAGTACAAAAATTCCTCCCAATAACCCTTTCGCTCTCTCCATTTTATCAGAGTGTACGAGCAAAAAGAAGGAAACCACCATGCATAGCGAGCAGAGAGCTTTGGGACTTGTCCTCCTGCAACAGACTAGAATAGATGGGCAGCACAGCAAAACTTGCGTCTCAATGTCGCCTACCTTTAATATACACTTTACGCTTATTTATAGGTCAATATAAACCCACAGGCAGGGAAAGTAAATGCGGAGACGAAATCAAGGTGGCCGCCGCCAATGCGGCACAGGGGTCACGTGAATCTGACTTCACTCCATGGCGTACATGCGGGTCCACTCGCGGGCCGTGACCTCGTAGGACAGGCGGTCGTTCTTGTAGATGGAGGCTATCTTGGGCATGAGCGGATCGTCCGGATTGGGGTCGCACATGAGGACGCAGATGGACAGCAGGACCTTGGCGATGGACAGCGCCGGAGACCACTGGGACTTGAGGATGTCCAGGCAGATGTCGCCGTGGTTGCTGATGTTCGGGTGGTAGATCTTGGTCGCGAAGCATACCTGCACCACGTTAGTAGAGAAGTGATAATAAAAAATATATATTTATTTGCCGACGAAAAAAAACCTCAATAAGTGCTGACTGTTGGGCGAGTTTGCATTGTGCATTAGAAAACATGATTGCGCTTTAGAACAAGGACAGTGAAAGAACAAACAACACAGAGCGCTAGCTTTCAACGTTTAATCAAAGACCACTGTATATATACACACTGCGCAACCACAAAACCATCAACCACTCCGACGTCCCGTCACAGATCGCAAGTACGCTAAAGTACGCTATACCTTTTTCTGCCCCGGCCGTACCGGAACTTTTGATGATGTCAGCCTCAGTTATCTTTCTAATTGTCCTTTTTTTTTACAGCGGAGCTGTTAAAGGTTAGTTTCCCCAAGAATCGTGTCCGGTACCAAACAAATGTCGACACAACACTCTGGTTGCCGCTGTCGCTCATAGATGGCGGTAGCTTTCGATCCAGCCTCGGCGACCAGACAACTGGTTGCTGCCGTCACTCATAGATGGCGGCAACATTTCTTCGGAGGAAGAAGAGCGGGAACGGAACTAGCGGCGATGTGCGCAGCAGCGCGAATGGTTCCGCGACTGCCGCAAGGCCGCTATCGCCTAAAGTTCCACTGCGTCGAGCGCTTCACATTCCCTTGCGGAAGGAGAGCGATCGCTCGCCTGGAAAGTCACCGCCGAGAACAGAAACTCCTTCTTCACCAAAGTAAAAAAACAAAACAAAACAAAAACAAAAAAAGATTTTTTTTTTTTTGAACGAGCACCGTTTGGGGAGTTGTCTGCGAACTATAAGTGAAAGGCAGCCCAGCGTGCCTCCGACCGTCAGAACACATTGACATCGTCCTGTCATGCGCTTACTAGATACAGTACCCTGCAGGTCGGATCAGCTGCTCAACTTTAAGGCATGGAAGGCTTTTTAACGAAACCCCTTTATCCCACAAATTTGTCCCCAAGTCCATCCGTCCCACCGTGCATTTCCCCGCTGAATTTAGCGGGTAAATGCACGGGCGTCGTGGTACTGGACACCACAACTTCAAACTGTGAAGCCAATTTCCCGCTAAATCAAGGAAATTGCCATGTGACGTCAGGTCACGTGACACTATGACCTCACGTCACAATTTTCTCGCTAAATTTAACGGGGCCAATTAATAAAGATTATGTTCTTTTTTCACTCGGTCCGGAGCGACTGTTTAATGCCTTCTAACTAAATTTTAATCATCGCTCCTTAAATACTCTATACAGTATTTGTTTAGACAGCACGGGGTGTTAGTCCGGCCCAGTGGGTGTCTCTGCTGTAGATGATAAATTTTGCAAGTGGGATAATAATACTAGCCTGGGGTCATTATCGTGCATCAGCGATATGCGAACATTTATGCCGGGAATACTCATCCAGATCGAAACGGACAGGGGTGGAGATTGAGCCCAGGATCCTTGGAATGAGTTCAATCCCCGCCTACAGGCAAGTGCTGCTAAATCCTGACTTCTTGAGCTGTGAGGCAGAGCTAGCCAATGGAAATGGTTGCTGGTGGTGAATTCGCGCGTAACGTGCATTTGCCACCGCCTTCCCCGCCAGATGGTAAGCAATAGCGCTTGCTCTAAGCACGCTCTGAACCACGACGGCCAGTGGATACCAGACACAGCTCTGTTTCTTTGGATGGACGGGTAGATATGGCTGAACAATTTGAAGCGGGCGATGGCTTGTGTGGCCCATTCAGGTGACTCAAGCCACAACACAGAAAAGACAACAATAGCAGCTTCAAAATGTTGACCTCCATCAAATAACACAAAATATAAAACGTAATGCTATTTCGGCCGACTCGGTTTGCTGCTGGCGCCCTACCTTCGGAGGCTTGAAAGGGTAGTCCTTGGGAAAGAAGATGTTCAGCTTGAAGACACCTCCCTCGAAGGGGCTGTCGCTGGGGCCCATGATGGTCGCTTGCCAGCTGAACATGTCCGTGCCGTCGATTGGTCCCGCGGAGCAGTTGGCCGGCGGGTCTCTGCTGAGGTCTTCCAGCTCCCTTTTGATGCGTTTCAGCGCCATCGCTGAACCTGGCCCGCCTCCCTTCCAAAATCCCGAGCTCTGACCTCAGTTGAGACGATGGTCATACCCGTAATGCAGCACCTTGGCCGCTTATGTTGCGTCACCTGCGTCGTTCTTCTCACTAGACTTACGCAAGCAGGCCTACACAAGTAAATGGCAACGCTCGCGTTAAAAAAGAAAGAAAGAAAAGAACAAGGATGTGTTGTGTGACATGTTGGCGCCAATTTACACCGAAGAGAAAGACGCAGGTGACGCTCCAGTTCCGTCAGGCATCACATTCGGAAACAATAGCCATGGCTGCCATGGCCATGGCCCATGAGAATCTATGTCCGGTTCATTGGAACGTTTTGACGCCTGCCAAAGCTACCTGCTCGCGCTTGTAGCCTTCGCGAAAACCCGTGGTAGGATGCGACAGAGTGTAACCGTTTTTGTGGCCGCCCAAGGCAGTTCAAAATTCCCGCCTCAGTGTTGTCTGGTTGGCAAGCCAAATGAGAAAAGCGGCAGGGAGAGGTCTTGGGAAAGCGACAAAAAGCACCCAGAGCGGCTGCTAGCCTCTGGGCATCAAATCTGCGCAAATCTGTAAAGTATTCCAACAAGTACTAGGTTTTCTACAGTGCTTTCCTCTTGCCATAGCCCGAAAATCTGCCTCTTCAATTTTTTATTTATTTTGAAGCCAAGTTAAAGGCAAACACAAATAAATAAAAATCAATGCTAGCGCGCACTCCAAAAACAAACAAAACAAATTCAGCGTTCTTTTTTCTTTTTTATCTGAGGAGTCAGTAGGTTTAATCTGCATGCGCTCTAAAAGTAGTTCTTGGCTGCACTCTTTGGTATTACATTATTTACCTTGATTTTATTTTAATGAATACATAAATACATATTTATGATTATAATAGATATTATAAACTCGCATTAATGTTTGTTTGAGTCAATCTATAGTTTCCTATTTTGTTTCTTGCGCTTCTGGCCATTCTGGCGGCCGGCGCGCAGCAACACACTCTTGCGTGCTCTTGTTGTGATACATTGAAAAGTGTGGAAAACCTCGGCGCTCAAAGAATAATCGAGTTAATTACTGATTGATCGATAATTTTTGGTACCATTATGTCGTTCCGAGACCCAAGAGGGTAAGCTTAAGCATTTTTCTCGTTTTCAATCAAGCTCCTCAGGCTTTGCTAGCAAATGATAAAACCGCGCTCATTCGCAACAGCGGGTTGATGATCGCCATATTTGCTTCGGCGTCGCCTGGCGAAGTAAATACGGCCACAGTCGACGATTGTCGTCGTTTGGAGCGCTATTCGTTGTGGCCTGTGGTATCTGTGCTGCTTATGGTGAACACCTCAAAGCGCTCGCGAAGAAATTAAGTGCCAATAGCGCGTAATATTAGATCACGCGTTGCCTCCGAAATGGGGCCATGGTTGAATCGGCACTTCTTAGATTCGTCAGGCCTTTTGCGCACTTTGTATATGCACTAAACCCACTTTAGCATCGCTTGTTGATGCGCGAGCGAGCGTTCCCGTGAATATTACTGATCACAAAGTTGTGCAAGCTCGAAAGCTCTTTTTTGTTTAATGATGTTGGGTGGTTTGTGAATCGAGTGCTAAGCCTAACTAAGGGAGGCTTCGTCAAGGACACGGTTGTGTTGTGTCTGGAGTTATTCGTTCGTTCGTTTTCACGTTCTTTTACGGGCGTCAGAGCTCTTGCTTCGGGTGCTGTGTTATTGGCGGTAACGAAATCCCATTGGCCTGTAGATTGAAATTTGATTGCGTTGGGCTTGTGTGGGTTATGGTTTCCGTCGGACTTCGAGGGGGTTGTTTATTTTGCGAAACATTGCATAATCCGGTTTCAGTGACCCACACTTGGCAGTCGGCTTTTTTGTTTTTGTTTTGATTTGTTGTCGTCAAGAGTGAAACTGGTTTGTTTACGTCAGCTGTTTAGCGCTGTCCAAGACAGACGCACACGAGCTCTGAGCAAATTTGGCGGAGTCTCCTGTCTTCACAAAACAAACAGAGGGACAAAAACAGACATGTACAGTCGGGGACAAAAGTCTCCAGGACACGCGAGCTGCGGCTGAAACGCATCGCTCTGCCATCTGCCGGCGGGTCGCCTGGTTTCGAGATCACACAAAAGCGCATGCGCGTCCTACTCTGTATGCAAACATGCGTGTTTTCCCGCTTTTCTGCGTCACAGCGCCTAACTCGGAATCAGGCGCGTAATACCGCCTCGAAGATAGCGCTGGCGGCTTACGGGCGTCTGCTACACATTCCGAAACACGAGATACCGCCTGGGGCATTGCGCCGCATTTCGCTGTGTCAGCGCACCTTGCTTTATAACCATTACAGCTTATCGCTCAGCTGAGCTGCCGTGACTTCTTGCTTTATAGGTGCCATGTCAGTAAGCGCTATCTCCGAGGCGGTACCCCGCGCCCGATTCCGAGTTAGGCGCCGCGCCGCAGAAAAGCGGGAAAACACACATGTTTGCAGACAGAGTAGGACGCGCATGCGCTTTTGCGTGATCTCGAAACCAGGCGACCCGCCGGCAGATGGCAGAGCAATGCGTTTCAGTCGCAGCTCGCGTGTCCTGGAGACTTTTGTCCCCGACTGTACATGTCTGTTTTGTCCCTCTGTTTGTTTTGTGCTTTCTTACTGTTACATCTGTCCCAACACGCTCGTCAAAGTCCTCTCCTGTCTTCTTCTACAGTTTATTCACGTTGCTCGCTGACTTAAACGATGTACATATCTGGGGGGCTATGTTGCGCTTTTTGGACTCCCCGGAGACTAGGGAGGAAGTGTGGATTGGATGTTGATTTTGTTTTCTTCTGTCAACATCCAATCTGCGTTTGCTCTAGTCGTTGACGTCACTTCCTTCTTCCAAGTCTCCTGGGAGTGCAAAAAGTGCAACATAGCACCCCTGGCTGCTCAGGACGTTTGAAATCTCGTGGGAAAGGTCGTGTTTTTAGAAAACATATACGAGAGGAAGCTTTATTGATAGGATACGGGAGAAAAACATTTATGAGAATTCACTTTTTTAGAAGTTTCTGTTCTAATAAATAGTACTTGTCGGAACATGTGAGCTATCAGACCTTTGGCGGAAAAGCTACATTTCCGTGGGTCGCAGCGGCCTAGGTGGCACTGACCAAAGGCCACTTTTGTGCCCGTTGTGAGTCATCTTAGGCGGCAAATTTCGTGCGTAAAAGCTTTCTTCCCACCTCTACCAAATACTCTTGAACCACTATCTTGACAACCGACAGCCGCAATTTCGGATATCAAATTTTGCCACTTCTGGCTATGCTCTGTTCCACATTTTGATGACGTCAAATGGCACCATACTAGCTGCCATACGGTGCTCCTCTGCCCATACTTTCTGCAGAAAATATTTGGTACCTTCGAATTTTTTCTTTTCGGCAAGGCTTGCCGTGAAGAACAAATTTAATGGTGTGAAACATATGCTGCAGAAGGTATGGGCAAAGGCGCACGGTGCTGAGGATGCAATGGCGGCTATTATAACGACAATGCAACCCATGTGTAGCAAATGACGGCACTGGCCTTCTTTATGGGAAAGGGGCCATTCTTTCAATTTTGGACCGGAGAAGTTAGAAGGACAAACTGCCGACGCGAGAAAGCGCGACACACAACTACGGGGGGTTCCGGAACGTGTCTTTGATTAGTGTCCCGTCCCCGCCCATACGTCAGAAGTGGTCCCAAGGTGGCCACGAACAGTGCGACACAATCCGGCGTGTCACGTTGTCGGGTGTCGCTGTCCTGGTGGTCGGCTCCAGGTGTCCTGGCAGGAAGTGTGAATGAATGCGAGTCATGTTGCCGTCGCCACGTCCCGATTCCAGGGTCCTTAAACTCGTTAAACGCTAACTTGAAACTGAGAGTTCGCAGAGCGCGCCGGACACTGGCAAAAAAAAAGTGTAAAATCATTGCCATGATAGGCCAATCAGTGCGTTCCGTCAACTTTGGCCCCAACTTTGTGTTTGATGAGTTTAAAGGCCATGGCTGCCAAAACTCCCGCGGACTACCGAGCAGGAGATACACACTTCTGTGATGTCATTGAGCAGAAATCGAGCCATCTCGTTTTTAAAACGTGGTAAACCTGCCGTTCGTAGATGCGTTCCGCGCACCGTAACCCCGTTAAGGATCTCTCGGTTGTCTCCTGAGCCCCCTTCGGTCCGCGTCCGGTTGTTGCAGGAGGGACGGCAGAAACCGCTGGGGCGGCGGCGGCGACGACGGAATGCGCGGCAGCCTGAAGGGGCGTCAGCCTGGCGAGCGGCTGCGCAAGCCCAAGTGGGACATGTCGAGGCTGCCCGCCTTCCAGAAGGACTTCTACAAGGAGCACCCCACCACGTCGCATCGGTCCATGGTGAGTGTGCCTCGGCAAGTGCCGGAGTCGCTCTCTTTGAAAGTGTCGCGTCGCCGAGTCGCCGCTGCGCAGGTTGTCAGAGTCCGCTGTTGTTTGGACACAGCTAGGCCTGTGTCTGTGTCGTAGTCGAGGGGTGTGCCAGCGTTTGACGAAGGCTCAGATTTGTTCACGCGCTGCTCCCCCGAGAAATGAGGACCGCTGAAGTTGTTCAATGGACTTTTGAGGAAGGTCTATTGCACTCGAGAGTATTGGCTGCGTGCGCAACTAAAAGCATCTCTGTGGTCGGCTTTCGAATATTGTCCAAACACTTACAACGGCGTCCTCAGTGGAATTATTTCCGCTTTCATAGAGGGAGATGAGGAAAATGTCAGACTGTCAGCTTTGACGGTGCAAGTTTAAAGACGCGATGACTCCAAGCTTTTACGCACCCCATGGAACTTGCCGGTCGGAGCCGACGATAAGCAGCTACGATAACAACTCCCGATGTCGCGTTGAGGCAATTCCTGGTCGTGATGTCACGGACGGAAACCACGAGAGGGTTCCACTGGAACGTCTTGGTGCTAATTAACACTTAAACCATATTGTTGCGTAGAATCAGTGCTGCCAGCGTTCGCCGACGTGTTCGACAGAAAATGCCTCTGTCCTGCTTGCAAGAACAGCTTGCAGCAAAACAAGATGATACCGCTACAGTCAGTTTGCGCCCTATCTAGTATCTACTTCTCGAGAAATCGCATTTCAGAAGTGTGACTGGCTGCAGACGGCACTCGTGCAGCTCTGAGCGACAAACGGGCAGTGGTGCCCATGAGTTACTGGCGCGTAAACAAACGTCGCATGACACCAGACGTGGTTGTCGTAGCGACGTCCGACATTGGGAGCCAAGTGATGGTACTCTGAGCGTAGGGTATGGCGTTTGGCAAAGATTCCATAATCGTCATCCACATCTGAAGTCCCTGTATACTGTTAGCGACTCCACATCACAGAAAGTTCACTGTCGTGTCCTCGTTGTGCAAAGAACAAGATGAGTCAGTGCTGTACTGACTGGTTTTTCTTTTCGGATAGTCCCTCTAAGTTGGAGTGTCTTGTGGTTGATCTATATTGTGGCACAAACTATACTTACCGAGGCAATATATACACCAACCCAAGTGTACAAACAAACCGAACTGCCCCTAGCGGCACGCCACCGGCTCCGTGCATGCACAATGGGGTGTGGGTAGGAAGTGCTGCGTCCCGCATCAACAAACCATTGGCATGTGATGTCGTCGGTGTTGGTCTGACTCCCCGTGCTTTTTTTGTGTGTTGGAATTGTTGATTCTACGTCTTCCTAGCAATGTCTTACTACTTTAGTGGCCTGTGCGAAATTAATGAGGCTCATTGCGCCGGAAAACTTTGTGTAAACAATGTGACTTGCAGCGATTCATTTTGTGTGAACATTGCAGAATGGACGCTAAAGCCTGATTCACACGATGCTCGCTATTTTAAGTTGCGACGTCGCTCAGGCTGCAAAAGCATGAGCGGTAGCTGCGATGCTCAATGTCGACACTGAATATTTATCGCAAGCAGAATCTGGCCAAGTGCATCGGGCTTAACAAGTCGGGGATGGCCATCATTACCAACAATCAACACCTCGTATCTACCATTTATACTGAGCCTGCTTACCCTAAACAACCTTAATACTTTAGTCTTTGAGGCCTATCGCAACGTTTGGTCTACCGGTCGCTGTCGTTTGAAAGAGCAGACGGCTGTTTGAATGTGGAGACGCACCGAGCGTGATCTGCGGGTGGTCTGGACAAGTTAATGGTTTTCCCGCGTTCACATTAGAAGAAAACAAATAAATCCGACGACCATAAGTACCTGTAAATTCAACAGAAAGTGTTTCCTGCACGGGCAATCATGGTCCGACAGTGTCTTTTATCATTTCATGTCTATTTCCACATCTTCGACAAACCGAGCGGGCAGAAAACACATGGAAACTGATATTCACCCCTCTCCCGACTCTTTTGGCACAACCCCAGTCGCGGCGTTTTGACGAGAAGGCAGGTTTCAGTGTGGTTTCTTCCGAAACATCACGGGAATGCCCGTCCCACACAGCGACCTTCGCTCACACCCCCGTAGCGGAAGTGCGCCCAAAGCTCCACTTCTGCCGCACCGCGTAACAGTGTTGAGTTGGTGTATAAAGCAAGGGCATCTTTCTTTCATAAAGAGAGAGAGAAGCTAGAAAAGCAAGCAGCCACGTTCGTTTTCCTGGCAGTACCAAAATACAGATTCTTATTGCATTCTGTGCCAGTCTATGGTGGGCTCTAGCCAACTTCACTGCTGGTGATCACTCACTTTGAGCGAGCTAATCCAAAGGTTGACCGGTGTGCCTGCCCCTCGCATTGCAGATGGAAGTGGAGGCGTTTCGTAAGCAGCACGACGTCACCATCCGCGGCAAGGACGTTCCCAACCCTATCCTGAGCTTCGAAGAAGCCAACCTGCCGGGTGAGCTATGTGCCTCAATGTGTTTGTATTTTTGCTTTTTCTTTTCCCCTGTGCGCTTGTTTTTATTACATGAACACGATTTGGAAACGTGTACCTCTTGTCTATTTCTCACAGCGGCAGGCTGAGTCTCCGTAACTTTCCCTCGTCGGTGAAAAGCAACTTTAGCCGTTTTTTGTTGTTGGAGAGAACAATGTGGAGACATTCATGGCTGCCGAGGTTCTTGTCGGGCAATTTCGAGGACCCCAGCCTGACGAAGGCTTATTACGGAGAAGGCGCCATGTAACCAAGCTTTCAGTTGCACGTCAGAAGATCCCCAGGCGGTTGAAATTAATCCTCAGTCCTCCGCTGGGGCGTGACAGATGCCCGTCGTTAGTTTGGCACTTAAAATCCCATAATTTGACTTCAGATCCGAGGATCCAACTGCCCTCTAAATCCAGCTTTTTGTTTCCTCGTGAAATCTGCCGGACGAGAGTCGAGGGTTCACGGCTGCTCTATCGACCTTTTCTCTCACCGCATGTGCGGTGAGAGAAAAGGTCATCGTCATCACCGCATGTGCGGTGATGACGTAGAACTCAAAATATTTTTCACTTCTAGGTCGTCTGAAGCCTAGAAGTTCATTCATAAAAAAAATGGAAATCTATGAAACATGGCAATTAAGACCATTGAAATGCCGGAAGTGCACTGATATGAAGAAACTTTAAATGAGTAATTGTAAAGGGTGATTTTCTAAATTTTTTTGTTGACTCATTTCACTTAGCTGGTTGTCTAGTCTCAGGTCGACTTTTTTTTTTTTTATCAGAAAACATACAGTTTTCTAATTAAAAATAATTGAGTGTTGTGGCATACAGCATGCTTTAAATTTCATGCACAAATAAAATATTTTTACATTTTTTTAAAGGTTTTTTTTAACTGTCAGTTACCCGACAAAAGGGTTATTGAACCTTAGTTTGCAAGCATAACAAAATTTTTTTTTTTTTTTCTAAGAGCCTTGTTTGGCCATTTTAGAGTTCTCTTTCATTTTTTATTGTGCGGGGTCTGATGTCTCGTGTCCGTGTCCTTTTCCCCTCTCTCTCGTGGGACAGACTTCTGCATGTCTGCGATCCGGCAGGCCCAGTACACTGTTCCCACCCCCATCCAAGCCCAGGGTTGGCCGATTGCCCTCAGCGGACGGGACATGGTCGGCATTGCGCAGACGGGCTCCGGCAAGACACTTGCCGTGAGTCTGGGGCCGCTTCGTCTGCTTTACCTGACCTCCGGGATGTGTGCTGGGGAAAATCTGGGACTAGCAAGTGAATTCTAGGGAGTTCACGTCTTTTCAGAACCGAGTGCTACTTAGGTTTGTGGCACCAAGGAGGTGTATTAGGGTGATTCCCGAAGGAAAAATCGGACTAGTGAGGCCCGCTTCAGACGGAGCAATTTTAGCCAGCAACTTCACGTCGCAACACGGGTTGCCCGCATTCACACGCAGCAACCGAATCGCTACGACTTGCCATCATCATCATGAAAAGTTATTTGTCTTGCACTATTTAGACGCAGAGCTACGCTCTAAAAACATTTTTTTATATCTTTAAATGGCATTGAGAATGCTAACTCATCTTTCTGAAAAGGTTTACTCCCAAAAACAATCCATTTCAAACCAAAACTAAGTCTTTAGCCGTCGTCATCACCACAAGGGGGTCACATGAAAATATTGCATCCCTGATCGGCTGCTGCCGCTTCAAACATCTCTGAGTTGTTTGAGTTGCTCGTCCGTTTCGAGCCGGACCCAATCTCAGCAATTCGTGTCGATCTAGGGAAAGCTAGGGAACAACCCGCCAGCAACCTCAAAATTGCTGGAAAAGTTGCCCCGTCTAAAGCGGGCCTGAGGGAATTCTTGGATGTTTGGAGAATTCCTGGGGCCCTTGTGCACCGTCTAGGGAAATGAAATGGGGGAAAATGATGAAGCTTTGCTGTTAGCAATTCCTATGATGTTCCAAATGGGGGGGGGGGAAAGTGAAAAAGGGCATTTTAATGAAAGTTAGACTGTCTTCAAGAACAGGCAGATCCATAGGTAATTTGACTTTGCTGTGTCACAATCTTGCACTGTGTTTGATATGCATTCCCTTTCCTCTCCTTTTTGCAGTACATTCTTCCAGCGATCCTTCACATCAGCCACCAGCCTTACCTTGAGAGAGGAGATGGCCCCATTGTGAGTTGGCACATTGGTCATATCACTTAATCAATCTTGTTTGCTGTTTTCTTTTTGACTGTGTTGTCTACTGTCCATGCTTTTTCTAGGACGTTAATGGAGGCCATTCTTGCCAAAGTCTGGGAATTAGGTGTACAGATGTTTGATCAGCCAGAAATTTATTCTGCCTTGGGATTCTGTTTAGTGTTTCACCGTATTGGGCAAATTGGGACAGTTCAGTACCGCTCCAAACCTGGGAGTCTTTAACCCCTTAAGTGCCAAATTTTTTTTTCCAAAAGTAACCTAAAAGTGACATATTTTTTATTTTGAAATTGTTATTCCTCTAGTATTACACATAAAATTTGAAAAGTTTATTACGCAAAAATCAGCGGAGGCGAAAAAAATTTTCGCCAACTAAAACAAGTGCTGCCATCAATGATCAGCGCCGCAAAACTACTCGGACGAGCCTATCTCGTCCGTGGAATTGATGGATACCGAAAAAAACACTGGACGAGCTAAGCTCGTCCACGGCATTTTTAGCCAGAAAGTGGCCGACGAGCTCAGCTTGTCCAAGGCACTTAAGGGGAGACACCCCCTGGGAGGGTCAATTTTTGAACCCTTGGCTTAAAATTAATGAAATTTACAGGGTAGGCTGGTGGTCATGCTAGAGGGTGCATAACAAAATTTTAGGTCTGTCGGTTAATTGGGAAGGAAATTAGGGCAGCTTCTATCAGCAACACCCCTACACTGTCTAGTTAATCTATCGTCAGAAAACTATCACAATATTAAAGATTTTTATTCGCTAGGTATGTATCCGAATGCCTAAAGGGTGCGCCTATGGAAAGGCTTTTGTAAAAAGTAATTAATTTCTATCAGTTTTCTCTTCTGCGAAATTGGTCAACTTTTTGGTCTTCTGTGTCTCCGACAAAATGTCAACATTTTTCATAAAAGACATCCATAAAGTGACAAACAAACTCCATAGGCGCATTCCTTATTAAATTTCAGTCAGGAAAAGTGAAGAATGAGCCTTGCCTGTATTTCCATTCTCAAACGATAGATTGACTAAAATGGAATTTATACAAAAAAGTGGAATGGAGAAAAATGTGTTCAAAGTGCTTCAAACCCTACCTTTCCTTTAGCTTTGGTGGACAGAAAATAATTTATAAAAAATTAACTATGCAGTGTAAACTAGTGAAAATTTCTGGGAATACTCTCTGGGTGTAGAGGGATGTAAATATGTAATTTTTCAAAATCAATGTTTTTTAAAGAATCTTTTTTTCTCCGGGTAGTGTCCCCCCTTAAAGGGACAATGAAGACGATTTTATTTAATTTTTAAATGGTGTTTTTATGCTTCTTGGGAACATAGCATGCTGCCCAATTTTTTGTAGACATTTGTGACGCGTATTTTTGTGCCAACGAAAGAAGTAAAGAAACCGAAACTAAACTATCTCCGTTCTCGTTTCTGGGCCTCCGAAAACGGAGGTGACGTAGGGAGTGACGTCAGATGTGAATAGTTGGTATCGGTAGCATTTAGGAGATCGAGACTCTGGTTACCACGGTGGGTTATAGCAGCGCGGTGGGGCGGTCGTTTCGCCGAATCTGTCGACATGGACGGCAATGCCGCTTTCGCGAGCGAGTTCCAGCTTCCGTTCAGTGACTGAACACCAACGGAACGGGAGTCCGTGTGTGGCGGCCTCTGCCATCACCCGACGGAGACCGCCCAGCCGGCAACCAGCGGCCCGCATGCCGTAGGACGGACGCGGAGGGGAAAGCGGCAGCGATCCGGCCGTTCCAGGATCCGGTTTCTCCGCGGACGTCCTCTTTTCGTCGTCAAAGAACACAAAACTAGCGTCGCCCGAACGAATACTGGTCTTCAGCCGACCGTTGGAAGAGTCATCTACAGCTACAATTTTGCAGAATCCTTCCAGTACCGTGTTCTTTTTCCCATATTTGTTCGTTGCCCGCTTCGCGTCCAGCGTAGCAAAGCAAAAAAACAATTGTGCTGCTTTATTTATGGTTTAGTAATCATTTTCGGTCCGATTTATACTTTTCATGGTTATTCAAGTGGAAATTAGAACAGTATTATTAAAAATCGCGAACCAAAACGTGACCGAGGGCATGTTTCTCGTTTCGACCAATCGCTGACGTGTCTCTTGTGACGTCGCGCTTCTTGGCCCCGCATCGATCACGTGAGCTCCTCTTCTCCTGGCTTCTTCCGCAACTCTCGGGGCGTCGCTCCAGCCGATCCCGGTACGATTATTACCGCGACTGTTTAATTGATTTGCGCGGCATAGAAGCGCCGGTTTCGGCTGAAATTTGGGCAGCGTGACATGAGACGTGCCTGGAACCCAGTTCAATCGCCAAAAAGATGTGCGAAATTGCCTTCATTGTCCCTTTAAGGGGTTAACATGCATCCCACAGTAGTGGTCAAACAGAGGTACGTTATAGTACAATACGAGTGGGCTTGAAACTCTGGTCTGAGTGTTTTGTTTTCTCTATTTTTCAGTGTTTGTCTCTTTATTTGCGCTTGTGCATTTCATAGTCCCTTAAGTTTAAATGCTTTGTGGTTTCTTGGTTTGGGTGTTCCATAATTCTTTTAGGTCTGAGTGCTTACTGGGTTTGGGCATTTCATAGTCTCTTTAGGTCTGTGCTTCATGGTCTCAAGTTTGAGTGCTTGTTTTTCCTTAGGTTTGCGTGTTGTGTAGTCTAGGCTCATGCATTTCATAGTTTCTTGAAGTTTGATTGCTTCACCGTCCCTCTGGCTATTACCCGCGGTTCGACCGCTGGACCGAGCCTCTCCCTCGGTGGCTGACCCCCTCCCTCTCCCCGTGCAGGCGCTGGTGGTGGCCCCCACCCGCGAGCTGGCCCAGCAGATCCAGCAGGTGGCCGCAGAGTTTGGGAGGGCCTCCCGCATCCGCAACACTTGCGTCTTCGGGGGAGCCCCCAAGGGGCCCCAGATACGGGACCTGGAGAGAGGTGGGGAATCCCCTTTTTTTGAAGAGGAAGTTGCGATCTGCAATAGAGCACCCTACAGAAAGTCTACGAGTTCACTTTCCAGCAGGACATGGAGATGACCAGTCGCGGCAAAGAGTAGAATCCCGGCTAAGAACGAAGTTCTATAGGATCAGACCAAAAAACGTGATGTGCGAGAAGTGTGACGTTAAACGTCATGCATACTTTCACTGTGAATGTCACTTTTTTCGAATATTTTCAATTTGAGATTTCGTTCGCCGGGATCCCTTTGTTGTTTCCTGCGATTGGCTGCCCCCGTGTTCTGCGGGTAAGTGAACTCGCAGACTTTTTACAGCTTGGTGTCGAAGGATGGCGGTAAGATCATGGACACGATGCGTCGCACGCGTCTTCTATTGGTGCGCCATGTGTCCATACTGCCTAAGCATCAAAAGTGCCCCGAAAACCGAGTTTGACCTTCGCGTTTGCGCCGCACAAGATCGGTCTGCCCTTGAGGTGCTGCGACGCCGGGTTTACGCTGCCGTAGACGAGCAGTTTAGCCAGTGCAGCACAACCGCTGGCCCGGCGTCTCTGACGTGCGTCATGCGGTGGCGACGCGACGCTCATTTCGATCGATGCAGGCAGTGATGCGGGTTAAATCCAGGATGCGCCGGTTCCGCAGTGCGAGCATTTGCTCCGCACGCTCCGAGCTGTGGAGTGCCAGCGCGCTCAGCCACCGGTCCCTGCAAAAGTGGTCGCGTAGCGACCACAAGGCACTTCGTGGGGGGCCCTGCGCTTCGTGCTGTCCAACGTCTCAATCGCAGCAGTCGGTCGTGCAAATTCCGACGAAAAGTACCATATTTTCCTGACTACAAAAATAGTTAAAATTTCTCTGAAATTTTATAGTTAAAATTTTACCCGGCACAGACTGTAGGAGGATTTTTTTTTTTCTAGATAGTTCAGCATGATGAGACGTCGAGGGCTTTATGAATAACAGAGTGTATTAACGTCCATTTACGTACGAGCTACTTAGCAAGCTAATACGGCAGGCATTAGTTAATGTGTCGTGTAGATGAACTTTTGACACTCAAATTGGGTATTAAGTACAAACTTTCTAAGAAAAATCTTTTATTTTTCACCCCGAATTCGCCCCTGCAGACAGTACACTACGTGCAGACTTTAGTGCAGAAAATTTGGTATGGAGTAAATGCGTGTGTCGCCTGCGTCACGGGGTCCCGACTCCCCGCTGTGGAGGCCTCTGCGAGCCGTCGAGCTCAATATCGTCCCACAGCAAGACCCCGCCTGGGGCGTAGGCTGGAGCCCCGGCTGGCAATGACACGACGCTCGTGTCGTTGCGTCGGGTGGAATTCGAGGGACCACGAACGTGGACTGCGCGGGGAACGCGGGTCGGAGATGCGTCGCAGGTGCTGTGCCGTCGGCGGAGCAAAGGCAGCGGTTCCTAAGGTTGCGCTGGCGTTTGTTTGTCAGGGGTGGAGATCTGCATTGCCACGCCAGGACGCCTGATCGACTTCCTGGAAGCGGGCAAGACCAACCTGCGCCGCTGCACCTACCTGGTGTTGGACGAGGCAGACCGGATGCTTGACATGGGCTTCGAACCGCAGATCCGCAAGATTGTCGAGCAGATACGGGTGAGTGCACCCGCGTGTGCGCCCTCCGGACCGGGTCCGGTCTGCTGGCCTGCGCGGAAGCCGCAAGAGGGATTTTCCTGTCATGAGGCTGGCTCGGAGGGCAGGACGTACTTGGCGTTGCGGCCTATTCTGCCTGGCAGGCGTAAGCCTTGCCCATTGTTTTCTTTGATTTTCGCTCAGCAGGGTCTTCCACAGAAATAACTTTACGTTGGCGCTCCTGAAGTGCACGAATGCGATTCGTTTCACTAGTGTTTCAAGCTTCTTTGCTTTTCTACTGCATGCAAAATTGGAGTCGAATAATTGAAGTGAGGAAGAACTTGGGGCAGCCGTTTGTCTGGGATGCCGGGTGCCATTAACTTCTTCTCTCCCCAGGGGCGGTCGCGCGACATCAAAATCCTTTTCGTGGCCGCTTTAACTGCTGGGAGAGATGGCCGCGTTCACCAGCAACCGACCCAGGGGTTTCCAAACTTTCGTCTCGAGGAACGCCCATCTCTCTTCCGAGAGCCATTGAACACCTCCCAATATATGTATCGATGCGGTACGGCGGTAAAGAAGCCTACTGACCTTGCAAACAGTAATGCACATACTAGGGGGGGGTTAGCACGTAGGTACGGTCAGTGGACGGCTTAGGTGTGCTAAAATGTCGCTAAAACTGGAAGAACACTCCACTCGGAAGCTGAAACGGCCGAGGAAGTTTGAAAGCTCTGGCGACCCCGGAGGCCATTCTGGGTAACCCCTGGGAACCCTGTTTCAGAACTCGTGTATCTTGAAGATCGGTTGTTGTCGAGTGAAATATTTCCCTCGTATGCAGCCACAAAAATTCAGGTTCAGCTTGACTTTCGTTCAGTCAAAAGCATTTTCCGTAAGATACCGACAAAGTAACTGAGGGATTGGTGCTCTTTAGGTATGGGAGCAAAGATACAGAAGGTGCGCACGATAGAGTGGGCTTTGCCGCATGTTTGGCATGTGTGCATTAGACTAATAGTTGTGTTCCTTGAGTTTGTGTGGCTAAGTAGGCCCCGAGGAGTGATGTGATGCAAGAAATACCTTGAGGACCAGTCGAGACCAAAGAAAATCGAGAAGCATACCCTCTAAAGGTCGGTTGTCGCCGGATGCACGCAGCCTGACCGTCAGACGCTGATGTGGAGCGCCACGTGGCCCAAGGAGGTGCGCTCCCTGGCGGAGGACTTCCTCAAGGAGTACGTGCAGATCAACATCGGGGCCCTGCAGCTGTGCGCCAACCACCGCATCCTGCAAATCATCGACGTCTGCCAGGAGTCGGAGAAGGACACCAAGTGAGCCAATCGATCCATCCATCGGCCGGCCAGTCGACATTTGTTAGAGGTTTAGGTGCCGGGCAACTCGAGATTTTAATCATGGATGAGAGGCAGCGTTCCCGCAGTTGAGATGGGAATGGCAGGAAGGGTTTTAACTCTCCCGTATTCGGCGCAACCTTTCTGTCTTCGATGATGCTTTGGCATCTCGTGGGCCGTGAGCGTTCACGCCCAGCCGAAGCACAATGGACGGCCATGGCGCCTGCTGGATGCCGGGCGTTCGAAAGAGATGACCTGTCATTCTCGTCTTGTCGGGGACTGTAGTCTCAAAAATCTAAAAGCTTTTTTTTTTTTTTTTTTTTTAAGTTGCCGATTGTTGACAGGAAAGGCAAACTAATTTATTTCTGAAGCTTTTAGTGAGTATGCTCTGCAGCTTCCTCCTGCGCTTTCCGTCGGTGGCTGGCACAGAGTTCTGTCGAGGGCTTGTGACCATTTGAGGAAGGAGTGTCTTCAACTAAACTGAGTTTGTGCTCTGTTGCAGGCTCCTCAAGCTTCTTCAGGAGATCATGAACGAGCGCGAAAACAAGGTCGGTGCTTTTGGAGGCATAAAACTCTGACCAGCATTGTCATGGTTAAGACGTTATTTAGATGGCCTTTTTCATTGCAATCTAGTTAAACCAACGTGCCCGAAGCATTTTTTTTTGTTTGGCCAGCATGGTAACGACAGGTCATTTGATTGGGAAGTAACTTTCGGCGACCTCAGAAGCTGGGAAATTCTTCCTTTATGAGTACCTTCAATTGCACTTGACGGTGCACCTTTTGGGTTTGGCCAGCATGGTAACGACAGGTCATTTGATTGGGAAGTAACTTGACTTTCGGCGACCTCAGAAGCTGGGAAATTCTTCCTTTATGAGTACCTTCAATTGCACTTGACGGTGCGCCTGCTGAAAATTATGGCGTGTTTAAAGCGAAGGAAAGGTAAGGTTTGTCCGAGCAGATTCGGTAGTTTTTGCAGTGCTCATTTTAATATTCTTGCGTGGCTATTAGACCTTTTTCAAAAGTCGGTGCTGCCTAGTGGCCACCGCGCCAACTAACTGCGAGCACGTGTTGGACACAACCGCTGCGTCAACGTTTGGCGAGGACTGGGATCAAATCGCACGTTTCCTGTTCAAGAATTGGCAATCGCCAGTGTTGCTTGTGGAGTTCCGGAAAAACTCTATTCAAGGCCATTTTTGGCGCGCACCTGCAGACGATCATCTTCGCCGAGACCAAGCGTAAAGTGGACGAGCTGACGCGCCGCATGCGTCGCGACGGATGGCCGGCCATGTGCATTCACGGCGACAAGTCCCAGCCCGAACGTGACTGGGTGCTCACTGGTGAGTCGGTTTTTTGTGAGGAATGAGCGAAGGCGACTCGCAGATTTTTTTTTTCTGCCTCATTGTTGACATTGCAGTTGTGTATGGCGACTTTCTCTCTCCCACTGTCTTTGTCACATTCCGGGACTTATCTCGTTTACCCCAGAATTCCGGAGCGGGAAATCGCCGATCCTCGTCGCCACGGATGTCGCGGCCCGCGGGCTGGGTGAGTGACCGGCGAGACAAGCTCCCTCGCGCTCTCGTTACGGTCGGGGCTTCTAGTCTGAGTCGGGGACGGGACCGAAAAATTGGTCGGCGCGGGTTAGCAGACGGGTCGGTCGGTCCGGCTGGGCGCACCCCAAAACCCTGTCGTCTCGGGGAAAAGACTGGGATTGTCCTCGGGTCAGGGTGTCTGCTACCAGGAGGGGGAGAACCAGGGGAGTTGGAGCACTTACGGGAATTTCTAGGGAAATGATTTTTCCCCCTGGAAACTCTTCAGACTCCCCAAGTTCCCCAGCTCCTGGAAGAAGGGGCACGCAGTCGTTGAGTCTGCCGGGTAGACACCCTGGCTTGGCCGGGGAGGGGTAAGCGGGGCCCGCAGCCCCCTCCGAACACCCCCATGTGGCCTTTTTCTTCTCTTTCTCTCTTTCAGAGGCACCGTAAAGAGAGATCGGGGATTTGCGAATGGTGCCTCTGCGTTGCTCTGGGAGGCCCTTGGCCACCCCCGCGTACTTCGGCCAGGGGAGAGCGGAGGAGGGAAGGCGCCGCAGCATGGCCGGCCCGCCCCTTTGTCACGAAAAGCGGGGGAAGGAAAAGCGTCGACCCGCCGAACGGACGGTGCGACGCTGCGAGTTCGGGGAAGGCAAGGCGTCGTCGTCGTCGACCTCTCGTGCTGGCCGTACGGGCAGGAGCCCCCGCCCACTTCTTGGGTGAGAGTCACCGCCTCAAGCTCTCGTCCTCGGCGAGCCCGCCCCCCCGTTTGGCGGACTGCGTCTCCCTCCCCCCCTCGCTTCGGCGGGGGGGAGGAGGGCCCAAGTTTGGACCCGCCCGCTTGGCAAGAAAAAGCGGCCGAGAACAGTCTTGCAAGGGCGGAGCCAAACCTCGCCCTTTTTGCTAGCGACTGGGTGGACTCTGCCCGGAAGGCGTAACCTCTCTTTTCCCGCCTCGCTTCGGCGGCCCGGTGTTGGTCGTCCGCGGGGTGGGGGAGGGGGCGGGATTTGAATTTTGACCCGCCCACTCGAACACTGAAAGGGCCGAGGACAAAGCGGGCGGAGCAGGGCCTCGACGTTTACGCCCAGAAGGTGGACTCTCGTTCTCCCACCTTGCTTCGGCGGCCCGGTGCCGGCCATTGTCGGGGTGGGGGAGGGGACGGGCCTCAGATTGGACCCTCCCACTCGGCCGGAAAACGGCGAGGACGACGACGGCCGAGGGGCCGACCTGCCACTGCCCACCTAAAGAGAGCGGAGTCGAGCCCCCCGACGCTTATGGTAGCAGCCGGCAAAAGTTTCCGGCGCAGCGCGAAAGGCCGCGGAGCAAGCAAGAGGTCTCAGTTGTCTCTCCCCTCCTCAGAGTGTTGATGTGTGTGGGGGGACGGGGGGGCAGAGACACTGTTCGCTTCTCTTGGTCCTTACCTGTGGTTTCGGTCGGAGAGACACTGGAAAGCAGACAAAACGAAAAGAGAGTTGCGTGCCGTACTGCTGTGGTGTGGCTGGCGTGTGTGTGTGGGTGGCGAAGGAGGGGAGGGCCTCCCCCTCTCCCTCTGGCAAGGGAAGGAGGGCGGTCGTGCCAGGCCAACCGCCGCCCGCCGTCTCGGAGGCGCGGCGGGGAGAGCCGCAAGCGGAAGGCCTGCTACCTGCCTGCCCCACACGCCGGCGACGGGAGAAACCACAGGTAACCCCGACTCTTGTCTCTTCCCCGATTGGGGAGGTCGGGGGGGGGGGGGGGGGGGGGGAAGCACCGATTGAGGGAAAGTCGTCCGAAACCTTTGAAATAGGTCGAGGAAAAATGGTTCGTAGGGATCTGCATACTTTTTTACAGGAGGGCCTGGTTACAAAATCGAATAAAGGGGGTCGTGCAGTTGAATACGGGGGAGTTGGTAGGGGTCGGTGATTCATGCCGCACCATGTGAAGGCAGTAGGGGCAAAAGTTGTCAGAAATCTTTTTAGTAGGGAAATGAAAACAGTGCTTAGGTATCTGGGTACTCTTAGGGAAGGATTGCATGACCCGAGATTGGGGAAAGGAGTTATTGACGGAATACGGGTGAATTGGGAGGGGTTAGTGACTCGGTGCACGCGTGCAGGCGGCAGAAAGTAAGTTGTCAGAAATCCTGGGAATGGGAACGGAGATGGATCCCTAAGGATTTGGGACTCTTCCAGTAAAGTGTTGTGTGTCCCGAGATTAGGGAGAAAATGTTTGTGTGGCTGAATACGAATAAATTGGGGAAGGTTGGTGATTTACCACCCTGTATTAGCAGTAGGGGGTGAAAGTCGTCAGAAATTTTTTTGTGTAGGGAAAGATAAACTGCCTAGGGTTCTGGGTACTTCTTATGGTAGGGCCATGTGTGCTGGAATTCAAGAAAGGTTTGTGCGGTGAAATTTGGGTGACATGGGAGGAACTGGTAGCTGACCCTGTGCTGCTCAGGCGGTAGGGGTAGAACGGGGTTGAAAATCTTAAAGGAGCACTGACAGGTCAAAATCCTATTTTTTCTTTTATTGTCAGAAACGAAGCTCCTCCGAACCGTCGCGACCCGAAGTGTCGTGTTTGTCCACGTCCCTCGATTAAACACTCCCCTCCGTGCATCCGCCTATCGCTATGAGCAGATGACGCCTCACTTTTGAGTTTGAAGTTCTTTCACGGCTGCCCTTTCAGTGATCTCGTATTCTTTGAAACGGTGTGAAGTCGAAGAGAACGCGCAGTGGACTTTTCTGAGCGACGTGAGGTGCCATGTCGCGCCGGTTCTGAGTGGAAGGCTGTCCCGGTAGAGTCGCGACCGAAATTATGGAACACAGACACCAAACTTAGTTGTTTTGACTGTTAGACGAGTTTCTTTTCGAAGTCTGAGAGGTCGTCGGGCACCTAGAAAGAGAACTTCGTCCAATTCCTCGACTCACCGACCATCCTCGGTGCATGTGCTGAGCGCCGCTATGTTTTCCGAGGGAGGTTAAAAAGCCAGGAGGTGTCATCACTTTGGAAGGGCCATAGTGCGTTTACAATTGCATTAAAAAACATGTTTTAGAATGTTATTAAATATAGAAATGTCGCTTACGTTTCTAAATTTCATGATCGATTACGTCACAAATAAAAAGAAGTGAGGAGGGGAGAAAAGGGAGAGAAAAACGCTAACACTGAAAAAGCGCGCGCGCACGTGGGAAAATCTTTTTTGTGTTTGTCTATGACTATAGCTTGCACCATTTTAGACAAAAAAGGAAATGTGACCTTTGGTGTGTCAGTGCCCCTTTAAGAATGGGAAGGTGTGTGTTTTGGGAGTTTGGTACCTCCTTTTAGGGAAGGGCTTCACATTATATTAGCACACTGCCCGAAGTGCGTCAAGTTTTTCGTATGAGCTTGGGCGACTATGGAAGTCTGTCATTCACCACTAGACAGGTGGTTGGGTATGTGTAGATTGTGACCGATGTGTGAACATTAAATATGTATGAATTTAGTATAAAATACGTAAGGTGAAGTGCACTTCAATGCGTAGGGCTGCTACATGCCAGTTGATTTCAGTATTACTTATAGTCAAGACAGACATGGATGAGATACGAAATCTTGCAGTTGGGATGTAAATCGGCTTTGCAAAATGTGTGCCAGACGGTTGTGGCAAACTTGGTTTTCTGTTTAGCGGGCCTCACCATCTTTGCCTTGATTAGTCTACCCGAGTTTAGCTCAGACAAAAAATAATCTGGAAAGTGCAGGCATCGGTTATGGCCAACAGCCGAGTACGATACTCCATTTCACCTTCTGATTTACCGCAATGGACTCTATGAGCCACCGACGGCAATGCTGACCCACAGAGTGCAAGATCACGTGGCACGCGTGGAACGCTGGATTGGTTTAGATTCTTCTATCGTTCGTTGGTGTACATGCGGTGAAACGAAGTATAGGCTGATTCTGTTTCAGTAAGAAGGCTAATGATAGAGACCTCAGTAATAAACAAAGGAGGGGAAATATTGAAAAGAATTTAGGAGATGGACTTTATACCTTCACGCTGAGTAGCATTTGGCAGAGTACAGTCGTCAGTCGTGATTTAAACCGGACTATCTAGCTGAAGCTTGAACCCGATCAACAGACTACTGCACATTGCTAACGTAGCTAACGAGTCGCTAAACTCGACAGGCCAGGAGAATTAGGCTGGTCTACGGAACAAACGGTCGACTCGGCAAGGACCTCGCCTCGGCCGATTCGGGCCGTCTAGGCCAGGTGACGCAAGCCGCCTTCTGTTGCATCCGTCCACCCATTCGTCCATCGCGGGATGGCGCGGTCCGACGGGAAGCAGCGTCTCCCGGGCCCCAGGATCGGGCGTCAGCCGATCGCATCTCCTAATCGCCTTCCCCCCCTCCCCTTGGGCCCTCCCCCTTCCCGTTGCAGACGTGGACGACATCAAGTTTGTGATCAACTACGACTACCCCAACTGCTCGGAGGACTATGTGCACCGCATTGGGCGCACGGCCAGGTCGAACAAGACGGGCACGGCGTACACCTTCTTCACGCCCCACAACTCGAAGCAGGCCAACGAGCTCATCTCAGTGCTCAAGGAGGCCAACCAGGTGGTCAACCCCAAGCTGTACGAGATGCACGAAATGTCCCGGGGCTACGGAGGACGCGGGGGTGAGTGGAGACGCCTCGTCAGTCCCAGAACGGTCTTTCCTTTTACGGCGGTTGCTCTTGCGCGACACCTACCGCCCGCGTTTGGGACGTCGGGGTCGCCTTAAGCGAAAAGATCGGTCTCGTGCGTGCTTGCGCTTGCGCCGCCTTGCGGTCCTGGACGAAGTGCACGTGCTTGGCTCGTGCCAAGGCGGTGGCAGCCCCTACGGTCAGTGGGGGACGCAGCCGCGCATTCCTCATTTTAGAAGTTGGTCACAGCCGGATGTAAAGTAAGCCACAGTAGTAACAGGACCTGTCTCGATTCAATCTTTGGCAGGAACGTTGACTCCGGTGTCTAGCGTGTGACTGGGTAAATAGAGGGTGGATGTGCATAAAAATGTGTGTTGCCATGCACAACAACGGCTATCGCTGTCACTTTTCAGGTTTGGGGTGAAAAGCTGTAGAGTTTTTAAGTGCACTGCTTTTGTGGGCAGGTTTTTGTGCCCGGAGCGTCACGGAATGTCGTTACGAAAACAATAATGCAACCAACTGTTTTAGCAAAAGAGAAGAAAACAGTGGTCACTCTGCGATCCGACGCCCCATCCTCCGACCGGCGGAGTGGCTTGGATTAGTGCGATTACGGCCGCTGTGCACTTGCCTTGGCAGCGATAAATTTTTTTTTTTTCTGACGTCAAGAAGGGTCAGGCAATCATGTAATCACCATAGGCTAGTCGATCTTATAACCTGTAGTTGGATGATCACACCACCACTACAGATGTTGCTCGATTCGCCCGTATTACGCAATCACGTATGCTAGAGTTAGGGGATCATGTGACCCCTATAAGAAAGGAGCAGATGCAGCTCGAGCCCCGACCAGGGCGCCCCTAGCGGTAAACATACCATTTTTATCGGTCGGTCTTTTTTTAGTCGCTGCAGTCGCATTATGTTCACTCAATTTTTGCAGCACGAAAGAAAGCTTGCGGAATTCGTAAGAACCTTAAATCCTGTCGTAACAATAACAGGCACAGTTCCACCAGAGTTGCGATCACGTTAGATACTGACGAATCACGTCATCAAATGACCATAATTAAAAGATGGTTTGGTTTTTGCTAGTTTGTAAACATTAGTTCCGTAAATGTCCCCTGCTTTTGGCAAGATTTACTTTTTTTTTCTTTTCGAGAACACAAAAAGATAGAGCCTATTTCTAGTAGTTGGAGGGTCTTGCCAATGGTGACCTTGGCAGAACTGGTGTTACTTATCCACGACGAGAGATGAGCGAACATTGCCAACTGGGGAGGACAGTCGTCTTTGCTTCATCGTCCCTCCCTGCAGTCACAAGTTTCTCAGGTCGCAAAATCTAGAACTGTTTAAAACATTTTTATTGCGCTTTGCAAGTTTGCCTTTTTTTTTTCTTCACCCGGTTTGCTTTTGATTTTATGTGGGTTATCTCCAACATATTACGGTAATTGTTTTCAAAATTTGAATGTGAACTTCTGTATAAATCGAGTTCACCGAAATTTTAAGTTCCGTAGAAGTCATGCAGCGTCGTTCGAAAATCCCGCGTCGAACGATCAAAGGGTTTCTGCCGATGGCAAGGTTTGAGAAAAGTTAGCGACGTACCCAGAGGTCAAAGCGTAGGGCGAGAATGGGACATTGACGGCATTTCTTTTGCTCGTTGTTGACACAGGCCGCAACCGCTGGCGCACGCCCGGCGGCGGAGGAGGCCGGGGCGGCCGGGGAGACGACTCCTACGACGACCGGCGGCGCAACGACCGCTACAACGATAGCAACTCGACAAACGCCTACGGGGACTACATGAACCAGAGCTCGGGAGAACTGCCCAACAGCAACTACGGATACGGCATCTCAACCACCTCGCAGGTACTGCCAACTGTTCCTTGCATCGACTGTTTCCGGAATTTCGATAGATTTAAAACGTTAGCAGCTGTGTTTAGACCTGCGATCAAGGCAAAACGCCTGTGCACAGGTTTCCGGGTGGCAGGCTCGAATCCCGGCCCCGCGGTTTGACCAGGGCTTGTTGCAGAGCGATCCGTGCAACTGAGGCTTCCGTCTGTTCGTACTCTTGAATGCCAGTTCCCCAGGCTCTTTTAGCGCACCCTTCCTCTCTCCTTTTCGTCCCCACCTTTATTCGGTAGTTGGGTAATACTGTAGAACGGGGATCGGTGCTAAGGGGTTTGTAGTCCAGCCGTATTCCGATCGTTCTAAGATCTTGACCTTTTGATCAAACTTGCTCAACGAACTTAGATTTGCAAAATGCATTGTACGAGCCGTGATCTGTCGAGTTGTCGCCCGCCCCTTTGCCGCCTGAAATTCATAAAAAAAAAAGGGGGGGGGGGAGGGGAGGGGCATCTATCGGGGGTAAGTACAAAAAGTCCAGAAAAAGCTTTAAAAAAAACATTTTTCTCTACGCATCTAGCTTGGCTGCGTAGGAGATGGAGTGAACTTGAAACTTAAATTAGTTGCATTGTTTTACAGAAGAAGAAAAAAAAAAAAAGCTTGTGAAGCAATGTTTTATTATTGCTAAGTTTGTTACTTGCATACTGAAGATGAACACCGCCAATCAACAGTCTTTCATATTTTCGTACTCTACGAGCGCTTGTTTCATGAAAGCACACTTCCAAAGCCACGATCTTCTCTCCGTTAGGCTCCCTCACCTTTGCTGATCTGTAAATTAAAAAATAAACACAATGAAAAGAAACGGGCACAAGGAACAAGCGAGCGGGACAAGAGGAGCGACAAAGAGATGCTGGGAAAGTCAGCGGTCGCCCGGGCAAATACTTTGGCATCGGGCCAAGTCGGGCGTCTTGTCAATCACCAGGAGCAAGCTTTTGTGCAACTTCCTTGTGGCCTGGATGACTCCAGGAAAATGCAGCTTGAAATGAGATGCTTCACAAACATTTTGTGTGTGGCGTTTCAGCAATGTTTATTCGTTACCTTTGTCCTAAACTTCGCACGACCATGCTAACCACGGCCCCGACGTTCCAGGAGAATGACCGAGCAGAGTCCTCAGAGTTGCTTTGAGTTATCAACAAAACAAACTGTTCGCTGACGTCGTAATCCCTGGATGAGTTACTGCTTGTATTATTTTTCCCATAATTTTTTTCTGACCAAACATTCTTTTTTTTTTGTAAACAAAAGTTTCATTCTGAAGGGATGAGCTTAAAACGAAGCTTTCCCTCCTTCATTTTACTTTGACATGGACGGCCTCCAACCTTGCAATCCGCAGTTGCGACATTCAGGGAGGTCAAATGTTTGCAGATTGTTGGGTCTGCGTAGGGAGGGGTACTTATGTAGCTAGAAGGTCACTCCCCTTTTTTTTTTTAAATTGATATCTTAGTTAAAAGTGGGGTGGGGGATGACTCGGTATATAAGGGTAGTCAAAGGACATTTTTCAAAACAATAGATGCACCAAGGACCAGGCTGACTTTATTGGTATGGCAATTTTTTTATGTTAGCTGGTGTTAGTTGGGGTCTGTGCAGTGTGGAGACAATTGTTCGATAGGAGTTGTTAACGGAAAGCCGAGCATGGCCGCTCATGTAACTGAAATTCCAGCATGCTCCCTTTCGTTTTATCAATTTCAACGAAAGATCTAGACACTTTTGTGCAGCCAGACCACGTGACACAGCGTCTCCCCTCCGCGTTCCAGGTGTCGTCGACAACACCGTCCACGCCCGCGGTTGCCATGACGGCCATGTCGATGGGCGGCATGGGAGGGAGCATGCCCATGACACACATGGCCCCCATGGGACACATGGCAGCTGCCTCGATGGCTCACATGATGCCCATGATGCAGATGCCCAACGGGCAGCAGTACATGATGGCTGCCATGCCGCAGGCACAGCAGCAGCAGCAGCAGCACCAGCATCACGGGGCCGCCGGACTCCTCGGTGGGCCGCCGCCACCCCCCTCCACCGCCGCCCCCTGGCGTCACCAATGGGGCGTGGTGAATCCGTTAGGGTGTACCAAGATGGCCGCCGCCGCAGCCCCTTCGTGTCACCAGCGGCGTGTGGTGGGTCAGATAGGGTGTACCAAGATGGCTGCCACTGCAGCCCCTCCGTGTAACCAGCGGTGTGTGGTGGATCGGATAGGGTGCACCAAGGTGGCTGCTGCCGACCTTTCGTTCGTTTGTAACCTGCCTCGTTGTAGATTTGATTTTAATTTTGTACGAGCTTGTTTTTTTGCTTTTGTCTTTTTTTTTTTTTAAGGAAAGGTGTTTTTTTTAATAAAAAATTGAATTTTATGTGTTATTTTTTATGTTTTTGATTGGACAACAAGTTTTTTGCCCTCTTTGGAAAGAAGTGCCCCTGGAGTGGTTTTCTAAGTTGTTGTATGGCATTCTTCATTCTTCGTAGGAATGCCATACTAATTTTTTCCCTCTGGGGAAAGCCGTACCTGGAGTTATTTCGTGAGTTCTTGTTCTAATGTTTTTTTTTTGTTTTTTTTTTCCCTTTTGGGGAATTGGATGGCTTGGGCTTGATAGGGGCTTCCCATTCATCGCAACATACCATTTTCCAAATCTGATTCTGCTGTTGTTGTTTTTTTTTTCCTTTAGATAAGGGTTTGGTTGGAACAGTTTAGTAATTTCTGTCTGTTTCATTCAAATTTTTTTATTCTGTTGGTGTTTCGGGGGGAGGGGGGGGGGGGTGTTTTGCAACATTCTAGAATACTGCTACATAAGGTATTCCTTTCTTTACATGCATTTTTTTTTCAAAATTGGTGAAAATGAAGGGTTTGCATTCAGATGTTTTAATAATAGCTGGGTGAAAAGGGTTTCTGTAATGGTAAATATTATTTTTTTTTATTGTCATTAAAGCAGTAGCTTTTTGGGCAATAATGAAGACGTAAAAGCAGTTCTGTACTGCTGTTCCAAATTATCTTTCTCAAACAGTATACCTGATTGACCCTGACTATTTTTCTTCTCCCTTATTTACATATTTATTTTTGTTACCAAGTTCCTTTGTAGACTTGCAATAGCTTTCATGTTCTCTTTTGGGATTGGGCAAGTACTGAACAGTACAGTAGAATTGTGTTGCTGATTTCGAGGACTAGTACTATGTCATTCTTTCATTCTAGTGTGTCACAGGTTGTGCATGTACACACATTTTGGAAGTTGACGTGCTTGGCTGACTCGGCGTTATCTTGTGTTCGTTCTAGTTGGGCGTCGTGCTCGCAAAGTGGATTTACCTAAAACTGACTAGTAATAACAAACAATTTTCTATTTTTTTGTGTGCACAGAATAGCTTTTTTTTTTTTTCCTATCTTGGTTAGTACCTCGTATTAAAATATTGTACCAAACCGACCTGAGACCTTTATTTTGTGTATTTTGGCATAGTGACTTGTATGTTAACTTCTCCACGATGTACGTTTAACAGAGCAAATTCACTTGTCTTGTTTTGCACATGTATGCCTGAAGCGAGCTTACATTGGTTGGTACGCTTTGAAGAGACTGGCTCGGTACCGTGTCGTGAATTGGTGCAGTCGGCACGATCTGCGTTTTCATCCGCTCTAATACGTTGGCTCAAGTTTTAAGGTACAAAAACACTCTTCATTACAGTTGTGTATATAGCGTCCCCGATTGCTGCTTATTGTATCATTAAACTCTTACCATTATTTTCTGTGTTCATAAAAATTCGTTGCTTGGACAACTAAGAAATATAATCTTGGCAACTGTTAGCATGGTTTGCAATCATGATCTTCAGGATTTCAAGCATGCATGGTTTTGTATGTGACTGCACAAAATAGATTGAGGCCAGTTAATGGAGTAAGTCACATCAAGATTTTTCTTTGGCCGTTCAAAACTGAGCGGCTTCGGATACTCTATCTGGTATTACTTCAAATACCGTGTGCCAACTCCATGGTGGTGGTAGCAACATTTTGATGTCACATCCTCACTTGTTTGTACCGAAGGAAATGTTTTGTCTTTCGTTTGTCTGGCAACGTGAAGATTCGGTGTTGGTAGTTGACGACGACGCCTCTCGTAAAATGTCCCTCGTTTAGGCACCTAACAACACTCGTGTATGCTTGGTTGGAGGTTGCAGCAAAAAATGTGCTCCCGTTTTGACGTGTTCACTTCCATCATTTGGTGTTGTTCCATACCAGTCTAGTAGACCACGCCCACCAGAAATTCACATTAGAACATTGTAAGGCTTCTCTTGGGGAGCCCAGTGGCAGTAATAAACGTCATGAAAATATTGGAATACTTTGTGGTGCATGTTCTTGATGTTTATGTGTATCTCTGAACATTACTCTGTGACAATGTGTATGCAGGAATAATTATTCGTCGAAGAAGAGACTTGAGGTGGTTACACGAAACAAGCTCCCTACTTAGGCTCGGAAGGGGTGAAACGGGGAAAAGTAAAGTGCTGCAGCCAGTGATGCGTCTGGCTCGTGTACCATCCTAATTATAGGCGAAACGTTTAACTGTGATGGGATGTATAGGGTAATTGTTTTCAGTGATGTAGCAGCACCTAACAACACTCATTACATGTGAATACAATTATCTTAGAAGACAGCCTTCAAATGCAGTTCTGAAACTCTTTTGCATCAGTGGAGGCATTGAACGAAGAACAATTGATCTCGTGGCTCAGGTGTCCTATTCAAATAAATTAATGGGGTGCATATGTTCCCATTCCGGGAAATTAAGTATTGTTCAACAACCTGCATATCTCCTCGGTACAAAAGTAGTTCTCCCTGCGGAACTTTGCTAATTTTCCTTCATTCCTTGAATTAAGATATAGTATGTGCATTTTAGGATGGAGCTATTTGTCATTTTATCACAAAGCGGCTCACTTTGTGCACCAGAAGCATTGTTTTTCTGACAAGTTTTGTAAGGACTAATTTGTGCAGCGTATGAACTTGTCTTAATGTGACAATTAAGAGAGTATATGGAAAGCTTGCTCGTAGATTACGTTGTAACTTCGCAAAGCCATCGGGGAGTGGTGATCATGATTGCCCTTTTGGTGATTTTAGTTACCACTTTCCGATTGATACGGACATGGTCCACGTTGCCCCAACGTCAAGGAATAAGAGGAAGATGTAAGCCACCTCCAATTGTTTGAAATGAAATTGCTGCCTCAAACACACTAGTTACATGGGTAAAGTACATAAATGTTTAGCTGTCACTCACTTTCTGTCTTTTTAGTCTTGCATCTGCCACATTTTTTTCAAAACATCTTTATTCTTCAGGGGTCTTGTATAACTGGGAAAGTCAAGAAATGACTCGTAGGCACAATCAAGGATTGCACATTCTAAATTCGTACCGAATACAGGAAAAGGGCATATGCTGCCTTTGATGAAAGAAATCAGCTGCTCGTAAAACATGAACAAAGTTCAATGATGCTATTGTTTCTGTTGCTGATGTTACAGCTAAGTCGTAGACTTCCCTGTTTGAACCGAAAAACTGCGAAACACGCGTCGGTGCCAAAAATAAAAACATTGGTTTGAACCAAAAAGCACTGATAAAGAACTTGTCCAAAAAACCGATAAAGCCGAATTCTTGAAATGTTTGCTCCATCTAGGATCAGGGTGTCGAACTGAAACTCTTTTCGGTTACGGTTCAGACATTGGTTCAGTTCAGCTCCAGAACAGAAAAAATGTCTGTTTGAACTGTTTTGTAACGGTTAAGCAAGAAACAATGTTTTTCAAGGATTACTTCAAGGATAGAAAATGTAACCGTTACGAGATTTCCCTCCCGTTTACTAATACCGGACAGCTAAACAAGAATTCTTTATGAAACATCAGCAATAAAGGAAATCGGTTATCAGAAAGGCTGCTATCGGTATGCGATGAATGTCTTGCGCATGTCTTAAAGGGGCACTGACACATCAAAGTTATACGCCTCGCAAGTGGGTTAATTTTCGTCTTCTGCGCATGAGAAAGGAAGTAGCGGTGACGTCAGAACGCCGAGCCCTGATTGGCTGATCGCGACCCCCTATCTGAGCGTCATCTGCTCCTTTGAAACGTCGTCTGCTCGCAACGTCGTCTGCGTCTGTCTTACCTTACCTGCGACTTTTGGAAGTGCAGTCTTTACGAGCGAGCTCGACTTCGCCTTTCACAGAGGGCAGACGAAATAACTCGAGCGGTACGTTGTTTTTGTCTAACAACTAGCAGATGCGCATCAAGGAGGGAATTCAAAGGACTCACTGGCGAGGGGTCCCAAGGCGCCGAGGTTTGTTTAATAAGAACAGGGAGTGAGCGTGTTAGTGTCCGCAAGTTCCCTCCCAAATACTTTTTCCCTCCTTTCGTGTGCGGCGAGACCCCTCATTCTTTAACGGCGTCGGCGGGTTGGCGCAGTTAACGTCGTCTGCTTTACGTCTGCTAGTCAAAGCGTTGGCTGCTTTACCTTTCCTGCGTCTGTCGGAGATTCACCGCTTTTTTACCGGCGAGAGTCACCGTTGCCTCGGGAAACAAGGAGATAACAAGAGGAAAAAATTGACCTCTTAATCCAAAACTGAGGTCAGCGATCAAAGTATAATACGGGAAGGGTTCACAAAGGTCGCGCGAGCATATTCCATTCAGCACACCAGCCGGTCGTGAGCAGACGGTCGCCGAGTCCCGGAGTGCCTGCTAGGCCTAACTGCCGTGCTCGCTTGGTCGCGTTCGGTGGAATCGTGGCCGTTGGAGCTTTTCTCGGGTGTTTGTGGATCCAGCGTTCTTGTTCGTCGTCGTCTGTTTCAAGTACCTTTTACTTTTTTCTTGCTGCTTGAAGTCGGGACGCGTGAGAAGCGCACGTAGAAAAATAAACGTCCGTGGGTCGTCGCGACCAACGGTGGTCGCGACCGCGACGCTGTCGGCCATGCTGATTTGATCGTAAGAAGTGACAAAACGCACGACTCCGACAAATCGTGAAAATTGAAGCGGGCTTGGAGTGGGCGCGTCCGCTTCAATTTTCACGATTTGTCGGAGTCGTGTGTTTTGTAGTGTCCTGTTTGGACACCCCTTTAGACAGGTTCAAAGCTGTCGTAGGATTTCGTCGTAACCTTGCTCAAAACTTACGAAAATTTCGTTTCGTGAATACAAATTTGTTCTTAAGTTATGGCTTGCGCACATTTTTGGCATAAGATCGTTTCGTGAATCTGGCCTCTGCACTTACGAAAGTCGCAGGAAATGTAAGACAGACGCAGACGACGTTGCAAAGGAGCAGACGACGCTCAGATAGGGGGTCGCGATCAGCCAATCAGGGCTCGGCGTTCTGACGTCCCCGCTACCCCCTGCGCAAGAAGCAGACGAACTTGCCCTCTGGATATATTTGTTTTTATTATCCGAAACGCTTGAAGACGATGCCGGGACATTACCCTCAAAATTCGAAATTTGGGAATTCAGTATTTGTGAAGTAAAAAAACAATTTCCTAATGCCGAATTCGAAGTTCCCGCGAGATCCGCGCTGGTGCGTTTACGTCAAATATTGCGGAGTCCTGAGAGTCCACTTTCTTTCACGACTCCCTGCTGTTGCCATCGCGACCCAAAGCGAGAAGGAAAGGAGCGAGCGCCGGCCAAAGCGCCGGCGGACCGGTTTTGAGCGGTGTCGCCTGTTTTCTATGCCTTTTTTTCCGTGGGAGGATACAAATCCAGGAGACGGCACCACAACAGACTCCGATTTTTCGTATTTCAAAGAGAAGGGCCGTAGTGCGTTCGCAATTGCGTTAAAAAACATGTTTTACGATTGCCGTTATTAAATGTTATAGAAATGTCGCCTACAAAGCTTCTAAATTCCATGATTCTTGACGTCACGAATCAAAAGAAGCGAGAGGCGGGAGAATCAAACGCCAAAAAGTAAAAAGGCGCGCGCGCACACGAAAAAAGTTTTTTCGCGATGCGTTTTTTTTTTTTTTTTTTTGGCGTGTGAGTGCAACTTGCATTGTTTTAGACAATGGAAAAAAAAAAAATACGACCTTTGGGGTGTCAGCGCCGCTTAAGACATTGCAAAATATTTTTTGCAGTGTTTCTTTGACCTTTCCAGCAGCAGTCTCGAACGAAGCGATTTACAGCGCGCGTTCCTGGTTTTGAGAGGGTACGTCAATGTTGTCCGACTGCGCTGGGCTGTGGGTTTTCGCGTCAGTGGGCTGTGGCAGCCTGCGCAGGCGCACTTGCGGACGCTAGGAGACGCTTAATTGCCGCGTTCTATTTTTTATTTTGTGTTCTATGGCAAATAAATTTTCTCGGGGCTTTTAAGAATGCATTGTACTATTTTTGGGAACAAAAACAAGGAAATGAAAGCTGTTTTGGTGAGTCCGTGCGCGACAGGACAAAAAACGCAACTGGAATGCTTGTTTGATATTAGGTTGATCTTTTTACGGCACAATACACTCAGCCGTGTCAATCTACAAAGGTCTTAACCGTCGAAAATATTTGACGACACTGAATATCCGACCTGCATGGATACTCCACGCTCACAACATGAAATCCCAGACGAAAATTTTCAACTGGGACCAGTTGGTCCCAGTTGCAACTGGTTTATGGAACAATTCCCAGTTGCAACTGGTCCCAGTTGGAATTGTCCAACTGGGACCAGTCGGTCCCAGTTGCAACTGGTTTATGAAACAATTCCCAGTTGCAACTGGTCCCAGTTGGAGTCGTCCAACTGGTCCCAGTTGGAGTTAATCCCAGCTGGAATTGGTCCCAGTTACAACTGGTCCCAGTTGGAGTTGGTACCAACTCCAGCAACGATGAAACACGGCACAAAATGGAAGGGTGACAAGACTTTATTGTCAAAAACTTGGAGAATGAAACTAAATAGGTTCGGTGACGTACACGCTCCGGGTTTAGCCACTTGCTTGCGACGGTTGAATCGCTTTTTCAGATGTGGTATTGATGAGATGAAGGAAGATCGGCCGCTGGCGTCTGTTAGTGAAGACGTCCTCAGCTTCTCTTCCCATCGCGTAAAGAAAGGTGCTCACCCGTGATCCCGCGTTGCGCAGGTGAAGTCCTGATAAGATGCGGTAGCGCCCCCACCTTGCAATCTCTGTCACAACAGTCGAACATTTTCGAGGTAGACCTCCCGCCATTTTCGCCATTGTGCTCTCCGCGGCGTGTTCTCTTCCGTCCGGTCTTTCCTGGGTGCCCTCCGATCGCTGAACTGCATCTTTCCATCCTCGAGGTTCACCGCCGCCACCATGGTGTGTGTACAGTTAGGTTCAAAGAAGCGGAGCTGTAGTTTTGATATTTTCATAACGACGCCAACTTGGGCGATGGCGACCCTTCCGACCCTTCTCTACCGCGTCCGTCCGACTCCGGCACTCCGGCGTCAGCATAGGCAGCGCCATCTGTCGACAGCGCGTACCACTAATCCGCACCCGCGTGCCACGGCGGCCGGCTAGCTCTGATTAGTCAAAAGATAAATTTATTTAATAAAAGAAAAAAAAAATACTGTAGGTATTTAAATAAATGTTTTAATATATTTTAATAATGCACTAAATGTTCATTTAGGTGAACACATTTTGTCACTAATTACATTTTCCAATTAAAAAATTATTTAGTTAATTAAAATTTTTATATTATTTTTATAAATATATAAATGTACCCCAGTAATTAAAAATTACCTATTTGTATAAATCTAAAATTGTTAGTGTTTTTAGTTTTCTTCATTAGCAAAGGTCAATCACCCCCAACTTGTCCAAATTGTTGCCCAGTGTTAACTGGGAACGGGAAAGGCATTTGAAGTCCGACTGGGAATCGCTCCATCCAGTTACTTTCCTAACTGGTCCCAGTTCACTCCATTCCCAACTGGGAGTCAAACCAGTTGACTCCCAACTGGGAATGGTTCAAACCAGTTGACCCCTCAGCTGGCCCCAGTTGGACTCCTATTGGTCCCAGTTGATTCCCAGTTGGGACCAGTTAGTCCCAGTTGATTCCCAGTTGGTACCAGTTAGTCCCAGTTGAAACCAGTTGAGGTGCCAACTGGTCCCAGTTAGAAATTTTCGCCTGGGATTCAACGAGTCTCATCAATTGAACAACATATATTGTACGTACCTCGCGGTGCCCCGTTATCCGAACATCATTTGAGAAAGGTCTCAAATAACACAGCATATCTAATATACAGTGTCGACGATAGTCACTTCACGACGATCGGACGGAATCCGGATTGTTTTGGGGCACATGTAGAAGAGAGCTGCTCTTTTGCGCAGCTTCAAAGCAAATGAACGAACGTGATTATTCCGTCCCCACATCTCGAACCCAACCCTATCAGCTATTTTTCGCGAAGACCCGGAACATAGCCGGGACGGATATTCGGAGATTATGTCAGCAGAAATAATCCTCGAAGAACGTCGAATGGCCGGCTTCGTTGACTACTTGACGTTCGCTTTCTTCGCTCGTTTTCTGCGAAGGCCGAACAGGCTACGAGCCTTCGTATTCCTTGGTTCTCACAGTGGAAGGAAACAAAGAAAGGATAAGCATCCTGAACAGGCAAATACAGTAAAAACTTAGAAGAAAAACTGGCGAACTCCGAATGCACAATACAGGTGGGGAGTCGCGCGGAACGGGTTTCCACAGCTCAGGCAGGTAGCAGAAAATTCTGGCTGATAGAGGTCGCTCGGATCGTGAAATGGCGACGGCCAGAGAGCTCTTTTTGCAAAGGTCTATACACGCAGCAAATTTCACGACAGCGATCACTCGCAAATGGATAAATGGGGGATAATGGACCACGGTTCTGTGCTTCCGTTACAAAGTCCTAAGTCTTCCTGCGCCCAACACTTGCTCGCTCATGACTTGTCGCGAACCGGTTCGGAATGTTTGCTCCCTTTCGGGTTCAGTTCCAAGATGGCGGCAACCATTTCGGCTCGGGTTCTCTTCCGGTTCGAAAAAAAATAAATAAAATAAACAAGCGGTTCCGTTCCGTTTACAAATCAACACCCTGGCTATAAAAAAAAAAAAAAAAAAAAAAAAAAAAATTTGCCGATTTTATTAAAGTTGAATTGTCAAAATTGCAACTGCGGCCAGAATAAGGAGCTGAGGCATCGCTTCATCAGCGCCTGCAAAGAAGACAGCTGCACGAGCAAGATCACCGGCAGTGACAGGCGCTCTTCTAAGGATTGCTTGAAATGATGTGCTTGCAAGCAGGGGTTTGTCCGGATTGGATGCATCTGCGAAAAGCCAAGCACCTGCCTTTGACCAGAGCCGTCTTTGACCTAATGCATCCACAACTCGAAATGGGATAGTCATCGGGGACTAGGCGGATGGTGCACAGGCATGCTGGAGAACATAAAAACAAGATACAGTTCTTGCATCTCCTCGGATTTCTACGCACACCGGTGTAACCTCAGCCCTGACCGCCTGCATGAACGTCGAACTCTGGTTGGAATGATTAGTGGGTAGATCTAAAGCCACCTTGGGGTGCTATGTTGCGCTTTTTGGACTCCCAGGGGGGCTATGTTGCGCTTTTTGCACTCCCAGGAGACTAGGGAGAGGGATGTGACGTCAACGACTCAGCAAACGCAGATTGGGTGTTGATTTCGTTTTCTTCTGTCAACATCCAATCTGCATTTGCTGTGTCGTTGACGTCACTTCCCTCTTTCAAGTCTCCTGGGAGTGCAAAAAGCGCGAGAAGGAAGTGACGTCAACGACACAGCAAACGCAGATTGGATGTTGACAGAAGAAAACGAAATCAACACCCAATCTGCGTTTGCTGAGTCGTTGACGTCACATCCCTCTCCCTAGTCTCCTGGGAGTGCAAAAAGCGCAACATAGCCCCCCTGGGAGTCCAAAAAGCGCAACATAGCACCCCAAGGTGGCTTTAGATCTACCCACTAATCATTCCAACCAGAGTGTTACATAGCACCCCACTGGCCTGCACCTGGCTGCCTTTTCTCCACTGTACGCATTGAACGCGTGAGAACACGGAACGCCGGCGTTTGGCTTTCACACTCGAACGTGTTCGACAAGTGCAGTGGAGACAAATGCAAGTAGTTTTAGGTCTACTCACTAATCATTCCAACCAGAGCTCGAGGTTCGTACGTACCCTGGCGTCCTCGCCTCCTCTTCTCAGTTCCTCGGCGCAGAGTCATTGCCTACATTTCTATGGGATGTCCGAAGCAAAGCATCATGCAAAGGTAGGACTTCGCGTTTGTCCTATGTGTTTGTATTTCGACGATGCAGAACTACTGATAAACTGACTATCGATACTATCAATAGTTTTCCCAAAACTATCGATAGTGCTGCAGAACTATCAATAGTCGACTATCGATAGTTTTTCGATGGTCGACTATCGAGAGTACTATCGATAATTTTTGATTATCGATAGTCAGATTTCTGGCGACTATCGATACTATGATAGTTTTGCACCACTAGTGCAAACACAGTTGCCGCACCGCCGCCCGCCTCCCTTCCTCCTTTCTTCGCCCAACCACCCGTCTTCGTCATCACTGAAAGCTGAACCAAAGTTGGTATGAATTGGGCTAGTTGGTGTCCCATTTGAAGAAATAAAGCGAGAAAAATAGAAGAGCGAGCGACGCAAACTACCATAGTCGCAAAACTATCGATAGTACGAGAAAAGAGTCAAAGTACAGGCTAGCTGGTGGAAGTCAACCATTTCGTCGTTTACCCTGAGACTGGGGTTTTTTTTTGAAGAGCAGAAGAAACAGAAAAAACAGTAAACCGTCGACAGTACTATCGGTAGGTCTACGATAGTCGACTATCGATAGTTTTGCACCACTAATTCCGACCCTCTCCTGTACTGTCTTAATCTTTTCTTCTTTCTTTTTTTTTTGAAACGGAGTAGTTTTTGTTTACACATTTGGGGCGATTCTTGTAGTTGTGCGGTTGTGACGCAAAAGTCCGAACCGAAACCTAACAAAACTAGCATAACTTAAAACCTCAGTCAGCGTGTATAAAATATCTAGATACATTAATTAAATTAATTAACGCATGAAAAACCTATATATTACTTAGTTTTACGAAATATGCAAAAAATGGCGCCTGGTACTAAACTAGATTTTCAAAAACATGCCCACTTTAGCGTAATCACATTGTAAAAAATTAAGTGCCAGCCACCCTGGTTTACGCAGCCGGAAAAAGAAAAAAGAAAAGCGAAGAAGCTGTCTTGGCTGCCTCACATAGACTTGCAGTTTTGTGTGTGAGAAAAAAAGAAGCATGCCTGCCGAAATTGAGAAGGCTGCCGAAGACAAGCCGACGGACAACAAAACCACGGAGGAAGTCCCCCAAACTACCGTGACTTTAGAGAGTATCCTTGGCGTTCCAACGATCCGTGTGTAGCCACAGCACCCACAACCCTGATCAAAATTCGGGACGTGGCAAACGTGCGATTCCGTGTTTAGTAGAGTTATTCTCTCACCTGGCCTGAGATATTATTGAGGGTGATCGGCAAAAATTGGGTTCCTGGAACGGCGCGAACTTCACAGCTGGCCGATATCCCTCGATAGCAACCTTGCACCATATGCCAACATGCTGGCGTAAATGTCGGATCTCTCGTTTCGTTTCGATGTGCCTATAAAGTCCAGTAAATCAGAAATGAAATATTACTACATATAACGCACCGTATAACTCGCGAAGTGCTTTTAAACAAACCGGAATTTCCGAACAATGTGTATTTTCCTGTGCCTGTAGTCACGCATACAACTTCGCGGTAAAAAAGGAAAACTAGTTGTTCCTTTGCGAAAACAACCAATTATATGAGGCGTACCATAGATACCGCTTTATATGCTACAATAAATGTCAACAGGTAGCTTACTACTGTCTGCGTCGCTCGTGTTTACAACTGGGCACTCTGACAAGTGTTTGGGCATTCATGTGAGTTGTTGACCTTAACTCGTATAACTAGTCCTGCAAATCATCAAGGATGCTCAACAGAAACATGGTTTGCGACATGGGGACTACCAGCGCTATAGGTGAGTGCATCTGTAATTTATGTTTTTCCTCGTTATTATGCCGTTAATGAGACACCTGACAGTCGGTTCTGAATCTACCGTAGCTGGGCAGAATGTTTACTGAAGGCATGTTTCAGTGGTCGCGTTCACCTTGAAAAGTAACTGATGTATCTGTTTAGAAGGCAAGAACCACCTCATTGCAAGCATTGGCGTTGGAATTCAAACATGAAACAGCCGAAGCGAACGACCAGGGATAAAGAATTACTCGTTCAGTGTTTCTTTTAATCAGCAAATTTTCATTGTCTCATGGTCTTAAAAATTGTGTGTCATAGATTCTACTAAATTTACTAATGAATGTGTGCCTTAGATGTCCTAGAAGTTTCTAAATATCTCCCATATTATGTCGCCTTGCACGACCTGCGAAAAGAAAGTGGGGGCGCACCTACTATCCAATTCTCTACTGGCCTTGTTTGTGCACAGAAAAACCACTCCCCGATCCAAAAGCACCTCGTAGACGGTGTTCTAAAACAATATCCTGACTAGCGTAAATACCTGCTCAGTGTCCCTTTCCCTGTCTTGGCGTTCATACGAAATAGCTAAGGATTCCTCGAGGTTGAGAAGCTCACAATGCCCACTTGCTCTTCACAAAAAAAAAAAAAAAAAAAGGTAATGAAAATTTTTGGGTAAAGTTGCCTTTGAAGTGAATACGTGGCTTGCATGAGCTGCCGTCTGCAATGGCCACCTTTCTGCCGAACGCATACCTTCCACAGCGTCCGCTTTGCACCGCCGAATGTACTCTCCTCAGCGGAGAAGGAGCAGGAATGTCCACCAGCATTCTGCGATAGTGCCACACGCTGGAATCTGTTGGTGACTTTTGTCTACTTTTGTCCCATCCCTTTCCACGTGAGGTTGTCACGGAGGCGGCGTCTTTTAGATAGGCTATGTTCTTTTGCTTCGTGATCGACAGCACCGGCCAGCTTAGTCGACAACTCGAAGGAGGATCCACTGGTACTTGGTTTCAATACGTGCCAATCTCTCTTCTGAGCCGAGTCGAGCCGAGCTGGTACTCGGGAAGTGAGTTTTCGGCTGCCAAAATGGCCCCGGCAGACGCCACCAACCACTTTGAGAAAAAGAAGAAAAAAAAAATGAGTAAGGTTAGGTTTAGGCTTTTCAAATACATCCCCGGCCGTACTCCTCGAGTTGCGTTGTCGATTGAGCCGTCTGCTTGCCTTGACGTTTTACCAGCGCCAACGACGACAGCAGTGAAGAATTGCTTATGCGCAAACGAATAGTGCAAATCGCGAAAAGTGTCGCCGACAAGCCTGCTGGCGGTTTATTGACTTTGGGTTTCATAGTTTTCAAACGCGTCGAACTTAAAAGAATGTTATCACGCCCTTCCATTCTTTTGCGATATATACTATCGTGTGACATCAGCATTTCGTCGGTGTTCCCGGTCAGTTGCATATTTGCTCACGTCGACAGCGCATGAAAGGTCCGCCCATTTTTCGTTTCAACCCTCTTGTTTCTTAACTCCACCTTGCCATTGGCAACAGTAAACTGGAATGACCTACCCAATAGTATTGTGACCCCAACGGATCGTACCGCATTCACTTCACAACTAAACCACCCATTTGAAGTTGTACTATGAGCAAACACTTCATTAGTATAAATATTTTATCTGTGCAGTTTTCCATGGGACAATTCGTGTTTTCAATTTGCTTGAGTGTGCATTGTGTGTTTTCCTTTGTTGTTATATAGACACTTTGCAGCATCCTCCCTCCCCTTGTCTATTACCTGTAAGGGCACTCAAGGAGAAATAAATGATGATGATGAACTGGAACCGACGTCAAGGACGCAAAGGCCTAGGTTTTGAAACTTCTTAATCTCGAGGAATCCTCATATCATGGCCGAGGAACCATTCACAGTGTCGGCATTGTTCTTATGAAATGCAGAAGCCTACAGGCCCTCGACAAATAATTCACATACTACGGAGTGATTGGCTTATGTAGGGTGTCCCAAGCGGACTTTCCGCCATAAAACAAGCTGGAAAAATCGGCGCCTGCAACACATAGAGGTTGAACGTGCTTCGAGCTGGTCAGCTTTACAGCGTGGAACTTCAAGGCGTAGTTCTCTCCCCATATAAAAAGAGAGCAAGAAACTTGGCAAAGTCTAGCTTGGGCACATTCGCGGACGACGGAGTTCGCGACGCCATTTGTTCGTGGCGCCATCTCCCGACGGGCGCAGCAGGCAGACAACAGAGTGCGTCTTCCGCTCGCTGCACCTATCGGGAGATGGCGCCACAAGTTAACAGCGTCGCTGACTCGGTCATCTGCAAACGCGCCTAACCACAACTTTGGAAAGTTTTTCGCTTACACCTTCAAATTGCAGACGGTAAAACTGACCTGCTCGGTGCACATTGGGTAAAAGTTTGAGCATTCTGCGTGCGGGCGCCGATTCTCCTGGCTCGTTTTTGGCAGAAGGTCCGCTTGGGACCTTCCGCCCTATGGCTACGCGCAGCACAGACGGGTCACACCCGGGTTTCCGAGAACATAGTCTGAGAACCCATGCTCTGGTGCCACCCGTAGTGCTTGCTTCGAGGCAAAGTTCCAGCGGCGGTCGGCCGTCGTGCGCAGGGGCTATTGCAGCCGGCGCCTTCGCCGCCTGCGCAAGTCGCTGCACTTTGCGCAAGGCAGCAAGCACCGCTACCAGGGCAAGGAGGTGACGGACGAGCAGCTGTCCGGGGGAGAGTCCCGCTTCCTACTGTTGCTGGTGGTGCAGTGCGAGCGTGCCTGGGCCCATGCCATGCAACTGCGCCAGGAGGCCAACACGGAGCCCCGCAAGCGCTTCCACCTCTTCGCCCGGCTCAAGAAGGCCGTCAAGCACGCGCAGGGGCTTGCAGCCCTCTGCACGGCGTCACCCCGGTGCGACGCGCGCTGCAAGCTCGAGGCACAGGCGAGTGCTTTGTGGGGTTTCCTCTTCTCTCTTTATGCGGCTTCCGGGCATTGGGACGTTTCGGCCGAGGTGCCCGCAACCCGACGGGAGGAAACGGGGCTTGTTCCCTGTGGCCGACGTCGTTCGTCTCCACATATTCATAGGGCTTGTCGGCCGCTGTTTTTTTTTTATTTATTAAAAATTTTGGGAAATTTTTTTGTAATTTTTTAATTGGATAATGGCAAGCTCTGAAACTTTTGTGTGGAGACAGAAAGTTTGGCAATGAATAGTTTATTTTATGCTGTGGAGAAAACGCTACTTTTCGAGGACGCCTGTACATATAATATTTTCTGGACTGCACATAAAAAAAATATAAACAAAACGCCTAAAAAATAGCTTTTTGCACAAAAAATGCACAAAGTAGTATGCCTGCTCTATTAGTGCACATTCGAAGTATCGTACAGATATCATTCTTACCATAATCTGTCAATCACAAAATTGGTAGCGTTTCATCGTAACGAATGATCTAAGAAAAAAGCAAATCGTTGTACAGTCCGTACCACATAAAATTCCAACTTTTAAACGTGCATGGTTTCTGAACCATAACCTGGAAAATATGGCACATACAGCAAACATGTCAGCAAAGCTAAAGGGACAACCTCTTTGCGACCTCTGACCAAGTTACTCTTGCAACGCTTTCTCGTAGGTCTACAGCACACACCTCTATAGAAGTCCAGTTACTTGGACTAGCACATATATACAACCAATATGTTGGTGCATGCTAAAGTGATGCGCTAATCGCGACCACCTGACATTTAAGGCGACACACTTGCAACGCTTTCCTGCAGGCGTACAGCGCGCACCTGTGCGGCACGCTGTACACGGAGCAGCAGCAGTGGAAGGAAGCCATGGAGTGCCTGCACCAGGCCCAGACCATCTATGAGAAGCTGTCCCAGGCCCTGGGGGAGAGCCAGCGCCTGCTCTACCAGCAGCGGGTGGAGGAGCTGGCCCCTTCTCTGCGCTACTGCGCCTACAACATCGGCGACCAGTCGGCCATCTCCGACCTCAAGCGCATGCGGCTGCAGGGAAACGTTGGCATGGCCACCGAACTGGACGTGAGTTGAGCCCCTGGCGTGCGCGCGGATCAAAGCGCAGATCGAAGTGTTGATTGAAGCATGGATCAAAGTATGGACTCAGTGTGAATCCAACTGCGGATCGGGACTTACTCCACGGTACCTCGAACAGTCCTCCGACTGGTGCGTTTACCACATCCTTACAGTAGACTCCCGTTAGTGTTCAAACTCCAGAAAGCCACAAATTTTGGTCGAATTATCGGAAGTTTGAATTATCAGAAATTCATCTATATCTGGTGTAAGATAAAGTTATGAGTTGCCGCATCAATGGCTACACATCCAAAGTGGATATTTGGTGATTTCCACTACATACAGTTGTGAAATGTATGACATAAGTTTATCTATCACTCAAAAATGTTGTTTATCATGGACTGCGTAGACAGCACACGAAAGCTTAAAACAAAATTCATAGCACCATGCGATCAACTCACAGCAGAATCGCCCTAAAGCCAGGACAGTGCACAGCTCTCTTTGGTCGTGCAGTGCTAAGTCGGTGCAACATCGAGGACAATCTGCGCTGCGCCGGTGCACTGCGGCGACTGCCACCATGCGTCACCTCGCGTTTTGTTTCTTTATTCTCGCTTACGTCCGTGCGCGGCGCCCGTCTGCTGTCAGTTTCTTCTGGCCTTTGACTTGTGGTTTTAGGAGTACACACAAATGAACATCGTGGACGTGATTGTCGATGGGGTCACGGAGCGAGTTACAATTCCGCAGGTATATTTTCCCTATCATCGTTGGTTCAAGAAAGAGTACCACCAGATAAAACCGTACCTCGGTTGCCTCGGTGTCATTGAAATGCCTCACAACGCTTTCCACAAAGTTCATGACTTTCGGGCACTCCTTGCCACCGCAGAAATCGCCGGTAATTTCGGCGATGGTAAGAAGCTCGTTCTCCTAGCTGTCGGAAAAGCTGGAGAATTCATTGAGTGCCGCTGCGAGGCGTGTTCGTTTTTGCAAAGTCGCCATCTCGATAGACTGCGCGTCTGCCAATGGTGGCATCTGCTATTCCCGCCATCACCTCGGTTTCCATTCCTGGCTGCAATGCGTCATGGGACCGCACCCTGGCACACCATAGATTTTCTTGGTGCACGTTGGGGCAACGAAAAGCCGCACTGGGAGGTTGCGCTCCTTTGATCGAGAACGTCCAGTGTGCACCGGTGCATTTGATCGAAGACAACGGGGCGCATTGGTGCGGATGATCGAGGATGCTATAAGTTTGTTTGCCGGGCCAAGAAGTTGTCTAATCAATCGCTACACATACAAAACAGATATTTGATGAAATATGAGGTCTGGCAATGAAAACGGGCGCCGCGCGGCAGTGTTTATAACAATTTGCACGGATGCTGTGACGTGGACCCATGCCACGTCGCAGCGCCCATGCAAGTTGGTATGGAAATTTCCGCGTGGTGCCCGTTTTTTTTAGCTCGTGTGTGCCCTGCTTGAGCCCCGTTGAGTGCGCTTCTCCCTGAGCACGGGTGCACCGCAGAAAAGCAACGCCCGCGAACAAGCTTCGCGGGTGTCGCTTCTCTGCAGTGCACCGGTGCTCGGAAACAAGGCACTAACAGGGCTGCGGGAACAAACGGTATGAAAATGCCGTTCGAATTAAGCGGCTTATGGATACATTACAAACATAGTGGGACAACCAAAATTTTTAAATTTGTTTGAATTAATCAGAAGTATGAAATATCAGTTTGAATTACTGTGAGCCTACTGTATTTATGGTCCCTCAATTTCTGCCCAATGACGTCACGCTGTTTCCTGTATAGATACTGGCGGTGTTACAATGATGGAGGTGGGAGTGGTAGACGCCATTATTCTCTTGCGGGTCCCTCCCCAGCCTGGCAGTTTGTAGAAACTTCAGAAACTTCGGCGCCAATGAATTTGGGGCATTACGAAGCCTATATTTGCTCTTTTTTTTTTGCCGGAACTTCTACGACCAGCCCTCGGTATTCTGATGTCCGGCAACGTGGCCCCCCTGGCTTCCACGATGCAACCCGTTGCTGCTTAGAGACCAGCTTTGATGCGTGGGCGGTACAGGGCGCTAAACGTACTGGTTGAAGATGCATTTCAGGCATCGTGGTGCCACCTCTCCGGGATCGAGCGACTTTGGCAAGATTGACGTGCAGCAGCAACTGTTGCGAGGCTTCGCACGCTGCGTCCCCATCGATGTTGCAGCGCCCGACGGCGCAGAAGCAACCGAAGGCATCATGCATTGTGTCTGTTCTGATCGTTGCAGCACCTGATAGCGCAAACGCGGGAGAAGCAGGCGAGCAGCCTGTCGGAGGTGTCGTGGCTGGGGCGGGTGGTGCCCGTGCGCCAGGAGAAGGTGCGGCTGTTCCTGCTGGCCCACCAGGAGGCCCCCAAGGAGCTGGCCCAGGCACCGGACACCGAGGCCAAGATCGCCGTGCACGAGCGCCTGCTCATGGACTGCAAGGACTCCTTGCAGGCGAGGCTCCCTTTTCGCACTTCCCCTTTCCTTTTTAAGGGCGTTCCGGAGGACTCCGGAATTGGCGTCATACTTTTATATGGTGGTGTATCCGGAGAGGTGAAAATGGAACACCCTTGAACTTCCTCTTCGGAAGGGTAGGCGCCCACTGATGTGCATGCACCTTTGTATTGCTGCCACTACCCATGCTTGCGGGCGATGATGTAGCACTTCAGTTTCACGTTACTGTTGAATCGCTTCCTAGCTTGGATTCACCCCTTTGTCAACGTCCTAGGATGTTTTCGTGCAAGAAATCGTGGCACGCGTAAACGCCTCAATGGAGCTCTCTTAACTGTTTGCCATTAAAATACTTGCTGGCAATAAGAGTACATCCATTCCACAATTTGATTGCATAGCTTTCATGGATTCACTCCCATATGTATCCCAAGATGTTCTTGTACCAAAAATAATTTTGTGCATGAATGCCTCGTTGGAGGCGTTTTAACCCTCTGCCATTGAAATGTTTGCAGGCAGTGATATATAGCTCTTCCAGTAATGTGATTGCTGCGCCAATTGCGCCAAACTGCGCCAAGGAGCTCGCCCTGCTACATCCTGCTACATTTTGCCAAAATATGGGTAATCTGCGCCAAGCCTGCGCCAAGGGACCGATTTTGGTCGCCTTTCTAAACCGAAACTTAACTTAGTACCGTAATGGAGCACGCGTGAACTAGGTGGCGCAAGCGGCCGCCCGACACCAGAGCTCTGCCCGACACAAAGTACCCTGCATCAATTGTTCATTCGGTCTTGCACGGATTTTCCCGCCATGTATCGCTGCGCGCCCTCGTTGTCTCGCTTTTTTTTTTTTTTTTAACGATAGACGCGGGCGTGTGCGGACGCTCCGATGCTAACGTGCTGGGCAGGGTGTCGAACCGAAATTTTTATCGGTTCGGTTCCGGTTCGGGTCCACGGCTTTCGGTTCGGTTCCGGTTCAGTTCCGGGGAGCCAAAAATAACGGTTCAAACCGGTTCGAACCGGTTCGAACCGGTTTGAACCGCTAGATTGAGAATATATTTTTCCGCGTTCTTTTGGCAATATACACTATTTCCGTTGTGAAACGATTAACTATATAGTTTCTTCGATCGTCCATACAATTTACTTTTGTTCTTAGGTACCAAAAATATTAAATTAAGTTATTTAATTTTGACGCAAGAGTAGAAGAAAATCTACATTAACATACATAACGTCATGTTCATACGACTCAATATCTATTTGTTTACGAGTAAAATATATTTTGCCTGAATCAAAATGTTTAAGTACAAGAGTAAAGAGTTGAGCTTGTTGGTACATACCTGTAAATAGATAAGCTTTTAATTTAGAATTATACTGTATTTTCTTGTCATTTGTTCGTGTTAAAGTAAAATTCTAAAGTTCAAGCTGATCTATTTACACGGTATAAAATGTTGTTGCGAAGTGTGGTAGGTCGTCTAAAACACCCGTGATTGGTACAACTTTGTGTGTCAGTATTAAAAGTGAAATCGTGTCATTGAACTAAGGAATTAATTACATCACATAAAAATATGAAATGAGCATGCACCTTGTGGCCATATATCATGAAATAAGGTTTACGAAATACACTTCACAATATATATATATATATATATATATATATATATATATATATATATATATATATATATATATATATATATATATATAGACGCTTTGCAGCAGCTGTGCATGGACGCCGTCATAACTGACCTTCAGTTTTTGTTTCCTCTTATTTCGTTTATTTCACTTCATCATTACCATAGCAGGCCAGGTTATTGCCATATTAGATTCAACTGTGTCCTTTTCTGAAGCATCGGCCTTTGTAGAGAATCGCCAACTGCCGTTTTAGTTGCTCGGCATCTCGGTAAGACAACAGAAGGTCAGCAATGGCGGCTGTAATTTGGCGCGTGTGTAAAGCGTCTACATGATGACGACCCAAGTGAGCTAAAAGCAATGAAATTTTCGAAATGTAACAAAGTTTTAGGATAAGTCCTTTCAGTCCATCTTTTATAGAAACACCGAGCGGCAATCCAAATGCCTGTTGTTCTAACTAAACATTGTTTACACTCAGCACCGCACGCATGCGACTAATCATGGAGCAAGGAGTAATTGCAATTGTTCACTCTAATATATACGCACCTTCGCACTCAGATCGAATCTGGCCCAAAATAGCGCTTGCCCAAGTGAACATTTTCTTATACAGAATAAGCTGGAATAGCCTGGCTGTTGACGTTTGTTGTTGACAAGATGCCGGACAATTTAATTTGCAAATGAGCATCACCCTTGCTAATTGATGATTTTAACACGATAGCGTTAACGGGCTCATGTCGCAGAAAAACCGATGTCGGTGGCGTGACTAGAAAATCTTGATTGATTGATAGGGTGATGACGTCAGAGCTACATTCCCTCGCGCAAAAATTTTAAACAATACAGAATGCTCATGTAAAACGTGACATCAAGCGTGGAATGAGAGTGATTAAAACATGACATGTAATGCGAATTAAAGTTTGCCGTGTGTCTCACATGATTTCACTTTTGAAAGTAATTCCTTTGCCTTAAAAAAAAAAATTAAAAATTTTAGGCAGGATTCGAACCCACAACCCTTTAGTTGCGAGTCAGACGCTTTTCACTAGGCCACGCGAGGCACGCTTGCGCGGCAAATGAGAATGCGATGCAAACGAGGCCCGTTGACGCGATCGCGTTCCACTTTTAGAGGCGAAGCTTAAGCGTCCTTCAAAATTCTTTTTTGTTTAGTAAAACGAAATAGTATTTCACATTCTACTCGACAAGGCAGCTCTTAACTGGACACTTTCTGACGGTTTGCGTGCGTAATCATCATAGTTCCACTGCGCGCCCCTGTTTACTTTTTTTTCGTCCAGCCTACAGACACATAAAACTAATGTTCACCAGATAAAAAAGGCAATAACAGACTTCTATACGTTTGAGAAGTTATATGTGTGAGGAACACATAGTTATTTAAATTAGCTTCAAAATCAGAAATGTATGTAAGATTGTCCCATATCACTTACAACATGCCTGTCGAGGATAAAAACGCCGGAAAAGATTGGCAGAACCGCTTTCAAATAATTTGGGGGGCATTGCTTTAGAGTGGTGGGCCCTCTGTTTATGTTGTCAAATATTCAATTAGTAATTAAATATATTTTATATGAATAAAAAAATTTTACTTTATAAAGTTCATATAACCAACCGCTTGAGACCGACTTGGAAGGACGATACTCGAAACTACGCGAGCTGTGGTGTCTACGTAAAAGCGTTTTTCTGTTTGCTGATTGGCAGTATGAAACATCGGGTTGCAGGGTACGCTAAAATGGACTCCATGCTCACATGATGAATTGGAAGTTAAATACACGAAATGTTCAAGAGAGAGAAAATTAATGTTATGTTTTCCAAATAATCCCTTCCAGAATGCCTTACTGCAAAAAGAGATGCGTAAAGATGCACGCAATGATATTCATGATTTTACATAAATAGCGCGAAGGACAGACAAAGATTCTTGAAATCTTAGTATATTACATTTCATCAGCTTGCATGAGCTCGAAACTTCCGAAATACTGCCTCGGGAGGCAAACGTTATATTCGGTTTTACCTGCACTTGTTTTGAACCCCCACTTTACAGCACTATGCTAGAATATTCATGCGTTCTAACATTTCTCTAGGCTGCCATATCTCATCGTGAGACTGCTATAAATACTTCACAAATTTACAATTAGGACATCTATGGCTAGTGTTGCGAACATCATATTTCACCAGAAAGCTGAACTATTTAGCATGGTATGCACGTGACGTTATCACACTATAGGCTGGTGGTCATTCTGATTCCTTCTTGGTGAGAAAGTCGAATTTGACGGTGCAAAAGGCACGCTGCAGGAGGTGCAAGCTCAGTGAAAGCTAAGTATTTGAAAGGCTAGTATTATTATTCTTAGTGCATCGTCGTGAGGAACGGTGTCAGCGTCTGGCACGACAAAAACATGCTTTTTGGCAAGAGCGCTTTTCCAATCAAAGTAGTTTCCGGGGTCACGCTTTTTGGTCTGCACCAAGGATGCAGGGAAGAGGAACCTTTACAACACAGTATGTTTCTAAAACTCCCCCCTCCCCCCCCCCCCGGCCCCACACACAGACGCACTTCTTTATACAACGGTGCTGTTAAGGGCTAGTCATGCGTTACCGCCATCTATAAATGGCGACGGCAACCAGACAGCCGGCTTGCCAGTTGTTTGGTTGCCACCGTCGCTCATGAATGGCGGCAACCCCTCCAGCCTTTCCAGTCTGGCTTGCCGACTTGCGGCCGGCCATTACTTCATTCCCACCATAGTACAGCATTTCTGGCCTTTCTTCTTCACCAGAGTGGAAAGGCTGAAAGTATTCCTGAGGAATTGCCTCCTTCGTTTGTGTCTGTTAATTCGACAATTTTGTTTGACACTTGTTAACCGCAACCTTTCATTGCTTTTATTTGGCACCCCGTGAAGTTTAAAGGGGTCATGAAACGCTATCGGGTTGGAATGCGCATGACTTTTCCGAGGCATACTGGTCCCCTGGTCCAAGTGTACTCGCACAGGGCGCCACTGATTCAGAAGCTTCTTTGTCGCGGTGCAATTGCGAGGATTGAACGAGACTATTTTTTTTAGTCTTGCCTTCTCAAAGATTGATGTCGTAATTGTGGGATAAAAACCACCCGCCTGTCGACAGTCGAGCGCGACTCATGGATTGGGCAGGAGAACTGTGTGAGCACCTTACATCGGCTCGTAACAATCAATGCTTCGGTGGACACTTGGGTAGTGGCTCGTGTCCAACCACTGTGGTGATGAGAATAGTCAAACTCTAACAATGCCTGGAGCTCCAGCACGCGTTTTCTTCCTTTAAAACTCCAGCGCGGGGGTATGATTAACGTGGGCGGCATAAGATAGGCACCAGGCCACGTGGCCGCTTCTGGCTTTGAGTTGAGGGGATGAACGATGCTCATATTTCTCTAATTTTTTCGGCGACTACCATTGCCTAGGAAAAAGAGCAAAGCCAAGTTCAATCAGTTATTAACGTTAGGGACTGATCCTGAGTAGTAGTTAGTAATGTATAGAAATATGTTATAGCTCATTTAAACAAAATAGAGAGGGGTCGAAACTTGGGCAATAACTTGAGAACGACGCTCGTGAGAGACTTACAGCGACTGCCAACGTTCGGCTGTTCCTCTCACGTCACTAAAATATCTTATTTTTTTAGGTATTCCTTCCGTACACACGTGTAGTTCTATGTAACGTCATATTAATAGGTCGCATTTAGTCATTTCAAAAATTCTATTCTCAGGGACATCTTTCAGATATACTTCAGCAACAATGAAAAAATGTTTCAATGCCTTAATAATGTAAAGTTGGTCTTGCAACATTTATTTTGTACTTTCAATAAATAGTGTTAAGAAATAACCCGTGACGTTGATAGGTTGCGGAAACATCCATTAGTTTTCCCCTAATAACAGATGCAGAAAAAATAAAGGACAGAGACCGCTGTCGATATCTCCTCAACTCGCAATTTGAACAAGCGGCCACGTGATCTGACCTTAATTATATACCGCCAGTGTTCATCGCAGTCATGCCCTAGGCTGCAAGGGTTTACAAAGCAAAAGCTTGGGCTGAGCTTCAGATATTGTTAGTGTTGGGCTATTGATTATCACATCTAATTGACATGAGCCGTTACCTGAATGTCTAGCCATGCTGATTGTCATGAACCCGAGCACTCGACTAGGGGTTATGAAAATCGCTTACGTCACGGTGTCACGTGACTCTCGGTGCGAAATCGTGATGTCATGTTACGTAATGCTGTCAACAAGGTTAATACATCTAATTACTTTCTCAAATGAAATCGATTTAATGCAGTGAGTTACGTGACGTCACGAGGCCACGTGACATTACTTGACAACATGTATTGACACCATGACGTCACGTGACAAGTTGACACATGGTTAATCATAGTGCCAACAAAGGTGCCATGAAAACCCACAATTTATCATACGTTGCAATTATGTATATGACGATTCGATCAACAGATAGAAATACAGCCGCCAATTGTTTATTCCCATATGTTAACTTTGTGATACTAGCAAAGAAGAAAAAAAATATTACCTTGAACCGTTTTGAACCAGTTACCGTTATATTTTTTTTCGGTTCGGTTCCGGTTCACTTCCAAGATGGCGGCGAAGATTCCGGTTCGGCTAAAAATAACGGTTCTGTTCCGGTTTTCGGTTCGGTTCGGTTCCGGTTCGACACCCTGGTGCTGGGGTACCAGCCATGTTAGGAAACAAAACCACTTTTTTTTTTTGCGCGGCGGGAGTTACGTCATAAGCTGAAGCACTCGCTCCTGAGAGCAACGGCCACTGATTTCTATGTCATTGAGATCAGTGGCAACGGCCGTGGGTAAACTATATTTGGTCCCTGCCTTTCCGTCACCGTGGTCGCGCGACGTCGGGTGTTGCCGTCCCCACGTCGCTGCAGATATGGCGCTTTCTAAAATGAAATTTAAGGACCGCCGCATGTTCATCAACATTCTTGTTCTTGTTTAATACGCTACTACAAAAGATTCTCTAGCTCAAAGAGTGCTTTGTCAAAGTATCGATTACTTAGGTTTCTCTCGGTTGGCTTAGGAACCCTGGTACGTGAAAAATCTGCTGCGAAAGAAAGTTGGTGAAGAAAAGTGAGCTAAAGCAAAGAATGCAATGTTTGCACGCTGAACCCGCACAGCGCGCTTGTTTGTATCGAGTTCAGTCGTTGCACAAAGCGCTCCAAGAACTTTTTAACCCTGGCTCGCAATGTCTTTCATCAATGTGCTCAGGTTTGTTTTTGTTTTTTTTCTGTGTGTTTAGTTTGTAGTTTGCCTGCCGGCCTGGCAAGCGCGTGCCGCTGGACTGTTTCTTGTCGTATGTTGGACAGTTACATTTTGTATACAATTTTGGGAACCACTTGGCGACGGAGCGGAGTGGCATGGTTTCTATCGAACAGCCATCTCCGCTCGCGCGACAATTTCGCATTGCACTGCAGTAGTTACGTGTTTCATCCGTTGGAGACTGCATTCATTTATTTTATCAGTAGTCAACCTAATGCTGCGCTATTTACTACTAAGATGGTAATTTTCGAATCAATTTTCGTATGTGCACTTTGGTTCTTATTTACTTATAGCGGGTACATATATACATATCATTTAACTGAAGCATTGCAAAATGTGTCATGTCATTGGCATTTCAGTTACATGTTGAAAGACTCCCAGGTGGTCTAACTGGTCTAACTTGACTATAATTTGTTTATTGCGGCAAGCAGAGTGTCCTTCGTTTGTCCAGCTCTTCAAACGGATATTTGTATTTTTCTAAGAATATCTGCTCCAAAAGTCACTTTTGCTGCTCCGAAACACTGTTTTAGCTGCTCCAAAAGCCACTTTTGCTGCTCCAAAACACTGTTTTGGCTGCTCCAAAGGGTGCTCCAAAACGGCTTAGGCCAATCACATCACTGCTCTTCTGTTTTACATTTTTGGAACATTGTTTCTGTGAAACCACTCCAATGCTGCAGCCCGAGATGTTTTCCCATGCAAAAATTCTGGCGAACACGAATGCCTCGTTGGAGACTCTTTAACCGTCTGCCACTGAAATGGTAGCACTTCCGCTCCCCGTTTTCGCCACATCGCTCGCCTGGATTTACACTTATTGTTGCGGCCCGAGATGTTTTCGCGTAAAACATCATTGCATGCACGAATGCCTCGTCAAAGTTGTTTCGACTTCCCCAACCTTGCAGCTGCTGCGGGAGGAGCTGCGGGCGGAGGGCGGTGCGGGCGCCAAGGGTCCCGTGAGCAGCCTGCAGCTGCTGCACTCGTACCTGTGCTACCTGCGCCAGCGCACGACCGTGGAGCGCAACCTTCTGCTCATCCGCCAGGTGCAGGAGGGGGCTACCAAGTGCAAGCCCCAGGACCTCGTTAGGCCCTACGAGATCATCGTCCAGGTGGGGATGACGTTTGCCGCCTATACGGGGTGTGCCGGAAGGACCTTATTCACTTTAAATAAGCCACAAAAAATCACTTTCTCATGCTGCAGTGCTGTAACATAGAGGGAGGCTATGTGGGGCATTTCTCTTGTGAAAATATTGAAGAGAAATCTTATCTCAATTAGAAGTTACATATGAAAACCAAAACTTTCCCTGTGGCTTCATGTGGAGTTCTCTTTTTCTAGTCAAAATTTAAAAGCTTCCTTGCAGGCTGTTAGGTCAAGTGATTAGACAAAAGAGGGAAGAGCCAAGGTCCCTAGAAGATCATTGTTAACTAGGTGGGGCCCACCCCTTTTCGCTCGCCACTTATGCAGGTGGGCCAGATGGAACTTGCCCGCTTCAAATGAGTCGCAAAAGTCAGTTTTGCGTGCTGCGACACTGTAACATGCCGTGAAAGTGAGGTTAAGATGGGGAATTTGTTGCGTGAAAATGTCAAAGGGAAAACTTGCCTCCATCGAAGTAACGAATGAAAGCAAAGGAAAAACAGACACACAAAAAGTACCGTATTTTCCAGACTATAAGTCACACCCTCGTATAAGTCGCACTTCCAAATAATGAGTAGTTTTCGCAGAAAAGTTGTAATGTAAGTTGCAGCTTTGTATGAGTCGCGGCTCTTTGCACGGTTCACGCAATGCATTTTTTTGTTTTACGCTCATCGGTATCGCGAAATGGGAGTTTCTCCCAATCGGCCAGTTCGCACGCAGTGTTTGCCGCACAACGACCTTTACGTTTCGACTCACGAGAAATGCCCAAAGCACGGCACTCTCTGGCAGGGGGGCAGTTGAGTGTTTCACAACAAAAGGATGTAAAACGCGCAAAATGAGAAAGTAGTCGGCTTTATTCGAGTGTACAGATGCCAAGCTTTGGACCACTAGGCCTAGCCTAGGCAGTCACAGAGACGATACGAGCATCGATGCACAGGCAGAGAGACAAACCTTGACATGCATTCGGTGCCGCAAGATTGGATAGCTGCAACCCTTCCTTTCACATGTAAAAACACGGCTAGAGCACGGCAGATAAAAGCTGCTCATCAAATATAAACTAAGAAAGACGCGAGGAAATTTTCTGCAATGGCGTGTACACCAGCCCACTTAACTTTCAGTGCTACTGGACTGAAGCAAAAGAATACGGAACCATGGTTGAATTAGGGAACTTTGATCCATGTTGTAAAAGTTTTATTCTCACTGTCTTGTCTAACCAGATCGAGCCGCTTCAAGGAAAACAAAAATTTCTCACTTTCCGAGCCTGTTTCTACCATCGTGAGTAACGGACACCAAACGGGATCCCGTTGTAGAACCTGTCGGAGATGCTCCAGCTGCCGGGGGTGGAGGAGGGCTCCGAGTTTGCGGAGCGGGTACAGGCGGAGCTGCTGCTCTACAAGGCCCACCGGGTCCACCACATTGGCCAGGCACTGGCTGCCGTGGGGCGCTACCCGGAGACCATGGCCCTGTACCGCAGGGGCCTGGCCTACGTGCAACAGGCCCTGGCGTACGAGCACAACCTGGATAAGGTGAGGTCCTTCTTTTAAAGCGCCAAATGCTTTGACCCTCCGACGGGTGTCGACGTGCGCGTACGGCGGCGATCACGCGTCTGGAAGCGCGTGCCTAGACGCAGAACCGCGCGCACTGCGGGACGTGCTGCTACTTGTCATGTCTTTGGCGAAGTATAAACATCATGTTCAGACAATGTTTTGCCTTGCTGGGGCTGTTTATGGTATCGAATTCGGACGCTCCGTGCACGTGGTACGCACAAGATGGTCGCATGTCGGCTGCTCCGACAGTAGTGGAAATCGGAGTGCCGGCTCTTCCGATACAGACTTTCTAACATTCCTCGGAATTGAATTCAGAGGACGAGGGCTTACCATCCGAAGGAGATGCTCGGTAACATACTTCCAGTTCGAAACCTGAAACTGCCGGAACGTTGCAGAAGCGAATGCACCAAAGCGAAACAGAGTGGAAGGAAAACGACAACTTTCCGACTTCAATATTTGTATTTGATGCTTCTAACCCAGTGATGTGATCGATGCGCCATCTGTGCCAAACTACGCCAAGGGGCTCGCACTGCTACATCTAGCCAAAATATGAAGAATCTGCGCCAATGTTGCGCCAGAACTTGATTTCACTTTATGAATGCTGAAAATACAGTTATGAATGCTGAAAATACAGTTAGAATCGGTTTTAGTGGAGTATGCGGGTTCACTCTGATGTAATATTTTGTCCGTGATCATATTTCGTGCCACTAAAGTATAATACCAGTAATTTATGTTGCTTTTGTTTTCGACTGGAGTTGCATTTTAAAGAGGCCAACACGAGAATCTTAACATATAATATTTGCAGTGGTATGAACAAAAATGAAGTGTGCGCATGTGCTCCAAAAGTACATTTGCGACTAAAGTGGAGTCCTGGTCACTCTAAAAGGTGCTCCAAAATGACTCGGGCGATCACATCATTGCCATTTTTTAGTTCTGTGTTGCCTTGAATGTTGTCTTAAAAAGTCGTTGAAAAAAGTTTGTATGAATCTTGGTTTAAAGGCAGACCTACAGAATCATATTCTGTGGGAAGAATATCGGTTCCTAGCGTCCTTCTGAGTTACTCCGTGCAGAAAGAATGGTCTCCCTCTCTCTCGAATGGAAGGAAGGAATTAAGTAAGAGTTTCCTCTTTTCTGGCTGCTCGTCGGCCTTTAACAGAACCCCCCCCCCCCCCCATCCCAAAATATTTTCCTTCCATCTCTTTGCGAATTTTCTGCCAAATTTAGCGGGTAAAACGATGTCATCCGACCTATCCACCAATTCAGTTTCCCCCTGCCTTGGTGATAGAAACGTTAACTATATTTCTCCGCTACGTTTAGCGGAAAAATTTACATCAAGTGACCTGACGTGACCTATGCACCAATTCAGTTTCCATGCCAAATTTGGCGGGGAAATAAATGTTGCGTGAATTTAACGTGAATTTGGTTTCCCCGCTAAATTTAGCGAGAAAATCGATAAAAATGTAAGTTCTTGACTCGCCGAAAAAAAAAACAAAAAAAAAAACAAAAAACATTTAAATTCTTTCTAAACAAATCGAAATGATTACTACCTAACTAGTGCATTTCATGCATTATAGTGGTTTGGAGATGAAGGTTAATGGAAACGGTGCATGCGAGCTGGTTAATAACTGACTAGGGGAACAAAAAGACAGCACAACAGAAATCTCGAAATTTTTGGAGATTCATGTTGCCTTGTCCCTCTGTTAACCCCCACCTTGAGGGTTACAAAATGTCGGACGTAAAAGTGGCTCTTACATTCTTACAGAGTGTGTGCATTGGTGTCTGCAACAGTTCTTTAGTGATAGATGTTACGGGCTCTTCCGCCTCACTCGAAACGGCGTTGAAGTAGGGCGCCCGTCGTCGACGTTGGGACATGACGTGACATTATGGTGTCGCGGGACAGCAGAGTGCCACCACGTAAATTGACAGCGCCGTGTTCTGCGCAGGATGCCGTAGCTTCCCTGAAGGAGCTGGCCGGACTGCTGGAAGGACAGGAGTACTCGATCCACGCGCAGAGCATCCTGGGTTCGACCGCCGAAACGCCCGCCGCAGAGGACAAGGACACCAAGGTACAGACCGCCCCGTCGCGTCTGGGATGTCGCGATGCAACAGCAGGAGTCGGATTTGGGGGTGCTATGTGTTGAGCCGGCATGCTTGCGTAAGGCGTACAACATTAAAACTCCGCCACCGTTTCGAAGCCTCTTTGAAAACCCGCAGGTCTAGGCTTATTCGCACATTTATTGTGTCTGCTTAGGATCGAGCTCTCGCAACATTTTGCAATGAGAGAGGACACCAGCGCCGTCCACGAGGTGACCCTGGAACTGAGTTTCAGTAGAGCGAAGGTTCTGCAGTTATTGCGAGATCAGATGTTGGTGCCATCTACAAGAAATGGTCGTTAATAGCCTTTTCAAAAGTTTTTCGAGCCAAGAGAGAAAGGACGACGCGTGAAAAGAAAACCAGGGATACACAAACCAAGTGTTGGCAACTTCCTGACTGATGGCGGCATCGCGTTAATTCGTCGTAATATATTAAAAAAAAAAAATATGATGAGGCACGCGGTTGTAAGTTGTCGCAAGTTTGTGAAGCAGTTCTTCTGCCAACTTTTGCGTCACGCCGCGTCTTGCACGCGTTGTTTTGCAGCTGCTCGTGGATCGGCTTGACACGTATTTGGAAGACAAGAGCCTGGGGACGTCCAAGCCGCGCCTCGCCTCCTTCCCGCCGTCCTTCGAGCCGATCGCGTGCAAGCCACTCTTCTTCGACCTGGCGCTGAACCACATGGAGTTCCCGTCGCTCGAAGACGTGGCCGACACCAAGAAGAACCAGGGCCTGACTGGACTGGTCAAGGGCTGGCTCGGAGGCTGGAACAAGTAGCCGTAGGCACTGCAGCCCATGGGTGGTACTTTGCGCCGGGACGAACTCGGACGTCCTCTTTTTTGGAATAAAAAAAACATTGACCGAGCCGGATGCCTTGATCGTCATGACTCGCTTCCGTTACAGTGTCTCGAATGCACCTTCGACGCATGTTCGGCGTGAGCTTCGTGTCTTCCATGGTGCATGTGCAGCCAAAGCACCACAGAAGGCATATATGTATTGTGTACGAGTAGGAACATGCATGAAAAGGCAACCAATGACAACTCTGCCCACGCAGACGGGAAAGGTCGGGTCGTCGCAGCCCCGCTGGTTCGTTGCAGAGGCAATGCTGCACCAGGTGCTTGTATTTAGGTGTTCAGAGTTCCTCTGGCCGGATGGCAACGTGTGTTTGCCGTTTCTACGTCTGCTGCTGAATCTGCCATCGATTTCGAGGGCCATCGCCAGAGTGGTGAAAATTGGACATGATACGCAGTTGGGACTTCAACAGGAAACAGATTGACAGACAAACTTTAGACTTAGCAAATGTGCTGAAAGCATGCCACTGGAAGTAGACCCCACAGGCCAACTACTTGTAGGGACTTGACCGCAGATTTGTTCATGCTATTGCGACCAAAAGGAGGGTGGTACTATATAGACTTTATGATTGCGCACGTTGAGTGAGAGGTGTGTCCATTTAGTTTGACATAAAACAGTATTTTTTTTTTGGGGGACAGAAAGAAGTTCCTCTACTACAAGCTTCGTTTACTTTATTGACAACCTTTCTGTAGCTTTGACCACAGATCCATACTGAGCTTGTCGGTGCATGCACCCACATGGTTAGATGCAACTGCAAGGCTTAAGTGGAACCGCAAGGTTGCATGCAACCTTTCTGTTGAATGCTCTCGTCATCGAAATGGGACCTCCCGATGCTCGTATACATGATTTGTGCCAGAGTATGGTCTGTCTTGTGACAATCAGCTTTGCAGACTCCCTGAGGTACATTCACTTCAAATGGATAGACTGTGCATGGGTGCTCTAGCGCGACCGGATCCACGATCACAGTGGGTACACTATTCTCCCGACGATGATGTCTGTCACAAATTCCTTCCAAGGGGGGCCCCCCAAGTGGTCTGGCCACAACTTGACATTTCCTGGAATGACCTGGAATTTAATGAAATAAATAAAATGACTCCAGAAATTGTGCCAAAGAAGGTGCGAGGACGTACAAAGAAAACCCCACCTGTAAAAACAGGGCAAATCTTCGTCCAGACGAAAGGACGTCAAAGTTGATGTCTCCTGCACAAAGAAAAAAAGTATAAACCGCATTTACTCGCATAACGAACACATTTTTTTTCCCCGAAAAATTGACACATATTTGGGGTAAAACTTTTGCCTTTACACACTTCATGCAAATGTCATATTAAATGCCAATATGACACGGCAGGGTACTGTGGCATGTCCCTGCTGATGGAGGTGCACCCACGGCTGGTCGGGGGCACGCCACAGTAGCCATACTTCAGGAACTGCAAACCTTTTTAGGGCGCTTTTCACGTGCCTTTTGCCGAAGGAAAAGCACCCTACGAAGCTCACTCAGCATGGAAAGCAACAAAGCAACGTGACCGTTCTTAGGTGATATATATTGCTAGTATCCAGCGATGCCCTTGGGTATATACTACCACTACGCATATAAGAACTCGTACAAAGTCCAACCGAACCGAGGCCCGCTCACACGAATCAAGTTTCATTCACGGAGACTGCTATTACCAGGGGCTACCAGATACTCTTGACCTCCGACGCAGCGTGCACCTCGCTGCGCCGTTCTGTTACGGATTAAATGCTGCCGAGCCCGGTTATAATGAAGTCAACGGGAATCGGAAATCACTTCGCTATATCCGCCATTTCGTTATAACCGACTTCGGTTATAACGATGTGCAAAAGAGAATGGGAAATCATGATCGCTTCGCTGTAGCCGCTATTTCGTTGTAACCGACTTCGTTATAACCAATCTCGACAGTAAACACATTTACCCGGAGTATGTGAAATTAGGCCTAACCACTTCCACGATTTCACTGTCCGAAAGCGGACCACAGATGACGGTATGTTTGTTGACATCGATGCATCCGACAGGCGAAGAATGTCCAGGGCTGTGCAATTCCTCGACCCAAGCTTCGTCCAGTGTGTGACCGCTCGGTTGCACAGTTCATGACTTCCGCAACTACTTACACGGTGATTCAAGGAGACGCCAGGCTCTTTAAATCGACCGCAAAATTCGGTTTCTTAACCTATCGCGCTGTGACTTTGTGCAGCGTTGCCCACAGATGGTGCATTTTTTTTGTAAAATTTGCAAATAGCGAACTTACCTGAGGAAAAAGTAAAGAAAGAAAAAGGCTTAGCTCCTATAGAAACGCAGTCACGCCACCAGTCTTCAGACAACACGGCGCCGTTTCGCACGGCGCCGTGTTGCCGTGCCAACACAGCAGCACGGCCCTGTGACGGAGACCCTGTGATTCGAAAATTCACAGGGTCTCTTATGTTGAAAATGATGAAAATAATCCCTAGAGAAGGGGAACAAGGGGGACAGAGGACAAACACAAATCTCCAAACACAGCTATTATCCCTAAGACGACTTGAAGGTGAAAGCCCACGTGCTGATCCCGGAGATAGCAACCCTCCGAAGACGGCACGCTCTCTGAAGATGCACTTTTGGCGCCGTTAGTCTCGCGGCATGTCGCACGCCTGCTCTTCACCGCTGCCCGAGCGACAGTGTCCTCTCCACGCGCCTCTGCCGATTCTGGCACAAGTAACGCCATCTCGTGGTCCAGTTGCGAACCATGGGTATTGGTAAATTTCGTGTCGCCAACGTGTTTTCGAATCTTTTGCGCCGCCGACGTGTTTTCATACTTTTCGTGTTGTCGACGTGTTTTCGCTCAAGGACTTTGGAGGTCGACTGAACGATGAGACATGTAAGGCTTTTGCCTAAATATCAAACTAGGCACCTGAATTAACCCATACTTCACAAGCACAGCATTCTATGAGAGAAAGGGGCAAACGCATGGCTTCTAAAGGGCAACTCCGCTTAATTTCAAAAATTTTGAGATAGTGGCCGATTTTGCTTTTTGAAGCACTCAAAAACAATCCCCAATCCTTTGTTTCGCGAAAAATAACATATTTTTCGTGAAATTTTACTCTAGCCATGATCACAAACCGAAACCAAAACGGTGGCAAAGCCGGACAACATTGTATATTCGGCATCACTAAGCATGTACACGCACGTGATATACAAGGGGAAGAAGGAGCTCCCCTCTTATCAGGATCCTCCTTTGTGCCTCCTGGATTAGCACAGGCGTCGCTATTCTCCTCCCAGAAGATTATAGAAGATTAACCGGTCACTCAAAATTCTTACAAAAGCAGCTTCCCTCTCCTCCTTTTACTTGGTGTTCAAAAGTATGCGATGTAACACAAGCCGCGCTCAACGAGGCGATCGGCTTATCAGTAGTATCAATAGTCGAGCGCCGGGCCAACCGAGCGCGTCACTCACGTCTTTCACGGCGCTGGCGCCACCCGTGCTCTCCCCGGGAAAGAAAACAAAATTGAAAAAAAAAAGAAAAAAGAAGCTGTACATGCTTGATGACGTCGCGGACGTGCCGGGAGAAGGAATTTGGAGGAAGCGGAAATGCAGCCGGGCAGTGTTGTCTGGCCCGCGCGTCTCATCCAAAACCAGCGGATTCGTGCTTGTCAAACTTTGACAGCGATTTTAATGAACTTCTAGGCGGAATTCCGTCGTAATATTTGCCATGGGGGTTTTGCAGATGATAACAAAGAGAACTGTATAGTTTTGCACTACTGTAAAAGAAGCGGAGTTGCCCTTTAAGTGCTCATACAGACGGAATTTTTCGCCACTACGCTCTCACTTCTGTTTTTGGTAGCACGACGCACGAGTTGTTTCCTGAGCATAGGAGAAATACGGGCGAATAGGACTTCCCTAAAGAGTGTTAAACAAACGTTGAATGGTGATTACAGTGCAAGCAACTGCAAGGATGCAAGCAGCTGCATGCAACAACTGGATACATGCAACCCACAAGGTGAATGCATTCGCACACACTCTGCAGGAAAATTTTAGTAAAATAAATTTCAACGAGGCTCGCTAACACGGGATACGCTGCAACATACAGGTCAGTAATCCCCGCAGAATCTAGACTTACCGACAACAGGATTTCCACCAAATGTCCTGGCTGCAAGTGTGTAGAGTGGGAAGGAATCCCACACGATGACTGCTCTGCTCAGGATGCCTTGGGCCGCTAAAACAGCTAGGCGTAGCTGGAACAAGGGGGGAGGGGAGGGGCAAAGCTTGTCGGCGAATGCATTGGCAAATGAACAAACTCAGTTTTTCTGTAGCCCGTCTCGGTGTGATGAGACACTGGCGCGGTTACGACCTGCACCACTTGGTGGCGTTGCTGCCCCACTGCCCAGCTCGAGCACGGACAATCCTGGCAACTGTGTGCTCACATGTGCACTCAAGTGAGTGCACATGTGCACAGGGTAAAATCATACTGTATTTACTCGAGTAATAACCGCACTGTTAATGAAGACAACCTCAGGGTTTGCTTTTCCACGGAGCATGCGGCTTGCCAATCACCGCGATCGGCAGCATGATTCCAGCTTTTTACAGGAGAGATAACGTCTTTGTGCGAAGATACCATCTGTGAAGAATGGCCTTGTTTATAAATAGTGCGGCTAACATTCGAGTAAATACGGTACTTCAGGTTTCTAGCCTAGGTGGCACGAGCTACCGCCTGTCATAAAAGGTACAGCCGCAAGCATCCATCCATCCATCCGCTGTGCCCGACTGCTCCTATTGGTGCTAAGGCCGAGATGTCTAGGTGGCGCCTTCTTACGGTATTTATCCGTGACGTCGCAACCGGGGATTTGCCCCGCAGTGACGTCGCGAGCTCTGACCCTGGCTTCTTATCATCGGGTGCGAACAAGTGTGGCGGCGTGTGTAAATAGCCAGCGCAACAGTGGCGTCATCGCATTCTTTAAACAACGCCGTCAAGCTCGACAGTCTGACAATGCTGTTACAGTGGAATCTCGTTAATTTGAACCCGAGGGGGACTAGAACTTTGTTTGACTAATGCAAAGTTTGAATTACCGGGAGTTTCCTTCCTAGAAACACATAGGATGGGACCTGCAAGTCAGTTTGAATTATCCGCGAGTTTGAATTAAGAGAGTTTGAATTAACGAGATTCCACTGTATTTCCGTCAATGAAAGCAAAATAAATCCAACTTTTCGTTTCGAGACAAAGTCAAACTCTGGGGGGGGGGCAACAATTTTTGTACTTTCAGTAAACAGCGCTTAAAATTTGTATACCTTCACATTCATAGCCTATAAAACGTGCGTTAGGAAGTCACAAAAAAAAAATCTAGAAAAACGAGCAGCATTTATGCCCTCAACTCGTAGCCAGAACAAGTGGCGACACATATGCCGAAAATGTTTATCACAGCATGTGCTGGTCCTGGCGAAGCACAAGGCACGTGCAGAGTTGCACGGGCCACACCCGTTGTCCCAGCTAACGGCCACGAGCTGCTATTCGAGCGCACGTTGAGAATCCACCAAACGAGCGGAATTTAAATATACCGTCACCGTGGGGATCACAAAAATCAACAACAATATTGTGGGGACCTAATTGTTGACAGTGCTACCAACGCGATCCCCGCAACTCCGTCGCCGATCGTTTTGCGAAGGAGAGACCGAACGAAAACGTCCGCTTTCATCTCAAAAATTATGTGGCGACAAAGAAGCTCCTTTGGAAGTGGCTTTCTTGCGAGCGCACATGGGTCCCACGAGTGCCGGTAAGCTCGCTTAAATCGAGAAACATTACCGCCCAACACTGCCAAAAGGCCCCTTCTGATGACTTACCCCGAGGAAAACGGCGTAGTACACGGCCACCGTGGGAAAGAGGAACAGCAGGATGGTGAAGAGCAGCGTCCCCACAAACATCTGGTCGACGTCGTAGCGGTGAGAGTCGACGCGCTCCCGGAGTGGGTTCCACTTGGTGCCGCGGAAGAGGCGCCCCAGCGCTCCTAAGCCCCCGACCCAGCCCTGGTAGAGGCGGCAGGCGTAGCCGTAGAAGCAGTAGATGTGCACCGTGGACAGCGCCAGAAGGTCCGAGGCGAGGGCCAGGTGCAGCGTCAGGCTGCCCGGCCAAAGCCTCAGCAGGGCGGCGACCCACGGATGGAGGATGCCCACGTAAGCTGTTGTAACAATGGGAGGCATTTTTAGTAAAGGGTGGCCCGCACGTCTTGTTCGGCAAGGCAGAGTGGGAACCTTTCTCACTCTTTTCTTACATCTGCTAACGGCACGGGTTTTTAAGCCGGGTTTCTGCCGGATTACCCTCGTCATTTTCCCCAAGCTTCCGAATTTCCTCGACCGTCCTTGCCCCCAAGTAAAGGTCCACTTCGGAAGCGGCAATTTCTTCCCCGGCGTCTCTTCTTCGCGACACCGGCACCCCGCATTCACATGAAACAACCGGATCGCTATGATTTGCTGTCGTCATAATTAAGTTTAAATTTTCTTGCACTACAGTATACTGAAACTCCAGGAAGTCACAGACTTTAGTTTGAATTATCAGAAATTCTCCTAAATATGATACTAGACAACATTATGATTTGTTACATGAATAGCTACACATACAAAGCAGATTTTTGCCAGTTTCCTCTACATAGGCCTAATTATAAGCAAGTGCAGGCATAACACATTGGTGAAGGAACTGTGACGTTAAGTTCATTCATCTGGCAAAAAAGTTGTCGATTGCGGACTGTTTAGTCAGCACATGAGATCTCAAAACAAAATTTTTAATACCAGCCAATGCAAGTAGCTCTTTAAGGGACTCTTCCTTTCCAGACAGAAACTTCCGGAGCTGAGCAATGTGCTCAAAGGCCTCTGCGGCTGTGAAAGTTGGTAGTGGGTCATCCCTTTCTTCATCGTCATCATCATTCTTACTGCTGCACTGTGCTGGCATTACTTCTTGTACTATGTCCTCTAATGAGTAATCACGACAAACACACACATCGTCGTCAAGACTAGCATATTCCGCCAGCTTGGCGTTCACATTATGTGCTTCAAAGCCAGAAAGCATGATGCCAGTGAGCTGTTCCTCATCCTCAATGTCATCTTGGTCATCATTGCTAGTCTCGAAGCACATAATGTGAACGCCGTTTCCTGCTAATGTGTGCCCGCTTGAGCCCCCGTTGAGTGTGCTTTTTTCCGAGCACCGGTGCACCGCGCAGAAGCAACACTCGCGAAAGCAAGCTATGCGGGTATTGCTTCTCTGCGGTGTACCGGTGCTCGGAAAGAAGCGCACTCAACGGGGCCGCGAGAACAAAAAAGTATGAATTAAGCGAAACCGCCGTTCGAACTAAGCGGCTTATAAATACATTAAAAACATAGCGGGACAACCAAAATCTTCAAATCTGATTGAATTTACCGGAAGTACAAAATATTCGACTTTGAATTATCGCGAGCCTACTGTATTTAGACGCACACTTACGTGCTAAAAACATTTGTTTTATATCTTAAATGAAGTTTAGAATACCAACTCGTCTCCCTGAAACTATTTAGCCACGAAAACAATCAATTTCAAGTCGGAACATAGTTAAACTCCGTCTTTAGTTGTCTCCATCACCACCATGGGCACGTCCCTGATTGGTTGCCGCTGCTTCAGATACGTCCCGAGTTGCTCGCCTGTTTAGAGTCAAACCCGATCCCAGCAATTCGTATTGCAGCACATTGATAGAGGGAGAGCTAGGGAACAACTTGCCAGCAATGCTGAAATTGCTGGAAAGATTGCCTCGTCTGAGGAGGGCCTTGTAGCAGATCTGAGCCAACCTTTGGCGTGTAGGTTTCTGTTCTATTCTGTGTCAATGTTAGGACCAAGGGTTGTTCCTCGGCCGTTAATTAAGAGATGGATTCCCCAAGGGAGAAAAGTTTGAAAGCTGCTGGTTCATGGGAAAGGGCAGAACAAACGACAATCCTAATCGGCAAGTAAGCAGTGTTCAGGGGCTCGACTGAAGAGTCCTTGGATTTGGTTTAACAGCCTGCAGATCTAGGGAAAGAGGGATCCCTGTTTCCCCTCCTATTCAACTAATGAGATGCTTTTGATTTGTTTCTGTTAGCGGGCATAAGGACTGCTTCAGACGGGGCAATTTCTCCAAGCGACTTGACGTCACAACACCAGCAACATGGGCCGCCCGCATTGACACGCAGCAACCAATTGCTGCAATTTGCTATCATCATCATTAAATTTTATTTTTCTTGCACTATTTAGACACACAGTTACGTGTTTTTATAACTTTAAATGGCGTTGAGAGTACTAACTCATCATTCTGAAACAGTTTATTTCCAAGAAACAATCTATTTCGAACCAGAACCAAGTCTTTGGTTGTCATCACCACCTGCACGGGGCATCACGTGAAAATATTGCGTCCAGGGACGGCGCCAATGGGAGGCGAGGGGTGGCGGGCGCCTCCCCTAAAATTTCTTCTGCCACCCCAAGATGAAGCGGCTTTGTTCACAAATAATTACCAACGACGTCGGCTTGAAGACCCAGTGTAACGAGTGTCCAGACTTTAGAGCCGTGCATGCCTTTAATTTACCTTTTTTTCTATTAACGTCCACCCACTGGAAGTCGTACCGCGAGCGAGTAAGCTTTCAAGCGCTTTAGAAAAAGAAGCTCCCCTTTGTGACGCCCGCTGGCTTTTCTCTCCGTATTCCGCTCTGTGGTGCTTATCTTAGCGGAGATCGGAGACGTGAATGAAGGGGAGCTTAGTTAAAGTCGAGGTCATGGGGAATTCCGGACTGTCTCAGAAAGGGAAGCAAAACCTGGTTGGGAGCCTAAGCATTGGAGACAGAGGTCTCTACTGTGATAACCCCCTCCCCCCCCCCCCCCCCCCTCTTCCTTCTCGTGTCTCCGCATTTCCCTTTTCAATGAGCACACCGCATAAGCTATCTTCGATAAGCCCGTGGGCGACAGCACCTCAGAGCAACCCCCACCCCCAATTTGGTTCGCCTCCCCACTGCCCCCCTATTATGAAGATCCTGGCGCCGTCCCTGATTGGCCGGCTGCCGCTTCAAACGTCTTCGAGTTGCTTCGAGTTGCTCGCTTGTTTCAAGCCAAACCCAATCAACAATTTGTCTCGATCTAGGGAAAGCTAGGGAACAACCCACCAGCAACCCCAAAATTGCTGAGAAAGTTGCCCCGTCTGAAGCAGGCCTATAACTCCCTAGTGACATGACAACATCTGACAGGACTCCATCCAAAGTGGCATTATAATCAAATGCATGCCCTGGACAATCACAATTTCTGCATAAACATGACACAATTGCAGGGCCGTACCCAGAAAAAAATTTCGGGGGGGGTTTTCGGGGACAACGGCGGCCATTTTGTCTTATTTTCGCCTATGAATCATGTGCATCGGTGGCATATAATGGAGAGTTATAGCAAACCGAAGAATCGGTCCCGGTTTGGTACCCGGTAGCCGACCGGTGCCACTGCGCGTGCGCAGAGGTGGAGATTAAAATCGGCTGGCTGCAAGTGCACCGACCAGGGCCGTACCCAGAAAAAAATTTCGGGGGGGGTCAGAACCCCCTAACCCCCCCCCCCTGGTTACGGCCCTGCACAATTGACACTACAAAGCAAATATGAATAGAGCAAGGTCTGACATGCAACAAAGCCCGACATGCAACAAAGCCAAAACATGAAAGTTGTGAAAAGAAAAAGTACACAATGCAAATGCACATCCACTCAGACATACAAAAACACACCCACCCACTCAAGAGTACAAGAGAGGTACAGTAAAATATAGAAATCCAAGCTCTCTTTTAACACTCAAGACTGAAATCAAAAGGACAGTAAAAATTTAAACATAGCGGAAGCATACATTGATGTATGAGCATGCCTGGTCTCACTTGCAAAGTGTGCAAGCTTCAAATCTGTTTGATCGCAAGAACACCGAGAAGGATTCTTGGAGAACAAACATTTTGAAAACCTGTTGGCAGCATGGAGTCTGTGAGTAATTAAACGTGAGGAAGATACATAGAAGAGGGGGAAAAACAACAATGGAAGTCACTGTTGTCCGTCCCCCCTTTCTATGTATCTTCCTCATGGTTAATTACTGTTACCAACACGCTCGTTTTGTATTTACGTCTATGGAGCGTCGTGCAATTGGTACTCACTCTCCCATAGGCTGATGTGATACAGAAAGAAGCGTCCCAGTGCACTGTTTAGCGGGGCATTCAGCTTCAGCCCTGCTGGAGCACCCATCAGCCACTCCACCAAGTCTTGCAAGTGCTGAACAACCGTCTGCAACCATAGTAACAGAAGGGTAGCACTTTCAGTGCTGTTGTAATGGTATTATATTATTGAATTTGCATTGCCTGAACTAAACCCTCAAAACATCAGTGATCCCTTCCAAATATTAAGTTCAGCCCGGAACTACCTTCTATCCCAGGTACAGCATCTATGCCAAAAATTTACTATTTTATGGCTATAATGTTGGTGCTGCACTGTGACCAGTAAAAAAAAATACTGACCTCCGTCCATTCCAAAGATGCCCACGAAACCCCTGTCGGAAGACCCTGATGTCGATGCACTGCCAGTGCCAGGCATAAGCCCAGAAGACAGTCCACCACGATGCTGAAGATGCGGTTCTTGCAGCTGAAGCAGCAAATTGAAGCATATTTAATTACATGAACCTCGAAAGTAGAATTTGATACTGCTCAGACAGTAATTCCTGGGAAGTAGTCCTCTGGGGGTATTCCAGTACCTTAGGGTTATGTGGCCATGCTGTTCAACGCTATCCTGCACTGCTATGATGTCATTGAGTCGCTTGCAGATGAGGGATCCTGTTGATGTGACTTTGACGCATCTTGTAATGGCATTTGTAACTCTGAAATATAGAATTTTATTTCGTTAGTTCAAAGTGGCATCGATTTTGACAGTGCAATTTAGAGCTTTGTAAAGAAATTAATCAAATGTATGGAATGGCAATATTTAAAAAGGAAGCATTTCTGGCATGTGAGACACCTTTGTTGATAGTTGTTCATTAAGCAAATAAACAGGTAAAATAAAAACCTAAGGTAAGGGAAGGTTGCATCTTTTAGTCTGCATTCTAAAGCTTTTTAATCTGAATGCCCATTGCATTTAAGAGTCGCAACATCAACTCAGAAACATGTCACATGTTAACTTTTACCAGCTGTACCTCTGTTAAAACTCTAATAATAATTTAAAAAAAATCTGGCCAATTATATTGATTTGACACAGAAAGAATAATTTTCATCGTCGAAAGATATGTTTATTGTCCTTGTCCCGAGTTTGCTTTATAATTTCTGTGTCAAGCCAACTTTTACCAACATGGTTTACAATTAATTTGGAATTTCGAGTGATATTCTGTCCCTTCTCTTTTTCGCAAAACACAGCTACGCCAGCACCGCAGCGTTTCATGTCACTGCATTACATTGACAAGCTTTTCTGCACAGCCCAACTGCGCTGCGGAGAAACAAGACGGCGCAATGCGGGAAAGCGAGCTCAAAGACTGGCACGAAGCTCATTAATGAAAAAAATGTAGAAGTTTCGTTGTACCACTACACAAAACGTACACTTGGAGACTCGGAGAAACACTAGGCTCCCTTAGACAGTTTGAATTAACTATTATATCAATTGAAAGATGACCAAATGGAAAAACAGCTGCGACTAGATCGAGCTGCAAATTCAATAACAGAACTACGTTGAACTAGACAGCGATGCAAGTTATCCACACCCTTCAGGAAGCTTGCTGAAGACCGCCCGTCTCAAAGTTTGCAGCACCCTTGCAACGTAGAGTACCAGGAACCACAGAAGAGGAACGCCGTTAGATTTTGTCGAGGCGTAGACAACACTTGACTCGACGTTCGCAGGAAAACTGTACACAACACGTTTCAGGAGAAGAGGAGTCAAAGGCGAGTGTTGATCCTCGCGTAAGCTGGAGGTTTTTGCAAGTCGCACGGCGTCGTAGAATATGACAAGTGTCTTGCGCTCGGAGTCAATCACGGATGAATCAACCAGGTTGTTTTGAACGTCTAGGTGTACCCGGAAATCGTATGTCTTTCCACCGTTGTCTGTGACATGCTGGACGTCGGAGCTTCCTCTGACTAATAAGCCCAGCACAACACGGTCGCCACCCGAAGTCCGGATGCGAGATTTCAGGGCTTTGGCGGAGCCGACATGTCGCCGCGATTCTTCCAAAGGCAACAAGGCAGAACAGATTACGTTGCTAAATGTCGCGTCTGAGTGGCAGATGAGGATCCCACCCGCGTCACAAAGCTGCACGGGCAGAAATATGTTCAGGGTACCTGCTGTCATTCTCATAAAGTCATGAAAAGCACACAGCAACAGGGCCGCAGCCACAAGTTTCGCTTTTAAAAAGTCGCCATCTTGAAAGAGGAACGATTGTCGCCCTCTTCTGGAAAAAACACTTGTTTCCAGAACGATGTAAAACTGGTAAAACCGGTAAAACCGAAAGTTAAGGGCAATATTTTGAATCAACAAAAATACAATTAACGTAGTTTAAAAGTAATTAATTTTATACAATAAATCAAAGAGCTTAAATGTGGCTGAAAAAGTTAAATCACGATTAACTTCCTCTTAAAATACGTATGTTTAAAGCGCCCTCTGCATATGTGTCACAATTTCAATAAACAAAAGCGAGCCGTGCAAGGTGACGAGTCAACATGGCTGCCCCGAGAGCAGTTTCGAAGCATTCCGAAAGCGACGGCGCCTATCGCCCCTCACCGACGGCCCAAGTGTGACTTCGCCGTCGCCCACCCACCTCCAAACGCTCAGCCACGCAGCAGCCACGCAGCCGCAAGACGACGGAGCCACGAACCGCAGGTCCGTCGCGATGACGTCACGATGGAGCACGATCCAACCCCTGCTAGTCCACGTGTACCAGCGTCAACAAGTGCCGCCGAGTCCGCGCATTACGACGACGAGCGGCCCAACGCGAGCGTCAGCAGCATCCCAGCGCGGCGGTCAGCATTCTACCGCGCTATGACCTCCTACGGGAGGGAGCTGTGCTGCTTCGCGGTGCTGACGCTCGGAGCCTGGGCCACCCTCCACCCGGGACCGCCGAAAACCAGACCGGCCGGTCCGCCGCGACCCTTCTTCAACGTGTCGTCGCTCGTCGCCGACCACTACGACGGCCGGCTCGACGGCGACGCTCTCAGGTGCAACGACATATCGGTGGTCCTTTACTACGCGCCGTGGGATGCTCTGAGCTTGCGAGCCCGCGCGCCGTTCGCGGCCGCCGCTCGCGAGCTTCACCGGGAAGTCTACTTCGCGGCCGTCAACTGCTGGTGGCCGGAGGGCGAATGTCGGAAAACGTACAACCCGTCCTTCTTTCCCGTGGTCGTGGCCCACGTCAGGGACCACGGGGATGTGGTTTTCCCGCTGCGCGGCGGTGTGCCGACGGCAAAAGTGCTGGTGCGCTTCGTGAGGCGGATCATGAGGCCGCTGGTGCTCGCGACGTCTGGCGCGGAGTTGGACGCGCTGGTGGAACGTCACGCTGCCGTGCTGGTCGGGGCAGTGGACGGTGTCTCGGACGGTGCTTACAACGCCTTCTACGCGCTCGCCACTCAAGCCGTGGCCAGGGACCCCTGGGACGAGGTCGGATTCGCCGTGGTGACCAACCGCGGGGCGGCCGAAAACGTTGGGATTGAGCACCCGCTCACGCTGTGCACCTGGAACGAGACCTTGGTGCGTGTTGCCTTTTCTCTTTTTATTTTCCTCTTTTTAATTTCTGGGTGAAATTTTTTTTGGGGAACGAAATTTTTTTTGGGGATCTGGGGCGCCGGGAGCGAGAGGAGGGGCAATGTTTGAAGCTGCAGAAAAAGGGAAAGTGAGTTGTAGGGGTACCATATCTGTCGTGGCTCTACCTAGATGGCTAGGTAGTGAAAAGAGTGCGAATCCTCCCCCTCTTTCTCAGCTCTACTACCTTCCCTCTCCCCACCCCTTCAGCTCTGCTACCTCCCCCTCCAGGCGCCGTTTCCCCCTTTTGTTAGCTTTTAAGTTTCTCGTACATGACAACATGAAAGCAAGATCATTCATATATTATATTTTTTCATTAACACGAAAGCTAAGCATTTTTCTTATTTATATACCACATGTTACAACACAGAAAGATGAAATAGCACGAAGGAAACTCATGAAGCGAATACGTACAACATACTGCGTGGACACGTATCATACTCCAAATTACGACATACTTCCCAAGAATACTGACGTAATAGAATAAAAGGATTCATAATTAACACCGGGGACGAACCAACAAGTAAGGGACAAACACACTGACATGGTAACCCAGGAAAGGGGGGAAAACGAAACGGACAATTCAAAACTCCAAGTTTCTCTCTAAAATCTCGCTTTTTTTGTCCTTTTGTATCTGATTTTATTTGTGTAACCTGAAGCAGCTCGAATTTTTTTTTTAAACTCTCTCTTCCAAAGGCCCTTTGAACTTATTTAGTTGAGATGTCATCCTGTCTTTTTCTGTTCCTCCGACGTATGTATTCATTTCTGCCCCAGTCTCAGGTTTATTCAACATGGTTATTATTAACCTGTTACATGCAAATTAATATCTACCCTCAGTCCCACCAACAGGAAGTATTCACTCGCGCCCATAGCTCTGTGCCCTGTGCCGCGACTCGCACAAAATCCCGAACAGAAACACACACCAATAGAACCTACCTACCCGGCTCCACCGCCGACCGTTGTTGGTTTCGTTACGCACTGCCCTCGCTTCGCAGTACAAAAACGAAAAACGATGAAATGCCACATTGTGCAGTGGTCACTACTTGAACCAGTTTTGGGGGTTCGAGGCACCCTCAACAATAATTCACCAAACTTCATTGCTGCGTTACCCTGGTGCTGTGGTCTAGAGTTGGTGACAGTTCGGGGGAAGCTCCTCGTATCTCATTTCTCTTAAGCAGAGCGAACACTGGAGGGGAGGCGACCTCCTCTTTGGCATTCGCTACGCTGAAGTGGAAAGAGGTGGGAGGAGCTTCCCCTGCACTTTTAACCTCATCGACTATGGCTGTTCAGTCTGCAGTGATCGCTCGGTCCAATGGAGCACTCGGTTGAACGAACCACTTTGACAAATGAAACTCTTTGCTTAGTGGACCACTCCACGCTGTGGATCGGTTCACTGAACAGGGCACTTGATTGAATGGATCACTGTTAAAGGGACCACTCCGCTGAATGGACCGCTTCATGGAGTGACCCACTCAGTTTAACGGCCTGCTCGGTTGAATGGCCTGCTTTGCCAAACGGCTGAACAACTCCATCGTTCAGCCAATACCGCTCCACTGGCATTAAATGAACCACTGTGTCGAGTGGGCTGTTTTTGTTACTTGATCAAGACTTCGCATTGGTGCTACTGTATTGTGGCAAAAGCGTTGTACGGCCAGGGCCATCCCGCGCCAAATCGGATATGCTGGAAGGGCAGCAAAAGAAGAAAGGAAGACAGAAGGTCATGGCTTGAAGCAGAAAAAGTATGGAAAACATGCCACTTTGCATCAACCTTTAACAAGTGGTTGTTCAGACATTAGCAGACTGATAGCAGATATGCATTTAGTTGCTCACCCAACCTGGAACCACCAATGTACGCTTAGGGCAGGGGTCGACAACCCAAGGCCCCCGGCACGACCTAGAAAAGGAACCCCCCCCCCCCTCCTTTGCAGCTTACTCGCAGACCCAAGAAGCACTCGGAAGTTAGGACCACAAAAGGTGTTAGACAGGAATATGGAGCGCCTCCTACTAGCATTGTCCGGCATCGCCATACTTGGGCACAGAATGCCTTCACTTCTTCCCCCCCCCCCCCCCCCCCACCCCCCCCCCTCGTCTTCCCGACTTACCGTCCGGCCCCCTCCGTGTCAACTTCGTGACGACTCGGCCTGCCGCCACTAAAGGTTGCCGACCTCTGGCTTAGGGCATTGACCGTTCGGTCCCCTGTTGTCTTGTGAATGCTGCCATTGCATTCTCTAGCGCAGGACCTGTGCACTCGAAGATTATCACAATTAAAAAAAATGACTTTCTGAGCTTTAGTTGAGATATGGTGCCGGTCTGCACTGTCACAGATTTTTTTTATTGTTTTCCGAGGACAGAAAACCTCTCCTTGCGATTTGAGGTAAAGCTTCATACAATTGGCGACAATGATGTTAAGCAACAAGATGGCTGACATGGAGTTACTCTGAAGCGTATGGTAGCTTATTTGGTGGCTGTATCCCACCAAGAGGTATTCACTGGCGACCATAGCTGTGTGCTCTGCGTCCAAGCGCACGCCGACGGCGACTGTTTGTCAAACTTTTTTCGCACTGTCGAGGTTGTTGTTTATTGTAGAGGCGATCTCCCGCCAACAATGACGTGCGAACACTTCCCATAGACTCGCAAAAGGAAGGACGGTGGAATCTTCTTTCTCTGCAGCCTTTCGAGGGAGAACGCAGCTTCAAGGCAGTGCTGGATTGGGTCTTCGGCCACGTTCGGAGGGTGAGACGTCTAGCTGGCACTTGTGAAGCTGCTTTTCTGATGACTGGATTCTGTCTCAGGTGGTACACTGGGTCTGGCCATCCGGTCTCAAGAGCAACACTCTGTCCGGTCTGGTGGAGAACCGCAGTGCCCTGGTCTTGTTTGCACAGCACCACAGTCGAGAATACTTCGAGGTGAGCTTGATTTTACCACCTCTTTGTTTACACAGGTCAACTGAACACAGGGTGCATTACTACTGGGTAACTTCGTGATAACAACGCACATTGTGTTTTCCACTGTGACTGGAAAGGGCTCACTGATATGGCCAGCATGGGGCCCCACACTGAATGACCTTATTTTTATGGCAAATTTTTAGGTGTATGGAATTCGTGAATATTTCGCGGCTATGAAATTTCATGATGGGGAGTAATGTGCTATATTTTCCTTGTGTAATACCCCTTCAGAGTTCCCCAAAAAATAAATGATGACGACGATGACCCATTACCATGGGGTGATATATTCACGAGATTAATTTTTCGTGCAATATCTTTTAAGTTGCAGAATGTGCAAAAATGTAGGTCCTCTCAAAAATTAAGTTGTTTACATTATTACGTGTGAGCCCAGTGAGCAGTGTACGGTTTCCACAAATATGAAAGACCCACTCATAGTGTGGGGCCAAGACAAGAAAGGCTGGTAAGGGCATGGTGCATGTTGTGGACAATTTTGTACAGCTTCGAGGGGAGCAAACCTCAATAATGCAACCACACTGAATTAGTGCACATTGAAGAAGTGCCTTCCCTTCCCTCGGAGCAACCTAGAGTTGCCCAAACTGCGAGCAGCACTTCCCAGCCGCCGTCTCGGCCACATGCTCCGAGTGAATCTTTCATCTTAACAGAGACTACCGTTATGCGAGTTTGAGATGGTTCTGAGCCACTGTTTGGAGTGAAGAGGTGCCGACTTGTTTATGAAACTGGGTGTGTGCATATCCTCAGTGGTGCCAGCGTTTCCTTTGCCTTTGTGAATGAAATGAATCTTTGTGAAGGAAGGGAAATGTTGTGAATGAAGTGAATCATCTTTATGAATGAAGTGAATCATCTTTATGAATTAAGTGAATTCTCATGTGAATGGAATGAATCTGTGAATGAAGTGAATCATCTTTGTGAATGAGTTAATCACTTTTATGAATGAAGTGAATCATCTTATGAATGGAGTGAATTTGTGTATAAAGCAAATCTTTGCAAAAATGTGAATGTTCTTTGTGAAGGAACTGAATCTTCGTGAATGAAGTTATTCATCTTTGAGTGAAGGGAATCATTTTGTGAATGGAGTGAATATGTGGATGGAGTGAATATTTGTGAATAAAGTGAATCATCTTTGTGAACATGTGAGCACCTACTGATGTCAGCAGTTGGTGTAGCGCAACCTTTTGGTGCCCCGTCACTCCCACAGCTGCAGGAGTTGGCACGAGAGTACCACAGCTGCGGCGGCATCGGAGTTTCCGAAATTGGGTGTCGCGGCAACGACAGCCTGCGCTTCGTTGCGATGGACCCCCAGGAACACCCCGAGTTTGCTCCCCCGGGCCTCCTGAGCTCTGGTTCAGACACCGGAGCCGTGGTGTTTGCCTCTAAGGTATGGGTGTTCAGTAGAACCCGGATATATAGAATTAAAGGGAATTGTAAAATAGTTTGATATACCAATAATTTGATGTACAAAAATATCTTGAATTAATCTAGAGTTGAAATTTCCTGGCGTCTTTGCTAATACCGAAGGTCGGGACAAACGGGAGCTTACCAAATAGAGTATCCAAGGGCCGCTAAATACAGTAGAGTGTAGTTGGCAAAGACCGCAAATACCGCCGCGCTTACACGCGTGCCTGGCTGGGACCTCCACACAGCATAAGTGACGAAACACATAAGAAATAATAAAAGAAAAACGGAAAAGTGAGACATATAGAAAAATCTTTTGATCCTTAGAAAAAGTTAAGAAAGCAACAAAAAAGAAAGCTCACTAAATTCAGGCAGCAGAAAAAGAGGTGAGAAGAAGAATAAATAGGCAAAGCAATAATGGCAAAAGAAAAAGGTAAACACAGAAAAAAGGTAAACACAGGCAGTCAAAATGCAATTGCACAACCATTGTCAAACACTGAACTTGCCGAAGACTTTCTTTTTTTGCTTATTTTAATTTGGGGTTAGGGAGTCGCGCAGCATTAGCAGTGCTCTGGGAAAGGGCGCAGGCTACCGTTCCGCGCGCGCGCCCTTCTTGTTTTTGCCATCCTACACTTTTTTTTACGGTTCATTGTTTCTTTTTTTCCCACAACTGCTCTTTCGCTGCGTATTTTGCCGCCTGTATGCTGGCTTGGCGGTCTGCCAGCCACGCAACGCAAGCGATGTGCTCGCCACAGGTGCAGTCGGATCGCGGGAAAAGCAACGGGCGGCCGGCGTTAGGCCGGGCTCCGTCTTAGTTCACTCCCGCCATGGGAGTTGCATGCAAAAAGACAACACCCCTATACTATTATATGTGAGTTTCAAGGGGATGTTTGGTCTGTTTGATAAAAACAATAATTCGAAATACGGTAGTGTAATATAACCGGGCTCGACTGTATGTCTGGTATATGGATGCTTTTAGGCAGCTGTGCACTGGTGCATCCACGACTGACCTGCACCTTTTGCACACTTTCATTCCATTCGCTTTGCTTTGTCCCTGTGGTCGCATGACAGGTCATTGACCTTCTATATTCACCGACGGGTTGAGACCTGTAGGTCGTTTTTTTCGGATAACAACGGAAGGACCTACAGTCGCCGATCGATTATTCGAACTCCGCTCGGACTGAAAAAACGTCCGAATAATAGAGCAGTCCAAAAAATTAGCAAATTGAAAAACTTGCCTTTATTACTTCCAAGTGGGCTTAAAAAAGCCGTAAATAGTGCCTTGGTTAGGTTACGCCTCCGTTTCCGTTCGACAGCTTTCTGTTAGCTTGAGAATCGCTGCCTTCTTTTCTAGCGTTCTAGCAGAAGAACAAATGGGGCCATGACGTCCAAGCCAGCGTTGTCCGAACGAGATCAGAGGCGCAAATCCACGAGTGCAAAATGGCGACTGGCGACGTGAAGGAACGAAAAACAAAGCAAAATGATAATAATTATGATGATGATGATGATGACGTGCAGCTAAATGGGAAAAAAAGGGCTAGCATAGCGTCACCTAGCGGTAAGACTCGGGAGTGCTCAAGTAGCGCTGCCAAACCAAGCCAATCCATTGGCAGCCAGCATAGAATTCAAAATGGCCGCTTCTCGGTGGTGTTTTCCGCTGATCGCTCGCAACGATTTTGTCCGAATAATCAAACTTTCGGACTTCAAGCTGTCCGAAACATTGGTCGTGAATATACACTATTTCTATGGGGTAAGTCACGGTTCTTCCTTTAGGTCCGAAATACAGAACAAGTCCGAATTATCAGAGTCCGAAAAAACGGTTGGCGACTGTATCTGCTGTTGTCATCTTGTTGGAAAATATAGACGCCACAGCGTTTCTCGTCTCCAACGCAGACTTTGGGGGGGTTAGTTGTTGCTCATTTCTTTGGATGGGTATCTCGGCAAGGCCACGGAAGATTGGTCGTGGCGACTCATCACAGACCCCTTCTGCGTCTGTGATCGCAGAGGGCGTCTCCGAAGGCCACACGGAGAAATCATGTCATTTTCTTTGAGCTTCCATAAGTTTGCGGCGCACATAAAAATGCCACTGCCGTTTTTACCACTAGTTTCTGACTTTTGTTTTATGATTTTGTGTTCTTATGGATCAAGAAATTTTGAGAAAATGTAAAATAGTAATTAGACATGAGGAAGATACATAGAAAGGGGGGACGGACAACGAAGACTTCCATAGACTAAAATAGTTGAGGGGCGGTTTGGAGGAGGGAGGTGGGGAGCGTGCTAGAGGAGGAGTATTGAGAAATTCGGTTGCGATAGACAAGTTACATAGATTTCACTCTCCTTCCTATCTTTCCTTTTAATATGCTGGGAACTCAACAAACCGGTTGTCCGATTGCCAAGTTTGCACGTTTATTGCACAGTCGCCAGAGCAGGTCACATTGTCGGCCGAGCACGAGAGGGTAGCATTGCCGGAACCGTGAGCTTCGGCCTGGCCTGCAACGGGCCGTGATTTGTCCACCTCTCTGAAGGAAGAAGCTCAGTACGTGTTGCGGGGTCCCATCGACGCAGACGCGCTGAAGCACTTGGTGCGAGGATTCAACGACCGGACGCTTACGAGGCACCTCACTTCGGCAGGGCCAGACGGGTGCCGGCGAGAAGACGTCATCTGCGAGTTGAACGGCCCCTCCTTCCGCCGCCTCGTGGCGGACGCAACTCAGGTGCGCGGTGGATCGGGTCGTTGTTGGTCTGGCGAAGCCGTTCTTTCTTGCCATGCTCTGGTTTAACTGTCGGTTGAAGGGACACTCGGCTCCCAGGAAACATATTAAGTGTGTGGATAGGACATGTATGTCGCATGAACAAACTTGTGTCCATCTTCTACTAGCTTAAACTATGCGGGGCGCAAGTTCGTCCGCCTCTTTTGCAGGGGTCGTGATGATGTCGGAATGCCGAGTTCTGATGGGCTCCGATTGAAGAATAGTGGGTAGACATCAAAGCAAGCTGCCATGACGCCTACCCACTATCCTTCAATCACAGCCAATCGGAGCTTGGCGTTGGGACGTCACCACAACCCCCGCGAAAGAAGCGGACAAACTTGCGCTCCGCATAACCTGTGTTGCTCACGCTATGCCCTGCTTGAGATGCCTCGTTTTAGTGGACCCAAACTTAAACTAGCCAAGTGGCTATGGGTCCACCTGCTTTTTTCAATAACATGAATCTGCCTTAATGATAATAAAACAAACTGAATTGAATTTAACTTTTCCAGAAAGAACATGTGGTGCAATAGATGTGCTTGTAATTTGAGATATCATCCCCAAAATAGAAGCATGTTCGGGCATTGCTCAAATGATTCGCAACCTAAATATTGCGCTCAGAAATCTTTTTTTTTTTGGTGAGTTAAAATTTGTATTGTTTCATATTTAAACTTAGAATTTAACTTAAACATAAAAAGCACTTACAAAAAAAACAACTAGCTTTTATTTTGCAAAGAGCTGCCTAGGGTGGCAATCAATTCTAGGCAGCCATCTGCCCTAGCTACTGTACCTGCTTGCTGTCGGCCAACACTGTGCTCGCACCTGGTTGGCCGTGCTGGAATCTTTCTCTTGCAAATGTCTAGTGTGCGGGTGAAGGCACAGGCGTGCGAGCCTGGCTGATTGAAACTACGTAGTCGGTTGCTACATAAGACCTGCAGTAGATGCTCTGCCTCCATTGCAAGCTTTCTAGCTTTAGTAACACTTCGGCAAATGTGCAGATAAAGCTCGACTGGAGGCAACAAGCGTGACCTGAAGGCGGAGCTTCTCCTGTAGATTTGCCGAAACAGATCGTTGGCGGCATTTGCGAGCTACAGGGGATGCCTCTCTAGCTATCATCATCATCGTTTGTGACGTCACGGGTAGGACAGACTAGGACAGACCGCGCAGTTCTTGGATTCCTTGGCTCGTCAGCTCGCTTCATGCTCAGTTTAAATAACACATGGCAAAGCCTGTTTCACGTGTTGTGTTCATTTGGTGAAGTGATATTTGTAGTGTAGGGCATTTTACCAAAGCTTGAAACCGTGGCACGCATAGGCACGCCAACAAGCAGTTTTGGCACTGAGGTCGTTGAAGCGCTAGGACGGTGGTGTGCTGTTTTCTAGCCCAGTACAAAAAGCTGGATGATGAAAGTAGAATATCCAGTGCTTTACCCCACTACAGCATATACCACGACAAACTGGGTGTATTTTTTATTATTATGCGGACAAAATTAACTGAGAAAGGAATGCCTCATCAAATTGAAAATAGGAAAGCGAAATTCGAGAACCTCTCGCGTGTGTAGTGAACACTTCAATGAAAGCGACTCCGTGTGTCCAATTAGTTTCAATGTATTCTGTGAGTGCTAGTGTCTTATTAGTTCCAAGTTGATTCCTTTGTCTAGACTGTGATTTTAAAAAGCGCAAGACTAAGAAGAGAAGAAAGAGGAAACCGGACAGAGCGCTTTTCAAAATCACTTCTTCTCTTCTTAGTCCTTTGCACTCTTTAAAATCATCGTCTAGATGTTCAACCAATTAGCCCCCCAACTAATTCTGATGATTACCAATAAAACATTTTACCAAAGCTTGAAACAACTCCGGAGGCTGGCCTTCGGAGTCGTTTCAATTAAATCCCTGCTTTTTCTTCCGGACGACGCGGAACAAGCTAGACTCCCTTGCGATTGAAGTCTTAAATTTAGTAAGTTGGTTAAACTTACGCGTCCCCAAAAATTAGGTATACACCTGCTGTGAATTACCACTGTTTGTATGATTATTTTGCTAACCCAAATGTGCATGATGCATGATGTGCTTATCAGTGAGCGATTTTAGATCTGTGAACAAGCCTTAGTAAAAATTGGATAGAATAGATTAACCCTTTAAGTGCCTTGGATGAGCTGAGCTCGTCAGCCGCTTTTTGGCTAGAAATGCCATGGACAAGCTCAGCTCATCCAGTGGTCTTTTTGGTAGCCCTCAATTTCACGGATGAGCTAGGCTCGTCCGAGTAGTTTGCGGCGCTGATCAGAGATGGCAACACTTGTTTTAGTTGGCACATTTTTTTTTCCGCCGCCACTGATCTTTTGCGTAATAACTGTTTGAAATTTTATCTGTATTACTAGAGTAATAAAACTTCAAAATAAAAAAATATGGCACTTTTAAATTACTTTCAGAAAAAAAAAGTGGCACTTAAGGGATTAATCGATCGACTGAAATTGCTAAACCATGTCCGACAATTGAAAAAGAAAAAATTATTTCTGCTCTTTTTTATGACCTGATGTTGCGATGTGACAAACCTCTTTGCCATGTATTCGATGCTGGAGGAGTTAAGCGTCAGTAGCTGATGAGCATTTGCTCGTCAGCAACTGTCAAGTCGCAGTTGAACAGAAGCGTCAATATCAGCGAGCTTAAATGTAGCTAAAATAAGTGTGTGGTGCCTTGCAACACAACCATGCACGCATGCACAGCTAAGATGACAGCACGTCATTTACTCTGGTGAATGCAAATCCTTTTCCCACAGTAGTCTCCCCAAATTCTTACGTGAGGACGACCGGTCTGGCCAGCCTTCTGTAAGCCCTCTCCCCCTCCCGCCCTCGCACCCCCTCTCCCATTCCTGCATCCTTATTCCCTTCCCCTTCACGACAAGGCATGAAACCGGTCGCGTCGTACCCCTTCTAAATATGAATAAAACGTATCCAACAACAACAACCCCAAATTCCAAAAAACAATAATCGGAGAGGCTGTGAATAGCCCTGAGGCGCACCGCGCAAGCGGTAATGCGAAGCTCCTTACTTGTTTTTCAACATTTTGAAGTTATTTTTAATATAAAAAGCAACCTCGAGGAACTGTTTTTCATTAGAAAGGTCACTCGCACAAACGTCCTACATGTTTTTTTAATATATAATCTATTTTTAATTGGCATACGTGGAAACTAACATAGCCACTCCGTGCTTTGACACGGCGTGTCGTCTGCTCGCATCCTACTAGCTCTGTCAGGAAGGTGCCCGCGAAATAGCACCACCAAGACATCTAACATTGCAAATAGCGTAGAGGGATTGTGCTTGTGAGAGTACCACCCAAACCAATAATATTTGGCACTTGGCATTGGCCTCTATGGTGTGTTCACACTATCTGCGTCGCTAAGGAAACGAGACAACCTGTATGACGCAGCATGGCCCAAGAGGCACGTCCCTTTCAACCCTGTATGGACGTTTAGTGCAACGGTAGTGCCTGCAGGGTACTCTAGATCTGCTGGATGAACCATTAAACTTTGATGTTGCTTTTGAGCGAGCCATAGCTGAGGTTGCAGATTGCAAGTTTTCTGTTCTTACTGCCCCTCTAGGATGCCGTGGTACTCTTCTACGCCTCCTGGTGTGGCTTCTGCAAGGCAATCTACCACCACTTTTTTGCTGCTGCGAAGTTTTTCCAGGGATTCTCAGGACTTCTCTTTGCTAGGTCAGTCTCTAAGTTGAGATGCTGCTTTTACACCTGTTTGCATGTCAAGTAGGTGTAAACTTGCATGGTGATGGACAGTGTGCTTTGGTAATAGGCAGTTTCTAAACCTAATTCGAGTATGTTTAGAAAACTTGTGCTTTACTTGAAGTATTTTTATGAGCATGTACTTGTACTTAAAGTATTTTTTGCGGTACTTTCTGAGGAAAGTTTAACTCATGACTTCTAGGTACAATCCCCAAATCTGAAAACAAGAAAGGCGTATCGTCATGTGAAAACGCACTATCGTCTTTCGAGACATCACATGGTCATTTCTCTGAGTGAGGTAATGGCGGCTATAAGACAGATACAAATAAGTCTTATAAGTTGATTGTGTTAAATAGCTTGTCAGCGAGAGAAAAAGCGAATGATGCACCCCAGATTAACCCTGCGACAATGCGTACTAGTTGGAAATTACACTAGAGGGGAATAAAAGGGCATTATTAAAAATTGTGTTGGAAAGTAGTCATACTTTATTTTAAAAGTACAATGTATTTATACTATTTTACTTCAAGTACATTGCATCCAGTGTACTTACTACCTTACTTGTAGTACATAACCTTTTAGTCAGTGGGTACCCGCTTCAAGTACATATCGTGATGGACCGAATCTGCCGAGCATCAGGTTTGGCAAAGTTCAGCAAAGATTCGGTGAAAATTTGGCAAATGTCTACATATGCGCAAGAACACGACGTGGCCATGAATTGCAAATGGACGCCGTGCGGTCGTGCGGTTACCATCGTACAGGATAGTACAACCAGCAGTTATGACGAGGTGCGGAGTAGGTGACATGGTAACTGTGTTGGTGAGCCTTTTCTAGCGCAGTTCTCTTCAATATTTTCTGCCTCAAGAACAGAAGATCGACCACGAATTGGCACAGTCCACTGCGCAAGTGACAAATGATGCGGTGCATTTTGGATAACATGATTTTCATTTAATATGTCCAGTGATGCAACGAGGTAGTTAAAACATTGACTGACGAGTACATTAAAGCACTCCTCGCAATTATATCAATCCTGCTTTCGGCTCGCAAGTAGTTTGTGCCAGAACAAAATAATATTGTTTTTTAATTTGCGTTACTTCCCAGTTGTCATGGATCTGCATAAAAGTAAACGCAGAAGCATCGTGATCGACGTTGCATATCTGACATTCCTAAATCTTCCTAACTTCCTAAACGTCCGTGTGTGTCCTAACATCAGAAACCGGCATTTTAAGGGTAAAAATTAGACGTTGCGATTATCGGATGCACAGTTTCATGCAAAGCTGACATCAAGTGACCCAAATCGAAGAACATTCATGTTTACAATAATATTGTTATCTCTTCTGGCGGAGGCTTAGCAACCGTTGCATTAGTTTTCGTGTGCTAAATGGTGACTCCCAGAGAAAGTAAGAACACAGTGTTATTTGCCTTTATTTTAACAATGTACACACACTTGCAGGCATGTGCTGATGAGGCCTCGAAACCGAAACTCGCGTAATATCATCATTCGTGACTGCTCTACTGGGCCCACTACTACCCGACTTCGTTTTCACACCACTTCTGCAACAAATCACTGTAAAATTGCCAGTAAACAAACAAACTGACACCGATACAATTATCTTGTGGAATATCACCTTATTTAGTAATGACTGTGTCAATATGCTTTACAGGTTGCGTTTAGGAAAACAACACCATAAAGCCTTTTTCACCAGGAAAAACTAAACATCAACTTTAAGTCTGGCAACAACGTAATTTTGCCGTATTTTTAGAAAAGTTTGGCAAAAGCTTGTGCTGAATCCCAAGATTCGGCGCTGAATTTTCGATTTGGCAAAAGTTTGGTCCATCACTAAGTACATAGGCACAGGCACCATACAAATATAGCATTGTGTGGCAAGGCATTTCTTGATGTGTAAGTGAATCTGTTATTTCAATCATTTCAATGCATCTTAACAGCTGTGCACACTAAACAGCTGTACAATCCCTCTTTTTTTTAAATATAATATATTGCCTGTTTAGTGCTGGCATCACAGTACCATCTCACTTGTGATACAGACTGGCAGTTTAGTATTGGGCATCGATCACCCTATGCTTGAGCAGAGATAAAACAGCAAATGGTTCTATGAATCCTAGTAGCGTTATACATGCCATGTTAAACGGATCATGTGGGCACCTACAGATTTTTTCATAATGGGTGTCAATGGGCCCCATATGGTTTCTATTTGATGCCGTGACCCCATATCACATTGCCGTGTAAGACTGATTATTACTATGGGCTATTCTGATACTACAGTTTTCAAACTGGTAACTGAATTTAAGATTGTGAAACGTGAATAGTGTGACGTTTGTAAGTGATTGTGGAATAGTGAACATAGTGAACATAGTGAACAAGTTTTGTTGTGTTTCTGTGCCCAGGATTGACGCAGCCAAAAATGACCTTCCTTGGGAATTTACCATGGAGCATTACCCAACTGTGATGTTCTTTCCTGCCCACAGGTAAGGAAAACTGTTTGGAATAGTTTGTTTTTCAAAACTGCTTACCTAATTAGACTGCAAAAAGTTTGTCATTTGATGCACAAACCCATCTTGCTTAAGATGCCGTTCTTCACACATACCCTGTCGTTCCAAATGACTGCTTACTTGAGTTACGTATGAGGGGCTATAAGCCAAAATGAAGTCAGTTACTACATTCATAATTACAGTGGAAAAGGGACTGTACTGCCTTCAATCTAGAGGTCCTTTCAGTTTGAATTGTTCTTAGTAAATAAAAAAAAAAATCTCATGGAACTTTTTTTTTTTTTTTTGTTACCTAATCAGGAAAGGAGACAGCGTGCCTTACAAGGGACCTGTGACAACGGTGCACCTAGTACGTTTTGTCTTGCGCCACGTCCGTCACGACGTGGCCTGGCAGCTGTTGCGGGTCATGTGCCACTCCAGGTCATGCCTAGTGAGGAACTTGCACAAGGTGCGAAGATGGATGCTGCCAGGATGCCACAGGGGATTGTCCTGGAGACAGTCCTTGGAGGCTAGTCGGAGGGCAAGAACCCTGCACAGAATTCTCTTGCATAGGTTACGAAGCATAGACTCTTAGCACTTCAGGTCCTTGATGGATCTTGGAAATGGACTACTTGATGATACTGTGGTACCTTTTGGAGCTTTTTCTAGAGATGACCACTGATTTCTGGAACAGTTCCCTGGGCATTTTCTTTTAAGTTCTGTCGGATGCTTTTGGTGTCAGCAATGATGTACAAAATGATTCCTTAGGAGCTCAAGTCCCTTGTGAATGGGCTGCTTGATACTGTGGTACCTTTTGGAGCTTCCTCTGGAGACGGGCACTGGTTCCTGGAACAGCTCTTTTATTTCTGGGCATCATCTTTTGGGTTCTGTCGAAGGCTTCTGGTGTCAAGGATGATATATGAAGTGTGATTTCTTGGGAGCTCAGGTCCTTGATGGATCTTCTTAGGAATGGACTCTACTTGACCATACTGCGGTACCTTATGGGGCTCTCTAGAGATGCCTCCGCCATGAACGATGGGGATTTCTGGTTAAAAATGGCAACTTATCGTAGAGTTCTTGTGGCTCGCATATAGGTTTTGAATGGATGTGAGCAAGAAAAAAAGAAATTTCGGAGATTTCAACTTTCAGCTCCGATTTATTTTTATTTAATGTAGGGTCGAACATAGATTGCGAACAATATAATGGAAGAAAGTTATTTTAATGTTTGATACAGGTGACTTCCCACTTTAACCCTTTCTGTTTTTGCACTGTTGATGCAAAGGTTTCTATCCAGAAAGGCTCTTAGGTTACCGAGTGAAGGGTGTCCAATGCTGTCTATAGTACTGCTTTTCCGAGCAATTGTGTGAATGTGGTGATGCCAGCATACACTCTTGGACGCTGTTTGGTAGGATCACTAAGCATCATTTGAAGATTCTATCAATGCTAAATAACAACGAATATTTGGAGTGGCTGGTTGGCAGAGGGCTGTGCTAGCACAATCTTATTCATTTCATGTATGATAGGTCGACATCATACACCTGCAATCATGTCAGCTCTCTATGCACAGACACCAACTTTTGACTCATTTTATGGTGGTTAAAATATTCAAGTAATGCTGTATTATAATAGTAACATTAATAATAATAATTATAAGTACTCAGGAATCTGAGGTAATAGTCTCCAGGAGATATGAATGGATAGTTGATATGATTTTGTAAATAGCATTTTGGATTTAATCATGAGGGGCTCTTAAAAATGAAAGCATATGGATCCTCACAGACGGTACTATAAGTGGATAAGGGTCGAGTCTTCAGGTAGTTTCATTGATTTAGCTGGGAATCTATATCATTTAAGCTTTCAATGTTCTTTTCTCCATCAAAGATATCTCTCTTCTGGAACTTTGTGGATTGCTCTGAGGATGAAGAGTAAGGTGTGCTTGTTTGAATGTTTGTACAGGTGTAAGCTTGGGTTGGTGAGTGGATGTCTTATTGTACATTTGAATTCAATGCAGTGTGCTGGATAGGTTAATGAGGCTTTGCACATATGCTTGTTACACTCAGTTAGTGCCCTGATTATGGAAGGCAATCTAAGGGAAGAATAGCACTATTTTTAGTAATAATTTCATTTGGACTGAACTTTACGATTCCCCTCTGCCTCTGCATTGCAACTTTTCAGGAAAAATTTATTTTGACATTATAATAAAAAAACAACTAAACAACCTTTTTTTTTTCATTTTGCTGTGACCAAGGCATTACAGTGAGGGAAATATGAATTGTGGGGTTTTATTAGTGGGGAGTGCATGGATGTCAAAGTTTATTTTCTTATAATTGAAGCGATATATTCACGTTGGAGATGGTTATACCAAAAATTATTGTAATTTTGAATGTGAACTGAAGTGGTTAAGAGAATCACTTTATGATGGTGGTTTATATACCTGTGCTGATTCTGCTGGTGCCAATCACTGAATAAATGTTTGCATCTATAGGGTTGTTGTTCATTACCTGCATATGCAACGTCAACACATTAAAAAGTTGGTCCTATTTACATTCAGCATCATGATAAAGCCTTTATTTGTGCCAATCAACAACCAGTCATGGTCTGCAATGTGGCACAGTGAAGCAGTTGTACAGTTGTAAAATGTGCTCAGCAATACTTGTTTAAAAATGCAAATAACAATAAAACTAGCTTGTGCCACGCTCGTCAGCGAGCGACCGCGCGGGTGGCCGAGTGGTTACCGTGCTTGACTGTCGTGCAGAAAGTCTGGGTTCGATTCCAGTCAGTGGAATGCTCTTTGTTCTTTCATTGCGTTCTCGTGAGTTCGAGAACATTCTCGTCAGATCGAGTTCTGAATGTTCCAGTCGCCGAACAATCTAGGCCGATTGTTCCAGAACCCAACGCGCGTACATAAGGGACTCCGCGTGCTGATCTGCAGTCAGTTTTCGCCCAGCGTTCGACTCTGCTGCTACGCCGACTTCGACGCCCGCGACGCTCCGTTGTTATCTTTTGTACCCTTTTTTTTTTGGCACAAGTTCGCCACATTAAACGTTTATTTCTTTCTGTTTATTTATTGTTTATTGGTCACCACCCGTGACATTTTGGTGGAGGTGCGGGGTACCGCATGCCCGTGCAGCGTTCCCCTCCCAGGACCCGCAGTGCAAGCCCGACTCCAAGCTCGCTGAGAAGACCACTCAGCGCGGAACCTGAAACTCGGACCAGCCGCCGCACCAAGGGAGAGGATCCGGAGTACGGTTTGCTCCTGGACAAACCCAAGCCGAAGAAGACGACGATGGACAACCAGTCGCAGGCCCCCGCCGCTCCTGCCGTCGTCTACCTACCCGTCGCTCCTCGGACACCGGCTCCCTTCCACGGCGAAAGCCACGAAGACATCGACGACTGGGTCCAACAGTACGAACGAGTGGCCCGTCATAACGGGTGGACACCGGAACAGTGTCTGCAAAACGCGTACTTCGCCTTGGAAGCCACCGCCCGGAACTGGTTCGAGGACCACGAAGCTTTGATCACTTCCTGGGAGCAACTCAAGGCTGAGCTGCGAAGAACGTTTACGAACCAACAACGAAGAGAACGCGCGGAAGAGCTTCTTCAAGCGAGGATTCAAGGCCTTAACGAGAGCGTCGTTAGCTTCGTGGAAGATGTCCTGCGACTGAGCAACCGCGCCGATCCTTAAGCATCCGAAGCAAAGAAGCTCAGAGTCTTGATGCGTGGCGTCAAGGAAAACATTTTCGGTGGTCTTGTGCGGAGCCCGCCTACCACCGTCGAAGGCTTCAGACGGAGGCCACCAACATCGAACGTGCCCTTCAAGCACGAGCCACCCACTATCACCGAGTTCCCGGCGTCGGTTCCTTTTCGCCTTCCGGCTGCAACACCACGGACATCCGCGAGATGATCCGAGACGTCGTCCGGGAAGAGATCAAGAAACTTCTACCTGCCGCCGCAAGCCCAGCTTCGCCCTCAATCGCCGAGATTGTCAGGGAAGAAGTCCAGCAAGCGCTGCAGCCTGAGGTTCTCGTCAGCACCGCTCCGGAACCACCGACGTTGAGTTACGCCGCAGTGGCCCGACGGCCACCGCCTCCTCGTCGCACCTATGTCACGCCGCCCCGACGTCAGTCTCCTGCGCCGCAGCACGACCGACGCCACGACGACCAGGTCCAGTACGCCTGCCCGGAGCCTCCCGCACCCCGCAAGACCGACGTGTGGCGAACGCCCGACCGACGCCCTCTGTGCTTCCATTGCGGGGAAGCGGACCACACCTACCGCCGATGCCCATACCGACGACTCGGGCTACGCGGGTTCCACCCGAACGACCCGCGCCCCCGTCATGGTGAACGCCCTATCGAGATCGACGAGTACCTGCGACGACCTCAGTCCCCCCAGCCTGCGTCCCGCCGAGAGTTCCGGTCGCCGTCACCGCGACGTCCAGCTTGGCCGATGATCCGACCACGACGTGAAAGCCTGTCCCCCCTCGCTCCTCGCCGGGGAAACTAGGCGCGGCAACCCCTGGAGGTGGAGTTGCCGAAGACGACCGACGCCAAGATCCTCCACGAACGTCGGGGGGCCCCCACTCGACCGCTACCAGAGACCAAAACGACGCCGCTGCAGTGGTGTCCAATAACCTAAACGTCGTCATCGACGGCCACGACGCATCTGCACTCGTGGACACCGGAGCAGACTACTCAGTCTTGAGTGGGAGGCTCTCCCGCCGCCTTCGAAAAGTCACGACGCCGTGGGATGGACCTCAAATACGAACCGCCGGAGGGCACCTCATCACACCCATCGGGCGATGCACTGCTCGCGTCGAGATCCGCGGTGAAACGTGCCCTGTGAAGTTCATCGTTCTACAAGACTGTTCCAAAGACGTTATTCTCGGCATGGACTTTCTGTGTGAATACGGCGCCGTCATCGACCTTGGTGAGAACAGATTGACGCTGCGCAAGCCCGTTCCGTCTTCAGAGAAACCTCAAACAGCGTCAGCCGCCGTCCGAGTCGCTGCCGACCACGTGAACCTGCCGCCGCGATCAAGTGTTGTCGTATGCGTAGTGGCCGATGTAGCTACCTGCGGCGAAGTTGTTCTTGAAGGCAACCTGCAATTACTCCTAGAAAGAGGACTAGGCGTCGCAAGAGGAGTGGCTGAACTTCAGGATGGGCGCACCGTGGTCTTCGTGACAAACTTTCGACAAGAAGCGCAACACCTCACGAAAGGTGCCGCTGTAGGCCACGTCGAGGAAATTCGGAACTCCGCCGAAATCGCCGCGATTGCTGAAGAATCATTCCCACCTCAGCAACACATTACGGCGCCAGCACAGCTCGACATTGACCACAAGCTTCCAGGCCCGAAACGACGGCAGCTAAGTGAAATTCTCGCCGAATACAGTGACTGCTTCGCGACGTCGTCGAGGGTGCGCCAAACCACCATTGCGAAACACCGCATCGTTACCGAGGACGACGCGCGCCCTGTGCATCGATCGCCGTACAGAGTCTCCGTCAAAGAAAGGGAGGTGATCCAAGAGCAAGTGCAAGAGATGCTGAATGACGACATAATCCAACCCTCAAGCAGTCCGTGGGCCTCTCCAGTTGTACTGGTTAAGAAGAAGGACGGAACGCTTAGGTTCTGCGTGGACTACCGGCAGCTGAACGCAGTGACGAAGAAAGGCGTCTATCCACGCCCCCGCATCGACGACACGTTAGACCGGCTGCGCCACTCCCGATACTTTTCATCCATGGACCTGAAGAGCGGCTACTGGCAGATCGAAGTCGACGAACGGGACCGAGAGAAAACAGCTTTCGTCACGCCAGATGGGCTGTACGAGTTCAAGATGATGCCCTTCGGACTGTGCACGGCTCCAGCAACTTTCCAGCGTGTCATGGACACCGTACTGGCAGGACTGAAGTGGCAGAGCTGTCTCGTCTACCTCGATGACGTCGTAGTGTTTTCCAGCGACTTCGACGAGCACTTGCGACGACTCCGAGCAGTTCTCCAAGCCATACGGACCGCCGGACTCACCCTGAAGCCGTCAAAGTGCCGGTTTGCCTATGACGAACTGAAGTTTCTAGGTCACGTGGTTAGTAACGAGGGCGTTCGCCCCGACCCAGAGAAGACTCGCGCCGTCGCAGCATTTCGAGTACCGACAGACAAGAAGGCCGTGCGAAGGTTTCTTGGACCATGTGCCTACTATCGGCGCTTCATCCGGGAATTTGCAAGGATTTCCGCACCACTCACAAACCTCACAAAGGACGCCGAGAAGTTCGAATGGGCCGAGAAGCAGCAGCAGGCATTCGACGAGCTGAAGCGACGACTGCAGACTCCTCCTGTTCTAGGACATTTCGATCAAGATGCGGAAACCGAAATTCACACGGACGCAAGCAACGCTGGACTTGGCGCGGTACTGGTTCAAGTGCAAGACGGCACCGAGCGAGTTATCACCTACGCAAGTCGGACACTGTCCAAGGCGGAGAAAAATTACTCCACGACTGAGAAAGAATGCCTTGCTGTCGTCTGGGCAATCACGAAGTTTCTTCCGTATTTGTACGGGAGCCCGTTCCGTGTAGTCACGGACCACCTTGAGGTTCGCAAGTCTGCTGACTTGCGAACCTCAAGGACTCGTCAGGACGCCTCGCTCGATGGAGTCTACGACTACAGGAGTTCAACATGACTGGTCTACAAGTCAGGCCGCAAGCACAGCGACGCCGACTGCCTGTCCAGAGCCCCCATCGAAACACCTTCCGGCAGCAGCAACGACGAAGACGACGAGTGCTTCCTAGGTGCAGTGAACACGGACGACATGTCACGACGTCAAAGAGACGATCCTGAGTTGCGCGCGCTAATCGAGCACCTCGAAGGACGAGGGGGTACTGTCCCCCGTGTCTTCTCGAGAGCCCTGCCGACTTTCGTCCTCCGACAAGGTGTACTCTACAAGGAGAACTTCGGAGACAACAGCACACCATGGCTGCTGGTAATCCCCACCGACCTTAGAGCGGAGATCTTCCAAGCCTGTCACGACGACCCGACGTCCGGACACCTTGGTTACAGCCGTACGCTGGCCCGAATTCGTGAAAGGTATTACTGGCCGAAGCTGCCGAAGACCGTCCACTTCTACACACGGTCCTGCCACGAGTGCCAGCGACGCAAGAAACCGCCGACGAAGCCGGCAGGTCTCCTGCATCCGATCGCTCCCCCGACCGTACCGTTCGAGCAGATCGGAATGGATCTACTTGGTCCTTTTCCACCATCGACGCAAGGAAACAGATGGATTATTGTCGCCACAGATTATCTTACACGGTATGCCGAAACGAAAGCCCTTCCTGTAGGGACTGCTGTGGAAGTCGCCAAGTTCTTTATCAAATCCATCGTCCTCCGGCACGGCGTTCCCGAAGTTTTGATCTCTGACCGTGGATCATCGTTCATGGCCCAGCTGACGCAAGAAATCCTTCGTCTCAGCCACACCAGCCATCGGCGCACAACGGCGT